CTTCCCCTTCCCAGCTGATGGGACGGAAATGCAACCACGGGCCGGTCTGATTGATCTTCTAACCTACATCGTCCGTCAACCAATCCCCAAGTTGAAAGACGAGCCCGACAATGGCATCCGGTGGTCAGACAACTTCAAGTACTTCATCGAATGCTGGTATGTGCCTGTTACCCCCTTCCATGATGGGTTTGTGTAACTAACGATGGAACTAGTCTGGAGAAAGAACCTCCACGACGAGCGACTCCATGGCGGATGCTGGACCATCCCTGGATGCTGGACATGAAGAACAAAAAGGTCAACATGGCCAATTTTGTGAAGCAGGTGTGGGATTGGAATGAATAGACTGCCTGCACAGCATCAGGACCGCCGCAACCATCCGTGCTCACATTTCTTTCATTGGGCTGATATTGCTACCTCTATTAATTCGATCGCATATTACGGTCTTCCCTCTTGATGCTGACAAGTGGCTGGCCCTTGGTTGACCCGGATGTCAACAGCATACGAATCTGTGATCATCATGACGCTCATTTTTATTCTCATCCGTGCACTGTCTATCATTCCTTGGGACCATGGAGTTGGAAATGCTTTTGCGCCCTTTTTGACTATCATCGCCCGACATGATCACGCCTTTCCTTAATACCAAATTCCTCCCTCCCGCCAGCGACAAGGCCCGAATTGTCTATGCATCCTCGTTTTCTTCCACCAGCAAGAACCCATTTGCATTCATCCAGCAACTCGATGTTGTTTTCGCATTTGCTCCAGAAAGGGATTTCTCTGTTTTTGCCCGACAGCCAGCGGTGCTGGCTCTTTTCTTTTCTGCTCTGATCACTGTCCCCTCTGCGTGTTTCACCATCTCGATTTACCCGGTCTATCATCTTGCACGTGAGCGAATCCATTCATACATAACATACATTCATACATACATTTTCACAGAGAGTACCCACCCCAAGGCATCTATCTTCATTCACATACATATGTGCAAAACCGTTTTGTTTCTTGTCTTTTCTGTCTTGCTGTGTTTGCTTTTTCATATTTCTATTCGAGGACCGGGTCCGCATCTTGTGTATATTGATTGGCGTCTATCCAATTGAGTCAAAACTCATCATCATCATCATCATCATTTCCATCGTACTCTTTCCCTTTCCATACGATCATCACCATGGTATATTATATGCATTTGCCCGCGTAGAGCAGACAGTCACATGATCGAAAGCCTAATCTGGCCCCGGACCTTGTCGACCACCGTCATGCCTTGGGTTCTATAAAATGGGTGCCAGATCTCTTGCTCGAATCTTGTATTTATCCCGCCCGACCAATATTATTGCCGAGTCGGTCCAGACTGCTACCCCTACAGTACTAGAAAGTGGTATGCCATATGGTTCCAGATATACAACACAAGTGAGGTGGGTAACTCATCCAACATGGATCCCAATATACACACACCAAGTATACCTCAGGAACTTCATTCTAGTATTCTTAATATGAAAGGAGGCTTGTAAAGAAGAAAATGAGATATTATTTATAAGATATCATGCCATGCCTGCTAGCAGCGCTATCAATACAACTGAAAAAAAAAAATCTTCACACCCATCATCATTATCAAATATACAAATGGAACACGTAATGCCTTCAGATAAGTACTGGGGGTCGGGGGGAGGGGGGGGGGGTTGCGGTGTGGCTCTCGTTGAACCGCGGATTATTTATACTCATACTAAGAACGGTTGACGGGCTGCGCGCCGAGCACCCACCCCAGTCCACTGACTAGTCCATCCGTCACCATGTTACTGACGACGTCTCTCTTGCGGACGCGATCGGAGGGTCCCCCGCCGCCGCCGGGCTCGTAATTCTCAGCGGAGACCACGGAGTCGGTTCGGGCGTGCGAGGAGCTTGCGGTGGCTGTGTGGGAGGAGGAGGGTGTGAATCCGTTGTTGTCGTGGTGGGAGGAGGATGGTGAGGCAGTGGTGGTGGTCCTGGTGGCTGCTGCGCGGAGCGGGAATGCATTCTTCTGCAGGGCTAGGGCGGCGCCTCGCGCGACCTCGAAGAGGCCCATGGGCGCTTCTTCGTGGTTGAGACGATGATGCGAGGCGTGCGCGCGGGCACGGCGGGCTTGGTGCTGTCGGGTTTCCAGGGCGTCCTGCTCGGAGGAATCGGCGGGCCCGAACCCGCCGGGGAGGCTTTGCATGGTGAGGGAGGAAGTGAGGTCGCCCTTCGTATCCCAGATGTCTTCTTCGAGGGATTCTTGCGTGCGGAGGTTGCTGAGTTCCTCGTCGCAGCGTCGCCAGGCACCCAGAATCTCTGGGAGCGGATCCGGGTGGTCGGAGGGGACGAGGATGAGGGCAAGGGAGAGAAGCTCCATTCTTTGGGTGAGGTGGGTGATTTGGGACTGCGTGGTGGGAGGGGTAGACGTGCTGGGCGGTGGTGGGCGATACCGTCCGGCGGAATACACCGTACGCCAGGTAATGTCGTCTGTGAGTGTCGTGTCGGGCGTGGATGCGGACGAGGTGGGTGTAAGCCGGGTAAGGATGTAAGAGTAGGCTGTTCCGAAGTCGTGGGAGGTTAGAGCGGAGTTGATGGCTAGAGACATGATGCGGCGTTCGGCGGTGAGGATGGCATCCTGTTCGGGAAGAGGGGCCAGAGTGGAAGCTTCATGGTGATCTGAGAGCCGCGGAGAGAAGCCGGCTGCGACAAGATTGCGGCCTATGGCCAGAAGGTCGTCAACCTTGGTGTAGCTCTTGGGGTTCTGTTCAAGGACTTTTTCAATGAGGGAGAGAGGATCGGAGTGTACGCGGATGCTGACGGGCTGGAAAGGGACGCCGTGCTGTAAGGTGAGGGAGTAAAAGGACAGTGAGTGCGTGGCTGAGATAAGAGCACCAATCTGCTTGAGAGCAACCGAGTCTGAAAAGTGCGGCTGGAAGGCTTGAAGGCTGGTTGGTGATGGCATTAGTGTCGCTCAACTATGATACTTGGGATTAGTACAGAACTTACATTTCGTAGGCTCTCTTCATGCCACCACGAGTTCGATTGCCGTTGCTTGCGTTGTCATATGCTGTGTAAATGGTCTCTCTGACGGCCTCTTCGACCTTGGATGACGTCAGAGTTGAGTCGGAGCTGAGATAAATGTCGACAGCGAGTTTGTACTCTGTCCCTGTTAGTTGATATGCTGATGACCCGGCAAAGAGAGCTGCTTACCTCTGACTTCAAGCAAAGCTTTCAGGACTTCGACTTCAACAACCTCCCGTTCTACTCTCCAAAAGATACCATGGTAGACAGGGCCACTGTTATCCTGTCGAGACGTTTGATCTGCTACCCAATCACGCAGCCAAAGCAATTGCCTACGAACCTTGCCCCAGTCTCGGCCCGGCTTGCTCTGTCTGATCATAGATTGAACCACACCGCGCATTTCGAGCAGTTGCGTATCTACATTGTTGTGTAGACAAAGGTTTGCGGCTGTACGACAGGGCATAGGATGGCCGAGCTCACTCAGCACCTGGAGAGAGACGCAAATGGCGCTGAGGAACGAGATGGATGCGGGAGACGGACGTGTGAGCGGGTTCGATGTTGTGAGAAGCGCATTCTGCATGAGGGAGACTCTCGAGGTAGACGAGATCTGGTCCGAGTCAAATACCACTGACGGTAGTTCTGCATCATCGTCTCTCAGAGACAAATGCTGCTCCAGGTCCAAGAAACTGGCGATCCGCGCAAGGACTTTGATCGACCCATTCAAGGCCGCTGCGCTGACATCAGCATTGGCGTAGACAACGGCCAGTCCAGTCTGTCCGTACCGCGTCCGCAAGTCTTTCATCTCGTCACTTGGTAGGTTAGGGTCCTCCTCGGCATAGCCTCCCAGGTCAACATCCTCCGGGCCATCCCAGTTCGTGAATGCGTTGACTGCGCTCTCGTGATCCACCAAGCTGCGCGCCAGCAGCCACTCGTTAACCTGCTGCCATCCTACCCCTGCATTCGTCTTCGGTTCCACATCGTTCGGCGGAAGTGAGAGAGTGTTTTGCTGCGCGACTTCGTTGAGCTTCCGCCGCTTGGTCCTGTTGCTGCCATACATCCACGCACCCACCAGCCCGCGGAGGTTCTGCACTAAATCCATACTAGTTTTCGTATTGCCGGTCATTGAAAGTAAAACATTAATGGCGATGCTGTTGTCCATCGACTCAAGGATATCCAGAGAGAACGTCTCGTCCTGGCTGGGGTAATATTCGTAGTTCAACCGCAGCAAGGGCAGTAGACTCGAGATTAACCATGTGCGGAGGATAGGAGAGCGTGGATAGAATGGTACGAGAAGATCGAGAATGAGGGGTTGGAGGGCGGTTTCGGAGTCGATGCGATGGGCGCGGTGGATCAAGAATTGGGTCAAGAGGTCGGTTGAATCGTCGGTGTCCTCGTCATCGGGATGCCTTAACGGCAGTAAACGAACCTTGCGTACTCGTTTCCGTGCAATGGTTTCGGTCAAATTCTGGACCGGGGATGTGTCAAGCTCTGCAGCCGTTGAGATGGCGGGCTCTCCATCTACCAAGGCTTCCACAACGGATGTGTATGTTTTGGGGGGGCAACTCTCGGGGAGGAAGGTCAGTATGATGCGCAAAAGGCGCTCGGTTGGCAGCCAGCGAGGGTATTGAGCTTGGAGTTGCGATAACCGGGAGACATCGCCGGTGACACAAAAGTGAATGGCTAACAGAATCGCATGAGCACCTGAGAGCCGAGAGGAACTGGCCATGGCGTGATAAAAAAAAAGAATAAGGAGATCCAGGCTAAATGAGTGAAAACAAGAAGAAGAAGAAGCTTGAAGGGAAGAGGGTGATGTGTTCGTGAGCCACTTGGGAAAGACGTCAAGCCTCCCGTCCCGTGCACAGACCGACTTCCGAGGCGGAAAGCAGAAACCAGCAAATCAGCCAATCAATCCCCGGGCGGTGGAAGAATGAACCTCGATCGCTCGCTGCACCCACTCACTCAACTCACTCAAACCTCCGCTCCAGCAATCCCTCCGCCCGCCCCCCCCTTCTACGTACGCTCGACGCCTCCGCCCTTTCGATCTCCTATTCCCACCCTCTCTCAATCTCACAATGGCTTCCGGCTTCGGTAACAACGGCGGTATGTTACTTCTCTGCTTGGGCTGCGGGCAATTGACTGCCACTTTGGCTGGCTTCGCCGGCCCAGGCGCCCGCTTTGACAGCTTCGCCGCGGACATTGTCGGCTGATCTCGCTCTCTCTCGCAGGTCCTTCCCGCTGCTACAACTTCTGGCAAGAGGTCCTTGGTTGTTATGTTGTCAACTCGGCCGAGGGTGAGGCTGGCAAGAAGAAGTGTCTGCCTGCCTTGGAGGATTACCACGAGTGCCTGCACCACAAGAAGGAGGTACGCTTGATTGAACCGATTGTGATCTGTCACCTTGAAATACTTCGATCGCCGAGAGGGACCGGAGTAGACGAGGGGGGGAGAGTAATAGTCCTCTTACTGACGTCCTCTTTTTCTTGGGATTTCTAGATCATGCGCACGATGAAGATGCAGGCTGCCTACCGCAAGGCGGAGGCCGCCCACCCCCGCGACAATGCGCCCAAGGCTGAACAGATCCGCAGTCTAGGTCTGCTAGGGAAGGAAGAGGAGTCGGCTGCGTTCTTGACACGGGCATGAGAGAGGCATGTTGTGCGCATTTAGGGAGTGTGGATTTCATGTTGATCGTTTCAATTACTACCAAGATTCTGCTGGTTTGTTTATCCGTTCTGTCTGTTCATCACTGCGAGGTCCTTCAATGTATAGAAATGGACAATTTTCCTTTTGGTGCCTGCGTGGGCTGTATTGGGCCCAAGCTTGAGGTCTGCAATGCCAATGGTCGCTCTCCACCCATGATGATGAAAGATGATGACTGCACCGTTCAATTCCGGCAATTGATAATGCACATATGAGAATGGCACTGTTTGTCATTGGCCAAGCCCCGATTAATGCTGTGTGTAGTTCCGGGGATCGAGATCCTATTTGGCACGTGTTATAGTTAAAAGAGGTATATTGGAAAGACAAAGAAACAACCAAAATAAAGCAAGGCAAAACAACGTGCAAAGGCGTCATAAGTGATATATTGATGATTCTGATTCTCTTCCACATGTCTCTGCAATGTTACAATTATAGAGGATATTTAACCAAATTGGTGTGTACGCGATATCACTGTGTTGCAGGACATGATGGCAGAATTCGAGAACTGGAACTGAACTATATATATCTAGCCGGATTTAGTCCATGGGATTTTAAAGCACCAATGTATGCGACGTGATTGGCTCCTCCATCTCCCACGTCATCCGAGGCTCAGAGGCTGTCATCTTTCGGGACTTCTCAAGGCTGGATCGACTCCTTAAGTCGTTAGCGACCTTCAACGGAGTCGTCAGCAGAAGAATTACCGCAGTCGTCGTTGTCGTTGACCACACGGGATGGAGTTGCGCGACGAAGAATTTGCGGCGGAAGCAGGAGGCCATCTGGCATTTTCTTGGCACGCTATTGAAGGGGCGATCGAAACAAGCTCACATGGCGGTCTCACTGGAAACGCACGCAAGTCATTTGCAGGTTGCTACATACATATATTCATCTCTGCGCGGTGGATTATTGAATGCAACACGCAGGGCCTATCCCCGTCCGGCTGCTGACGGAATCGCAATAGTTAACTTATAGCGATAGTTCTATTAGTTACCTGGTATCTGGTATAGCCTACCAACCGTTGAGTGGTTGAGTGAGTGTGTGTCAGGTGGTTGGCATGCAAGCAGGAGAGTAGACATAGGCCAGATTAAGGATTACTTGTACAATCAACCTCAAGCAAGCAAGCAAGCAGCTACTGAATATCCTTCTCTTTTTTTTTTTTTTTTTCCTGCGCAGGGAGAGTAACTCACGTGACTCAACGAAAACCTTTACGGGAGTGGGGGGCACTAATCCGGAAGCAGGCTAGTGCCCAGGGCCCAAGTATGGGTAGGCGCGCCCAGGCAAAGATGCCCCCAATGATATAAACAGGCTGCGTGACCTCGAGGGCAGGCCGAGCAGCTCTTGTTGATGCTCCTGTGCAGCCCCAGCCCCGGTACACGCCCCGTCCGTCCGCCGTCCTTACTTACAGACTGACTACTACTACTTACTTAACCTACTTTTACCTACTTTACCTACTTTACCTACATTAACTACAACTACAAGGCTACAAAGTTGAGCTAGCTACGTACCGAGTGAACCACCACAGGTACCACTCAACTCAGCCTGTCTCAGTTTGATCTCCGACTCTTCATCGTCAACTCCCATCACATTCCCGTCATCTGCCGAATTCTTTTTTTTTTTTTTTTTTTTATACTGGTGGAATTCGAATTTCTGATATCATTACCTCGAATTCTATTCCATTCCGGGATCCTTCATGATTCACATGATTCATTTCATTCACGCGGAGTGACTATCTATTCATTATAACAACCTTCAGCTCGGCTACGGTCATTTTACTTCCACCTGGTGACAACCGTGCCTAGATTAGGACCGGATCTCCACTCATCAATCAGCTTTCGCTCTGATCGCCCTGTGATCTGACGGAAACTGATTCTGTCCAGTGTGTCTGGATTTTTTCTTTATTCATTTCTTTTTTTTTTTCCCACCCCCCCCTTTAACCTTTCCCTTCTTCCCCTTTGACGCATACTCGACGTTGACTCGATGGCTGTGACGTGGGTGTAACCGTCGTGTTTACTTTACATCCGTCTCCCTCTCCTCCACTCTCCGTCGTTCTCTTGCTTTACTTAATTTCCGGACGGGGGTTGTGGTGTGCTACTGAAAGGAGATTGATTTTACCATTAATTTGTTAATAATTCTGGTCACTTTCTCGGCTTCGTTCACGATACCCCTGCCTTTTGTTGTGCTCTCAGTTCCTTTTTTTTTCTTGATTATTCTTGGCTGTGTTATATTACGACCATCTGTATAGCTTTCCTTGTCACAAAAATCCGCCATGACTTCCAGGTAAGTTTCCTGCCATTCCGCTTCCGTCTGATACCGGCCACTAACCCATTTCGTTCTAGACTTGACCGTCTTGTCACGTGAGTAATCGACAGCTTTCCCCATCCCTGCACGCTTACCTAAGGAAGGGACGAACTGACCAATCACCACCTGCAGGTTACTTGAGACAGGCAGCACGCCGCTCATCCGCAATACTGCGGCTCAACAGCTGGCCGACGTGCAGAAGCAGCATCCGGATGAACTCTTCAACCTTCTCGGTCGCATTCTGCCCTATCTGCGTTCTAAGTCTTGGGACACTAGAACAGCCGCTGCTAAGGCAATCGGCTTGATCGTCACTAATGCAGACACCTTCGACCCCAATGAGGAAGATGGCGATCACATCAAACAGGCTGACGATGAAGATGGCGGCGTCGAGATCAAGTCGGAAGGCGAATCAGCCGCCACTGCCAGTGATCTCCTTAGGCTTGAAACCATCAATATCGCCGCCATCCTGAAATACGGCAAGCGGCTGTTGGGAAGCGCAGGCAAGGAGTACGAATACTCATTGGCCGGCATGGATCCAGCCGCTCGACTCCAGCACCAGAAGAAAACCTTGCACGCTCGTCTGGGTCTCGCAGGAGAGTACATCGAGGAGGATCTGATTGATGACGGCGATTTGGTCTTGAAGACACCGGGAATAAAGGAGGAAGTTCCCCAACATAGGGATAGTATCCACCATCTATCCTCTACCACCCCTCTTGCATCGCCTATGGAACCCGCCAACGGCGAGGAGGCCGGTCTCAGTAAGCGACAATTGAACCAACTGAAGCGGAAGAACAAACAGAGCGCAAAAATGGGCGCGAACAAGGTCCGAGTCGTGGATCTGTCGACGCGCAGACCGTCGGATAACGTTACCACTCCTTCAGCTGTTACTCCACACCCGATTAAAGCGGAGAACGGTGAGGAGCGCAATGGCGACGTAAAGCAGGATTACTTCAACCTTGAGCGGTCGACTGGTGGCGACGACGATCAGAAGATCGTTTCGGAGTTCAAAGGATCGGTTGTCCCAGAAAAATCCTACATCCAACCAGAGATCACGGATGAGGGTCCCAGCAACTCATGGCCATATGATCCCATGTGCGAGTTCCTCATGGTCGATATCTTCGATCCTAACTGGGAGGTGCGCCACGGAGCCGCAATGGCACTTCGGGAGGTTATCCGCGTTCAAGGTGCTGGCGCAGGTCGTGTACGAGGTAAGAGTAGGGCCGAGAACAATGTCCTCAACCGGCAGTATCTGGACGACCTCGCCTGCCGACTACTTTGTGTTCTTATGCTTGACCGGTTTGGTGACTACATTTCCGACAATGTTGTGGCGCCCATCAGAGAGACTGTGGGTCAAACACTTGGTGCACTCTTGTCCCAGCTCCCGTCGCGTTCCGTGGTGTCAGTCTACAAGTGTCTGTACCGCATCATCATGCAGAAAGACCTGGACCTGGACCGGCCCATTTGGGAGGTCTGCCACGGTGGTATGATCGGTCTCCGGTACTTGGTTGCGGTCCGCAAAGATATCCTGGTGAAGGATCGTGCACTTATGGACGGCGTATTAGAGGCTGTGATGAAGGGACTGGGAGACTTTGACGACGATGTGCGGGCTGTTAGTGCTGCAACCCTGGTTCCAATGGCTGAGGAATTTGTGGCTTCCCGACAAAGCACATTGGGTAATTTGATGACCATTGTTTGGGACTGTTTGTCGAACCTGCAAGATGACCTGAGCGCCAGTACGGGCTCGGTCATGGATCTTCTGGCCAAGCTCTGCACATTCCGCGAAGTTCTGGATGCGATGAAGGCCAATGCGTCCGTGGATTTCGAGTCCTCGTTCGGAAACCTGGTCCCTCGCCTCTACCCTTTCCTGCGACACACAATCACCAGCGTCCGTTCAGCAGTTCTCCGGGCTCTCATTACCTTCTTGCAGCTTGAGGGCGAGGGCACAAATGACTGGGTGAATGGCAAGGCTTTGCGTCTGATTTTCCAGAACCTGTTAGTCGAGCGCAACGAGGGTGTGCTCAAGCTTTCTCTTCAGGTGTGGTCGGAGCTGCTTAGAGCGCTGGAGTCGCGTGGCCTGTTCCAGACCGAAGCTGACCTTCTGAGCCACATCCAACCCTTGATTACTCTGACAATGTCTCCCTTCGGCGTTCCTCGGTACCCCATTCCCATGAATGCTTCCCTCTTTATCAAGCCCTCGGGCGTTCCATTCCCGATGAGCGCTGCTGCACCAGCCAAGTCCTCCCCAAGTGCAGTCAGTGCACAGTCTGATGGGACCAAGAAGCGTGGACGCAAGGTGGAAAAGAAGGAAGTCCCGACCATGTCGGCTCATAACGTGGACGGCCACATGCTCCAGGGCGATATTGACTTGGTTGGCGCCGATACCATGTTGCGGTCCAAGATATATGCCGCCAAGGCGCTGGGCCAGCTTCTTTCTGTCTGGGATAAGAGCGCACTCCCGAGTCTGTGGCAGTCTATTGTGGAGGGCTTGAAGCACTCCGCATCCACGTCTCAGCTCTCGTCAGCGATGATCATCGAGGAATATGCGAGAGTGGCCGGCCCAAGCAGCAAGTACTCCTCGACTCTCTGCGAGCATTTGCGTCCGATCATCGAAGGCGACCGACCGCTGTGGTACGGCGATATTGCATGCTATCTTCATGTTGCCCGCGCCCAGTGTCACTCGCTGCTCAATGCCTTCCGCGACCATGCCCATGTTCCTAGCTCAAGACTTCCGACTCTTGCTGTCGTTGTTCAAGGAGACGCCGAGGCCGGCCCAAGTGCGTTCTCATTGGCAGATGCTGAGAAGGTCATCGGACCGGATTTCGAGCGGTTGAAGAAAGGACTGGCACCCGCTCAGCGCATTACTGCTCTGCAGGTCCTGAATGACACGCGGGCAACCGCAGAGAACTCTGTCGAAGAAGCAAAGAATGTTCGGGAACAGAGGGATCTTCGGGTTCTAGCAGCTGCGGCTGGTGCGCTGGTGGCTCTGCATGACATTCCAAAGAAGCCGGGCCATATTATCAAGGGCATGATGGATAGCATCAAGAAGGAAGAAAATGCTGAACTTCAACAGCGTTCTGCTACAGCGATCTCAACCTTGGTGGAGTACTACACCACGGCCACTAAACGCGGACCGGTCGACAAAGTCATTGGAAACTTGGTCAAATACTGCTGTGTGGACTCGTCTGAGACCCCTGAGTTCCACCACAACGCCTCGCTGGAGAAGTCCATTCTTTCCCTGCGGAAGGAGGAGGATCGACGGGACCATCCCGACGCAGCCAAGTTTGAACGAGAGGCCAAGGCGGCGCGAATCATGCGTCGGGGTGCTAAGGACGCTCTCGAGCAACTGGCAGTCAAATTTGGTCCTGATCTCTTGGAGAAAGTGCCCAACCTTGCCACTCTGGTCGAGCGGCCACTCAAAGACACGCTTACTGGAAGTCTCCCGGAGGACATTCTTGACCCGGACAATGAGTTGGGTCAGGAAGTCGTTGATGGTTTGTCGACATTGCGCGCCCTGCTACCCAAATTCGATCGTGGTCTCCACACCTGGGTAGTCAGTCTCATGCCTCTTATTATCAAGGCTCTGCAGTGTCGTCTGTCGGTTATTCGATATGCGGCCGCCAAGTGCTTCGCGACTATCTGCAGCGTCATCTCGGTAGAGGGAATGACGATGCTGGTAGAGAAGGTGCTGCCAACCATCAACGATCCCTTGGACGTTCACCACCGTCAAGGAGCTGTCGAGTGTATTTACCATCTGATCCATGTGATGGAGGATCGTATCCTTCCATACGTCATTTTCCTTGTCGTACCCGTGCTTGGACGAATGAGCGATTCTGACAACGACGTGAGACTGCTGGCGACGACGTCGTTCGCAACGCTGGTCAAACTCGTTCCCTTGGAAGCTGGCATTCCCGACCCTCCCGGTCTCTCCGAGGAACTGCTCAAGGGTCGTGATCGCGAGAGGAAGTTCATGGCTCAGATGTTGGATTCCAAGAAGGTGGAAGAGTTCTCATTGCCAGTTGCGATTAAAGCGGAGCTCAGACCTTATCAGCAGGAAGGTGTCAACTGGCTTGCTTTTCTCAACCGCTACAATCTCCATGGTATTCTTTGTGACGATATGGGTCTTGGTAAAACCCTGCAAACGATCTGCATTGTCGCAAGTGATCATCATCTGCGAGCCGAAGAGTTCGCCAAGACCCAAGCGCCAGAGGTCCGGAAGCTTCCGTCTTTGATCGTGTGCCCGCCCTCACTGTCCGGCCATTGGCAGCAAGAGGTCAAGCAGTACGCTCCGTTCCTGAATTGTGTTGCTTATGTGGGCCCCCCAGCAGAGCGCGCCAGACTGCAAGATAGCCTGAGCGAGGCGGATATCGTCGTAACATCGTACGATATCTGTCGCAATGACAACGACGTTCTGCGTCCGATCAGCTGGAATTACTGCGTGCTAGACGAGGGTCATTTGATCAAGAACCCCAAGGCCAAGGTGACGATCGCGGTCAAGCGCCTCCAGAGCAACCATCGGTTGATTCTCTCTGGTACACCCATTCAGAATAACGTACTGGAGCTGTGGTCGTTGTTCGACTTCTTGATGCCCGGGTTCTTGGGTACAGAGAAGGTCTTCTTAGACCGATTCGCCAAGCCCATTGCGGCCAGTCGATTCAGCAAGTCGTCTTCCAAAGAACAGGAAGCCGGCGCACTAGCGATTGAGGCGCTGCACAAGCAGGTGCTGCCGTTCCTGCTCCGTCGTCTGAAGGAGGAGGTCCTGAACGACCTGCCACCGAAAATCATCCAGAACTACTACTGTGATCCCAGTGAGCTGCAGAAGAAACTCTTTGAGGACTTCTCCAAGAAGGAGCAGAAGGAGCTGGCCGACAAGCTGGGAAGCTCCGAGAAATCAGACAAGGAGCATATCTTCCAAGCACTGCAGTACATGCGTCGTCTCTGCAACTCTCCCGCGCTGGTGGTGAAGGAAGGCCACAAGCAGTACAACGAAGTCCAGCAGTATCTGACCACCAAGCACTCCAATATCCGGGACGTGTCCCACGCGCCGAAGCTCAGCGCTCTGCGCGACCTGCTTCTCGACTGCGGAATCGGCATTGATCCCCCGACGGAAGGCGACCTGGGCACGGGAACCAGCTACGTGAGCCCGCACCGAGCCCTGATCTTCTGCCAGATGAAGGAGATGCTTGATATCGTCCAGAGTGAGGTCCTGCGGAAGCTTCTTCCTTCAGTCCAATATCTTCGATTGGATGGTGGAGTCGAGGCAACCAAGCGTCAAGACATCGTTAACCGCTTTAACTCCGACCCGAGCTATGACGTTCTGCTTCTGACCACCAGTGTTGGTGGTCTGGGTCTGAACCTGACGGGAGCCGACACGGTGATCTTCGTGGAACACGACTGGAACCCGCAGAAGGATATCCAGGCCATGGATCGTGCCCATCGTATTGGACAGAAGAAGGTCGTCAATGTGTACCGTTTGATCACGCGAGGGACTCTGGAGGAGAAGATCTTGAAGTGAGTTTTTTTTTTTTTTGTTCTCAAAACCGCATCTTTGCATAACGTACTAACCGCGGGAAAACCTCTAGTCTGCAACGATTCAAGATCGACGTCGCCTCGACGGTAGTCAACCAACAGAACGCCGGTCTGAACACAATGGACACGGATCAACTGCTAGATCTGTTCAACCTCGGCGAAACCGCCGACAACGCCGAGAAACCCAGCGAGCCCACCGGCAACGAGGTGGACATGGTGGACATCGACGGCGAGGTCAAAGAAAAGGGCAAGAAGGGCTGGCTGGACGATTTGGGCGAGCTCTGGGACGACCGCCAGTACCAGGAAGAATACAACCTCGACTCCTTCCTAGCCACCATGAAGGGGTGATCATTGGTGCCTGGCTCCCTCACAAACAGGAGGGAAAACCAAAAAAAAAAAAACAAAAAAAAAATTCACCTACATACAAAACCCATTCACACCTACTCACCAACCTACTACCCATCCACCCATCCACCCACCTATCACACCATCCTACCATTTATTGATTGACGACCGCCTCGGAAGGCCACGAGACGAAACCTGATTTGAAACTCTTCACATAACTTTATTTGCCCCCCAAATTACAATTCCCATGAATAGAACTCTTCGGAGAGGCTTCTCTTAATGTTTCTGCAGGTTTACAGGGCAATTTCTCTCTGCTTTCTGTGGCAGATGGCAGAAAGGGAGAAGGAGTGTATGCTAGCTAGTTTTTATCTTTTTCTATCTTCTTTTTTGCCACCCCTTAAACCCTTTTTTCCCCTCAGAATCTCTTCTAGTTAATGTATTATAAACTGGCGATCGAACACTCATGACATTTATGCTCTGCTCCTGCTTCTGCTCCAACATAGGCTCACTGCCATATTTTCCGGAAGAGAGAAAGTGAGGGAAGAGGTGTTTTGAGGTATTTTGAGTGTGTTTCTCATGCAGTAGGCGAGTAGGCGAGTAGTCAAGTACGCAAGTAAGAAGGGGAAACTACAAGTGCTCGCATACTGGGAGTCGAGCTACAGTATGGGGTAGGGATGGTTGCTGGCATGGTATCATACATGTATCACATTCTACCACAAGAAAGTTATACTGTACGCGTATCGTCATTCGAGTATGAGTATCAGTAGTAACACCAACAGGATTACAGCATCAGCATCAGCACCAGCATAACCCCCAACATGAACATTACCCCCCCCCAACCTACCCTCACCAAGCCTCCCAAACAACAACACAGACATTCCATAAAAGCTAAACCCGAGTCCCACAGGGACATTACACACACCAAACAAGAAGCAGAGCATACAATCGGATGCAAAAATAAAGCAAGGTAAAGGTAAGGTCAGGCCAAAGCCGAAGCCATGACCTACCAGAAAAAGCTAATCAGGAGCTATCAGGCTTGGAAGACATGGAAACAAACGTTCAAAGGAAAAATCAAATCAAATCTCGAATTCCTTATACCCCTCCACCAACCCATCCGAGAACTTGGTAGCAGCCACCCAGACCGGCGCATACTGTTTCACCTCGTCGAGGGCGGGGATGGCTCCGATGCGATTGTGGTCGCTCCAGAGACAGACGACCCGTCCTTTCAACTTGGCCTTATCCTCCTTGTCGTCGCCAGTTGCAGCTGAAGACAGGGAGTCGACGAGGACGTACTCTTCGCCGGACGCGGCATCGGTCACGACCTCCGTGGTGGGCGGCGCGAGGGACGGCGGGGGCACGGTCCACTCCACGTCCACGGTCCAAGTATTCTCCCACTCGCGGCTCCACAGGCGGATCTCTTGCGTGCCCAGCGGGGACGTGTGCGGGAAGCGCGGGTCGTACGCGCTGCCGGCCACGCTGAAGGAGGAGATGGGGGTGTCGAAGGTGATCCTGCAGGCGCGGGTGTTGAGGCCGGACAGTTGGATCTGAGCGGTTTGGAGGTTGTCGCCTTGCTCCGCGGAATGCGAGGAGGACTCCGTGGCGGACACGTTGAAGGTCAGCCAGGATTTGTAGTCCTCGGGCGCCGAGGGCACAACATCTGGCATGGGACCGGGCCAGGAGCACTTCGTGCGTGCAGCGAGCGCACTACAGACCAGCTCCTGGCCGTGGACGCTTGGGAGCGCGTGAGCCACCTGGGCGACGAAGGGCGAGATCCCGATCAGCGACACGTTGGTTGCGGCCGTGTCGAGGTTGATCTCCTGGTGGAAGAAGATCTTCAGGCGGTTGGACGCCGAGAACGGGAACGCGACCAGGTTGTAGATCAGGCACCCCAAGGAAATCGCCAGCAAGAACAGAGGGATATGATATGTGTGGCGGTGGATGTAAGGGAGGAGCGGGGTGAGAAGGAAGGTAGTCAGGGCTGCGATGGCGATGTAGATGAACAGAGAGGAACTGCCGTCCTGGCCGGTTTGATGCAATGCGCTGGTTAGCAGCAACGCCAGGGGCCCGACCATGATGAGCACAATCGGTGCCGTCAGCAGGAATTGCAGCACCCAGGTCCATTTCGGCAGGTGTGCGCTCCAGCGTTGCTCGTGGCCGTAGACGTGTGGGTCGCTGGGTTCGTCGGGGCCCTCATGCTCCCCCGTGACGCGCACGTAGTTGGCAAAGGTCGTACGCTGGCCGCCTCCCAGCAGAGACGTCGACTCGGTGGGTTGCTCGTCGTCGGAATCGACGTGCTCGTCTCCGTCGTGCTCCGAGGTGTGTTCCTCGCCCGAGGCTGTGCCCAGTCGACTGCCGCCATAACTGCTGGGACGGCGCGACGACGCCGGCACCGGCGCATACTGACTGGCGTACTCTGACTTCCGAGGCAGGGCGAACAGCTCCAGATAGGAAATCCAGGTGGCCAGGAACGTGCCACAGAAGGAGAAGAAAACCCAATACCCGCCAGCCAGACCCCACTGGTTCTCGTAGACCGTCGCAATCACCAACATCACCCAGGCGAGCACAAACATCCACGTCAAAGTATAGATGCGGTGGAAGGCCGAGGGGCGCGCAAAGTCGGCGACGCGCGACACGAACCAGGCCAGAAACGTCCAGGCCGACAGCATCATACCCCACACCGCATACTCGCTGCTGTGGATGATCAACGGATTGACTTTGGTCACCAGGTACGCCAACCCAACCGTGACGGCCGTCGGGATCACAAACAGAAAGGGGAACCGGAAGAACCCGCGCAGTCCCTGCAGCGACACGGCCTCCCCATCGTCGAGCGACGACTTGACCGTGGACCGGAACAGGTACATCTTGTCGGCCCGGCTCAGGGCAACACTCGTGACCAACAAGCCCAGGGGCGCGACAATGAGCATCGTCACCGACAGCGCAAACAAGGTATGCAGCTGGAACACCACGAAGGTCGCTCCGAAGAGGTCGAACCACACTCCGCGCGATCCTCTCTTCCCACCATCGCTACTATCATCACTAACCAGCCCCTCGGTCGTCTTCACCGCCGCCTCCAGCATGTGCCACAGGCTCTCCACTGTCGTGTGCCTCGAATCATCCTGGTCGGTATGATATCTGGCCCTAGGCTCCATAAACGCGACATCCAAGCCCCTCATGCCCAGATCTCCTTTGAACACGACATAGTCCGTCTGGGAACTGATGAGGCCGACCTCAAACCCATTGGCCGCCAACACGGACCCGAACGGGTGTTTCGCGCGCCTATAGTTCCTCGTCACTTCGGTGTCACTACCTCGGAACAGGATCGCCCGACCACCGGCGCCGGCCCCCTCCAGATTCAGAAAGGTCTGCGTGAACTTGGACAGCGGGTGCTGGCTGAACACGCGCGCTCCGTTGAGGAAATCCTCCTCGCCGTTGTTGAAGAGCACCACCACGCCGCGACGCGGGGCATGGCCCGGGGTGGTGAAGTACTTGATCAACTGAAGACAGGTGACGACGCCGACCCCGTCATCCGTCGCGCCATAGCCGGTGGAGACGCTGTCATAGTGGGCGTTCACCAGCACACCTCCGCTTCCTCCCTCCGACCCCAGAACTAGGTCAATATCATCATCATCCTCTCCACGGATGTAGACTAGGAGGTTGGTGCCTTCAAAGTAGACCGCGGTGTTGGACGACTTGAGGGTATTGCCGACGAAGGAGAGGTTGGACTGGTTGTCGTCGAAGATGTAGACGGTGGGTCGAGTTTCGTCGTCGGCATTGTAGATCGTAGGAGGCTCATGGAAGCCCTGGTACCGGTTAGCCTTGTGGTCAGACTGCCCGGGTGTATCCGCGTTGTTGTCGTGGACAATCTCCTTCACTCGGCGGAGAAGCCAATCTCGGACCTCGTCGTTCCGGCGCGAATTATACGGATGGTACCCGTTGGTCAGGACCTGCAGATCGGCCCAAGCTTCGTGGAGATCGAGACCGTTGGGGGTGGAGGATGCACTGGGCGCCGAGGGGAGCACGTGGTGGACGACAAGGAGGGGGATCACAAAGGCGAGGTAGACGGCGGTCGTAATGAGAGTCACGGGCCACCGCGTGAAGGCCAGTGGATTGCCGCGCGGGGTAGCCATCTCTCTCTCTCTCCCCCTTCTCGCTCTTTTGCCTTTCTGCGCTATATTTGTACTAGCTGAGAGAAGTGTCCGTAGTCGCTCTCAGCTGCTGCAGAAGCCTTCTTTTGGCTGGGCTGAGCTGGAGCGGGGACTGGAACTGAGCTGGGCTGAGCTACAGTGAAGTGGAAGGGAGAGAATGCGGAGAAGGAACGGATCGGAAATGGAATGATGGTTGATCGGCCCATGCGAAACCCGTCATTATGTCACCGCCAGCCCACTCAGTCACTTTCAGTCACTTTCAGTCAACTTATCTACTATGTGTACTTCGTGCTCCGTACAGTATGTGTATACAGTACAATAGTAGTATAAAGTTATGGTTGATATCTACTCCAATTGCCTATGTTTTTATCTCATGAACCTCAATTGCCAATCCACTCTCAGTGTAATTGCATTCCCGCAACAACTAGACTGCTGCTGCTGCTCTATAAGTTACTCAATTCTAATACGGTAACGGTAGGCAGACCAACCCTCCCTCTGTCCTCTCGATGATCGATCACTGCTCATATCGATAATTCCTTAGGAAGAAACTGATTTTTGTTGTTCATCTCACCCTGCATTTCCCCCCAAAGCGATGTATAAGGCAGGCAGAGCGCAGAAGGCAGAGAAAGTTGAAGTCCCCCCCCACAAAGACGAACGCAACCGCCAGTCAGCCTCAGCCCGAAGAAAACACATCCCAACAACCAGCTCCCAGATAAACCGCTACCGACTATGCAAATTCATAACGGAAATCCCTGTGTGCACACAAACAGAAATTGGAACCCCTCGCTGCTTGGCCCAAAAAAATGGAAAATCGGAAGAACAATAGAGAAATGAAAACGACACCATGTTTGTAAAACCATACACAAAAAATGATAGATGTTAAGATCCGATGCACAAGACACGCTCAAAGATACGGAGAGGAAAAAGGGTATGGGTATCAACTGGGTGTATGTCCAATGTCAATGTAATCGTCGTCGTTAATCGCCGTGGCCGCCGTTGCGCGCATCAGGCCAGTCACCTGGCCCTCATCCTCGTCCAGTTCCTCGTCGTCATCATACATGGTCGCTTCCGTCATGTCCTGCGGCGGTGGAGGGGGAATCATATGGTTCAGTTGGTTACGCAAGTGGTTCACGCCATCGCCGCTGAATACACAGAACACGTCGCGCTGTTGGGGTGTGAACTCGGGAGGCGCCTCGCGGCAAAACTCGGTCAATTCTTTTCGCGCATAGAACTCCTGGACCCCCGTCAGACTGAGGTGTGTCAGACGAGGACAGCTGTTGACAAGTGCATGGATTCCCTGCGGCCAGTTAGCATTATCCCAGACAAAGACAAAAAAAAGCCATCGTTCGACCACATACTCTGAGGGTGAGGAAAGTGCAGTAACTGAGATGCACCCGCTCTAGACTACTGATTCCTGCGGAGTGATGGGAAGCCTTGGGACCCGCCAAGGCTAGAATGCTGTTGTCCGTGATGTTGGCACACTTGACCAAGCCGATACGCCGTAGTTTGGGTAACGTAGCCAGCTGCTGCACACTTGCGTCCGTGAGACGGGTACAGCACGCCAGGTCGATATACCGGATACGGTTGCAGGACTTGACCAAGTGCATCACGGCTGCATCGGAGATGTTGGAGCAGTGTCCCAAGTGGACGTAGTGCAGATTCTTGCCGAGCTTGCAAATGGCCCAGACTGCGCGATCCGTGATAAGCCGACACTTTGCGAGCACTAGGTTCCGTAAGCGCGGCGCCGATGCCACAATACGCTCAACGGCAGCGTCTCTGACATTCTCGCAGGATGTCAAGTCCAGAATGCGCAAGCTGTCCAAAGTAATATGCGGTGCCAGCTCCAGGAACGCCATATCGTCGAGTTCGGTGCAGTGGGCCAGTCGTAGCTCACGGAGATTATTCAGTGTCGCCATCAAGGCAGTTATCGACTTGTTGGTGACGAGCTTGCAGTCATGAAGGTCAATCTCCAGGATGGCCGGGCAGCTCTGAGCGAACGACAGAATGGATTTGTCCGTGACTTGCGCGACTCCGTTCAGTTTTAACTGTCACATATTAGCAACCATGATGTAGAATCCGAGTAGCCATGGCCACCTACCCGTTTGATCTGTCGGCAATTACGAGACACGACAAGCAAGGAGTCGTCCGTCACCTTGGTGCAGTTCGTGATATTGAGCCCCTGGAGCCGGGGACAGTTTCTAGCCACCGTGTACAGAGTGTGGTCGGTGAGATGCCCCAAGTCCGACACATCTAACGCTTGTAGATGGCGATTCCCTTCCACCAGGTCTGACACGCCGGTGTCCGACAGTTTGGAGCAGTTGGTCAGCGTCAATCGCTCGATCCGGTTGCACTGAGCAAAGGTCATGACCGTTCCATCGCTGACGTCGCCCGAGAGAGCGGACAGGTTCAGTCTCTTGATTAAGTCCGAGTAAGGAAAGAAGCTGTTTGGCTTGCCCACAGTGGTGCTGATGCTCTTCATGTTGTCCCAGCTGTTGCACGATGGCCGGTGCCACAAGATCGCCACGCAGTTTGCCGCCCATCCTCTGCAGACCAGCATACAGCTCATCATATCGGCTGGCGAACTCAGTTTGGCGAAGATGGCGATTAAGATCTCCGGAGGCAACCGTCCGATGGGCGGCAGGGCCCGATCTGAGTCGTAATATGCATGAGAATTCCGGCCATTTACACCGCCCACGGAGGATTCTGAATCATTGGCCTGGGCTGTGAAGAAGTCGGTGTCATCATCGGCGGTGCGATCGGGGGAGGTCGAGGAGGAGGATTCGGAGGGAGCTTCGCTCGAGAACCGAGCGGGTTGCCTTGAGCGGGGCATCAGGACCAACGTCGGAAAGTGGTGGCAAGCGTGCTTGTTGGGAGAGGGAGGAGGAGGACTGGTCGCTGTCCTATTTCGGCCAGGATACAACGTGTTGTGCGTTGGGTAGAGAAACTATTCATATAAAATGTGGCTGTCACCTGTTGTAGAGGCGAAGCCGGAAGTGTGATCAGAGATTCGAGACCGATCTGGAGATTTGAGGTTTCGCCCTAAGAAAAGCGGAAGGGTCAAGGGGGCCAGAAGAAGAGGCGAGTTGAGATCAGGTTGGTCGGGGTTGAGAGGGAGAACACGCGTCGAAAGAGCCTGCGATAGGAGATGCCGACGAAGGCAAAGCAAGGCAAGGCAAGGGAAAGGAGGGGAAAGGGAGAGGAGGAGGAGGAGAGAGAGGACGGTGTCGGGCGGCGGAGGAGGCGAGGGAGAAGGAGGAATCCCGGTCGGAGGACCGAAAGGGTGAGATCCGGGGGCGGGATTGAGAGCGTCCAGAAGATCTGTAAGTCCGATCAGGGGAAAATGTAAGTATCGTATAGTCAGATAGAGTCAAAAGGTGGTAGTTACAAGTAATCAACGTAGCGACAGTGGGCTGTCGAGGAGGAGGAGGAATGATGATGATGATGTTTGGATGTTGATGATGAGGGGAGGGAGGGGGGGGGGGTTGGGACGGAGAAGGACTGACGAAAGAAGAAGAAGGCGGTTGCAAAGGCGGGAGAGAAGAAAGAAAAGAAACTGGAAGAGGATGATTAAGGTAGACAGAGGTAAATATTCACCTACTTAAAGTTAGGTAGGGAGAGAACAAACAGCTTTGTACTGTACCTCGTTCACTGATCTCAGCCTAATCAACAGTAACTTATATTTTTAATCCTTGAAAAAAATACTAAAAAAAATATATTTTACAACCCCGAATAACGCTTGATTGCGACTTAAGGTGAGAAAGGAGGGGAAAGTTGATTGATTAGTTTAGTTAATATTTAGTAACTTAACTGAACTGCCAGGGAAGCCCGCTCGCTGCCGAACGACATCATCCATGCTATTCTTGGGTGGTCGACCCGTGTGCGGCGCCCACTTACTTATCCCTCAATTCACCCAAGCATCAAAGCATCAAAGGTATCATGATTATTATTAGCATTCCTGGACAAACACTACCAGATTCACTAAGTAAGCATGACTGCCTACCAGGGGAATTGCTAGAATTATTGGGCTGAGCTTTGATTATCTTCAGTTTCATCCAAAGCTTCCCCCCTTCCCCCTTCCCCCTCCCCCTCATGCTCGTTGCCTTCACCATCCCCGGTGGTTCGCATCTAAGACAAATAGGATCCACCTCGGATTGTTCCCTCCTTTGGTTCATGTTTAGAATGGGTTTGTGAAGCTCATCCGCCATTACCCCTTTTCACCACCCGACTATGTGATTCGTTAAAGAGGCGAGAATCGCAGAGAATACAAGTGTACAGCCTTATCGTCTCCTGCGACACTCTATCTAATCTATATAAAGTCACAACCCGTTCAACCAGAACAAGACCATAGAGTGATACAATCTCTCCCGAGAACCAACCCACCATCTCTTTCACGTCCGAGACGCCCCCTTAGCCCAGTCGCGCAGTACATTTTTTCTGATTTTCCCCGTACTGGTTTTGGGCAGCTCCGCCACCACCTCCACCTCGCGAGGGACCATGAATTTACTGATGCCGCTCGCATTCCGCGCCCACTCAATGACCGCCTTGCCATCGAGTTCCCTACCTTCCTTGACCGTAATGAAGGCCTTGGGACGTTCGCCCCAGTGCGCATCTGGAACCGACACGACCCCGGCCTCCAGAATGTCGGGGTGGGTCACCAGCTGCGCCTCTAAGGCAACTGAGGAGATATTCTCACCCCCTAAAGCCGTACGTCAGCACAACATTCCGGAGAGGGAACAGGGGTGCAACAATGAGAACCAAACCGAAGCCCAGGGATCTAACTTACCGCTGATGATGATGTCCTTAGCTCGATCCAGAATCTGGATGGCCCCATCGGGATGCCAGACAGCCAGGTCGCCGGAATGGAGCACACCACCAAGGAACAGCTTCCGTGTCGCCTCCGGGTCCTTGTAGTAGCCCCGGGAACATATGTTCCCGGCAAACACGATCTCCCCGATCTCCTTGCCGTCCCGGCGGACGTCTACAACCGTGCCCTCGGGAACATCCGTCTTGATCACCCTGGCCGGCAGACTGGTCAGGAATCCATGGCCCTGTCTCGCCATCTTTTCGTATCGCTCGGTCGGGGCAAGGTTGTCCCACGCTGGCATATGGTACCCCTTGGTGATGGGGCCGTACGTCTCCGTCATCCCGTAGGTATGCACAGGATGCAGGTTAAAACCGGTCATCTGCTCGAACAGATGGCCCGTCGGAGGACTAGCCGCCACCGTCACGCGCACCGACTGCGGCAGACGTTCAGCTTGCGGCGAGTTGCAAAGCAAAGTATTCACCGTCGGCGCCGCATTAAAATGCGTGATGCGTTCTTGCTTCAGCAACCTCCAGATCTGCGGATAATCGATCTTACGCAGACAGTAATGCGTACCCCGGACAGCCGTCACGGCCCACGGAAAGGTCCACCCTGCGCCACAGCATCAGTCCCATCAGGTCCTTGGCCATTTTTGACCAGAAGAAAACACTCACCAACCGCATGAAACATCGGCAAAGTCCACAGATACCTGCACCGACCCTCCTGCACATTCAGCCCAGATTCGACCAGATTCGCCAACGACGCCAGGTAGCACCCCCGATGGGTGAGCTCCACCCCCTTCGGCTTGGCCGTAGTTCCACTCGTATAAGCCAACGCGAGGATATCCTCCTCGGCAGCCGCCTGAGCTTCCAACCCATCCCACCCTAGAGCCCCAGTCTCGGCATCAAACCTCAACCCCTCCAAGACCGCATCATCAAACGGCCCAGATAACTGCCCTTCCGTCTCATCGGTATCGGTATCCACAATCACCGGCACATCAGGTTTCGTCGCCCGATAGCGCTGTAAGAGGGGCAGAAACTCCTGGTCCACAATAATCACCTCCACCTCTGAATGTGTAAAGATATAGGCGATATCTTCTTCCTTGAGACGGTAATTCACCGCTATAGGAGAAAGTTCAAGTCAGCACGAACCCCTTCCAAGCAGTATACAGCAAATTCCCCCCAGGAAAAGACAGCCCCTCCACCCACTACCCTAAGCCAAACGAACTACACATATAGCAGAAGAACAAAGAAAAAAAAACATACCAACCTGCACCGCCCCAGCAGCGGCAATGCCAAAGATAGCCTCCAAGAAAGCCGGGGTATTGGGACAGAGAATTCCCACGCGCTTGAACGCATGGCTCTTCAGGAAATAGGCCAGGCCGCGAGCGCGGTCGGCGAATTCGATATAGCTTCGTCGGAGGATTTGATTATTGGTGGTGATGTGGTGGATTGCTTCTGCCTGTTTCAAAGTGTGATAAATATGATGAGTGCTAAGTCAAGGGCATTGATTGGAAGGGAGGGTTCAAGTCGGCTAGACAATTGAGGGGCTAAAGTCTCGAGACAAAAAACAGTACTTACATGTGGTTCGATGGCAGCAGCTCGAGGAAGAAAGTATGTTGGAGATAGGGTGTGGAAGCTGACTGGTCGATTCGTAGAGGTTGAGGTACTGCTGGTGGTGGTGTTGGTGGTGGGAAGCAAATGGGCGAGCAGGCCCGATAACCGGCCCTTTGCGGAGGACATGGCTTGTGATGATGTTCTTTGATGTAACTGGCGAGGAACGAATCCGTGTATGCTTCCAATGTCCTCCCTGGAGAAAATCCAATTGGACGGGCACTGGTCAGGATGAGGAGCGAGGGCGTGTGTGATTCAGAATGAGAAAACGAGACAACGAGGAAGAGAAGGGGGGGGGGGGGGGAGAAAGAGAGATTCCGAGGTAGCTCCAGAAGAGGAGAAGCGAAGTAGAAGAGGAGTAAATGCGGGGATGATCATCATTCGGGGCGTCGGGGCCGCGGCGGAGCCCAAAAAGCGGATCCTTCCCTTTCAACCTGGAACTTCAAACAACCCCGTTCTACTCCGTACCTACTCTCACATTGTTCAATGCTTGATTCGTCCATAAACGAAGAAAGAACCTACCAATGAAGCTGGTATCTTCAATGGGTTTCGAAATTGCTGACGACAACAACCGAATCAATAAAGTTCCGCAAGTGACACCGACCAATACCCAGGGATACACACAGTACACATTTCCCCTCACTGATGATTGACCACTGGAAAACTCTTGTTCCTTAGCGGCCTCCACCTTGGGCCCAATCCATAATCAACTCAATACATCATGGGTACTACTTATACAACCAAGCAATCAACAAACTCAATTGAGATCCATGCCCGTTCGTCGGACTGAGTACGTATCGACGTAGACATAACATACTCCAATAAGTCGGCGAGTTACAGGTCTACCATGAAGTCACAGCACAGTACTGTCCAGTACAAATACTTCCTCAGACATCTATTCTACATGGAACTACCATCCAACAAGAAACATATCATCAAACAAGATCCCGCTCCGAGCCAAGGAAGTACGGTGGGCTACTAAGCACCAGCAGGAAAAAGAGGAACTGTCCAGAACTGTCTGCGCACCGCAGGGGACGCTCTACTCGCTGGTGGTCAGTGCTTACCGACAGACAGGATCCAGAACCGGATCAAGGATTCACAGACAGATCGGATGGAGCATCATCAACTGTTTCCCACCATCGATCATCTTCACTATGAAAGTGGATGGTAGGTGACGGTCCATGAGTCAACCATGCAGCGACAATCACGCCAAGCGGCAAGTGCCTTGCTCCGATTGCATGAAGGCGATCCCGGCACATGCAATACTCTTTCTCCCATCACATCATTAAATTACGCTGGGATGGCGGTATTGACGGCCTTGGCCTCTTTGACTACGACGACGATGTACATCTGTACACCAGTGTGGACTTCACTAGGCGTCATGGCAAGGTGTTGTCTTGTCGCATGCGGCTTCGTCACGCAAGGGGGCTGAGAGTGGTGATGACAATAGGATTAGAATCCATACGGTTCTTGCGGCATTTATACGAGGTTATCGAGAAACTTGGACCCGCGGGTCGTAGCATAGCATAATGGGAACTTTGGACACTTATGGCGGATATACCAAGATAAAGCTGAATGTAATGTTTCTTTTCTTTTTGAAAGGGGGAGGTCGTCACAACAAGTCATCTGAAAAGTTTGAAAAAAGAAAAAATTTCTTGGAATTAAACCGCCACGGCGCGAGTCAACGGTCAGCTATTTGGAAACAACCTTGTTTTTTCTTCATCCCAGAACGGACTCCCGTAAAAATTCTTTTTTGTTTATTAAGAGTTCGAATCTCGCCAGCCTCCCATGTGCGTCACAACGTAAGTATTGTGGTGGGTTTCATGAAAAGGTTAGGGACAGAGGGAGAGAAAAAAAAGGTCGATCGGTTCGCCGTCCATCTGTCGCTGAAACATAACCGTAACCGTTCGCGATCCCATCCCATCCCATCACAGACACAGGCAACCAGCCGCGCAACCAGGTATCTAGTATCCGTACTGAGCAAGCTCGGTCTTGGTCTGCTCGCTGACAGCCGCCGACTTCTGGGCGTGGACGAGTTGACGGCGGGCAGCCTTCTTGCGCTCGTAGTAGGCGCTGCTCTTGACCTTTCTCCGCTCCTCGAGTCTGTAGAGGGATGTTTAGCCATGATCCGAATACAACGAAGGGGGCCGCTCCAACGCGGCAACAGAATCAACATACCTGGCAACGACGTCCTGGTACTTCCAGCCGACCTCGTGGCTCAGACGGCCGACGGTGCAGTACTTGCGACCGGGGCGGAGGCGGAGGACACGGAGGGCCTGAGGAACGACGACGCGCTTCTTCTTGTCGTAGGGGGGAGGAACACCCTCGAAGACCTTGAGGCGCTCCAGAGCGGCAGCACCACGGGCAGTCTTGTGGGGGATCATACCGCGGACGGCCTTGTAGAAGATGCGGGAGGGAGCGCGGAAGTGGAAGGGACCTGTGGGAATCAAACTCAGCACCAGTCGAGAGAATCGGGGTTGTCGGAGGGTTTCAGGGTGGACTCACCACCGCGGGTGGGGTTGAAACGAGTCATCTTGCGAAGGTAGGCGTGGTACTTGACTATATCGCACAATCCAGGTCAGTCGATGTCGATTCCTCAGCATAAAAAGCGCATCTCTTGTGTTCCTCCACAACTGTCGCCTCGATATTTCGATCATCATCCCGACTCTTCGTTCCTCAATGTCGCAACCTATTTCACATCCAGCCCTGCACCTCACGTAGCAGACACCACACACCAAGGAGATAACCCAGACGACAGCAGAGATGGCAAACACAAGAGATCGCATTCGAATTCGGATCGGATAGATGGTAAACGTACGCTTCGCGCGGAAGAACTCGCCGGAGATGTTAAGAGCCTCACATCTCACGACGACGATCTTCTGACCGTTGAGCAGCTGCTTGGCGACAGTGCTGGCAAGACGACCAAGAAGGTGTCCCTTGCCGTCAATGACGACCTGCAAAAGAATTCCAACACAAGTCAGCGATTTTTCCCGGAAGAATCCCTGAGTGAAATATATAGAAATCCCCCGCCCTATCCCTCCGCTTCTCCCGGGAGACGGTCTCATGTTCCCCTTGTTCCCCTTTCCGCCTCAAACCCCCAAATCTCCCCCAATCATCCCTCCTCTTGCACTCGTCTCCGGTATTGTTGCAGATGTATGTTTTCAAGATAGGATGTGCATGTGTAGGTGTGGAAGGGGCGGTGGTACGCACGACTGGATCGATGGAGGACATCCTGCTGTGTCGAAAGGAAAATATCCAGCGATAGGAAGAGCGCTGCTCTAGGATACTCCCTTGGGATGTATAAGTTGTCGGCGGTTGTTGTCGTTGTGGGCAGGTTCAACGCACACACAACGGATGGTCGGATGGAGGTTCGCTGGGGTTTGGTCGCTAAGCGAGCGGCGCTACGGGCTTTCTTTGTGCGGGAAGCTCCCCCGTCGAGGGCCACAGCCCTAACTCCTTCTTTCCCGTGGCGTGGCTTGGGTATCACGTGATACCCTACCCTCATCAGGAGGGAATCCAGCCCCCAACCCTTGCCCTTATCTCTTGTTCAGAGATGGGAATGTTGCCCTTTCGCAGATATTGGGTGCTTTGTGCAGATGCATGGTATGAAGTAGTTACTGCATAATATTAACCGTCACTCCCTGCCATTCTGTTCCTGTCCTTGCAATGGCCAGGCTATACCTCATTGCATTAGTTCTGGGAGGGAGGAACTTAGACAAGTGCCCACCCCGCACATGACTACTAGATAGTGCGTAGACCCAGTGTTTCCCCCAGATACGCTGGTAATCAATCTACACTGTCCACTGCCTATCGGTCCCTTTGCTACGGTCGCATTCACCATTTAAGTCCCTAAAAGTATCAGAAAGGATTAAGTTTCTCTGTCATTAGTTTACTATCACCCTAAAACCCTTCACTTGCTTCACCTGACCGGTGCAATCATCAGGCAGTCAGCCAATGGTTCTAGCCACCCGCCTACCGATTACGGCCTATGTATGGGCAAGTCCCCTCAATCAAACATGGCGCAACAATCACAATTCATTAGAAAACCCAGCCCAAGCGAGAGTTGCTGGTCATTATAGCAGCTAGAAGTGAATATTGTATACATTAAGATTAATATGTGCTCTCAAACGGCAAGCCAAGCCATGAGTCTCGCCAAAGATACAGTCCGGCATCGGACGGGGACCTAGAGTCCGTCGCGCGCGCCAAAGCAATGGCATCAAATAGAAGGGACAGTTCGCACGCGATGGCTGTGTCTAAGCGTGTATCCATGTGGAAAAAGGAGGAGGGGGTCGTACAGCATTATACAAAAGAAGCAAAGATGTGCTATCTTCCATCACATCATACAGATCAAGAATTTGTGCCGGCTGCTTTCTAATAAAAAGGTAGCTTAGCGTCTCGCGTGCCCCTCGCAATGACTTCCTCGAGAGTCCAGCGCGGGGGCTCAATGGCCTTGTGGCCTCCATTGGGCTTCTCTTCAAAAGAAGGGAGGGGCTCTTTCAAGCCCCCTGCGACCCCGGAAGAAAACTTGAGCTCGAGAGCATCCCCGATCTCGTCGCACACCTGCAGGATGCGGTCGAGGTCATCCTTGGTGTGCGCAGCCGACACGCACAAGCGGGCACGGGAGAGCTCAAGAGGCGTAGCAGGGTAGGTCACAACGACGACAGAGATCTTCCGACGCAGCATTTCCCGGGAGAACGCAGGCATCTTGGCGGGGTTGTACAGCATCAGGGGGACAATGGGCGAATCATCGTGTCCATAAACGATGAACCCAAGTCGCTTCAGTCCAAGTCGTAGATAACGTGAATTGAACGCTAGACGCTGCATGCGCTCTCTGCCTTCACCCGGATGAAGGGGGTCTTCATCAGCAATAAGGCGCAGCGAGGAATAGATCTGCGCTAGAACAGGCAGGGACGGAGCTTCGCCGAAAACTTGACCAGCATTGATGCAGCGCACTTTGTCGATGATCGCCTTATCGGCGGCGATATAACCCCCATTGGCTCCAAAGGACTTGGTAAAAGTGCCCATAAGGATCTCGACCTCTGCAGGGTCGACCCTGAAGTAGTCACAGACACCGCGTCCATGGCGCCCAACCGCGCCAATTGAGTGAGCCTCGTCAACGAACAAGTGGAACTTGTACTTCTTCTTCAGCTCAAGGATCCTAGGAAGATTGCACATGGTGCCCTCCATTGAGAACAGGCCCTCGACGGTGACAAGGATTTTCTTCCAAGGCCGGTGAGTGCGCGGCTGACCTTGCGAGATCGCCTCCCTCAAGCGCTTCTCAAGGTCCGCCATGTTGTTATGCGCAAAGACCTGGATAGCTGCCCCCGAGAGACGGGCGCCGAACCGGATGGATGCATGGTTGAGCTCATCGGACAGAATCAGACAACCCTTTTCCATGATGGCCGGGAAGATCGTAGCATTGGTCACGAATCCCATCGAGAACACCATTGCGGACTCCTTGCCCACGAACCGGGCGATCTGATCCTCGACCTCAACATGCAACTTGGTGATCCCTGCGTCAGGGGTGCCCGCGAGAGAGATACCTTCCCGCCGGAGAGTCTCCTCCGCGAAATCGGTGCAAGGCCCCTCTGATTGAGCAAATCCGAGGTAGTTGTAGGAGCTGAGATTCAGTGTGTCGGTTGTCGTGCCCGTGAAGCTGAAATGCAGGTTGTCTTCGGTGGTCCGGTCGAGGAGGGTAACATGTCTGCCGGGGACGCCGGTGATCGGCCGCTCGAAGCAGTCGTTGATCCGCTGCTTCAATCGACGCGTGTAGAAGCTCTCGAAGTCGCTGTACAGAGAGGCGTACCCATTCTGGGGTTTCAGATGCCGATAGGAATGAGACGAAAACCACTGAGCCCAGAAATCGTGGAAATGGCCGAGGAAGATGAGAACGAGAAAGCTGACGTAGGTCGTCAAGACAAAAAAGTACGGAGGTTCATCAATGACAGGGTCGGGGATCTCTCCCCCAGGGTGCTCGCTGGTGTAAAGATGCGACGGATCGCCGAGGGGCCCGAACTCGGCGTGCTGTTTAGCTAGCTTGCGGATCGCCTCAGGATCTGGCACTTTGGTTTGTGCTGCTCCTCTCATTGAGTCAGGAGAGCTGCCGCTGACAGCACGGAGAGAGGCGATGGCCGTAGAGTGAGCAATGGGGCTATCGGTTGGCGCTCCAGAACCACCGTTGCTGGCTCCCAGGTCTTTATCAGAGCGCGTCTTACTGCGCTTCCACCGAGGCATGTTGCAAGTGTGACTTGAGGAAAGCTATGCACCTCCTCAAGTCTCTAGAGCGGAGGTAATCTGGTGTCCCTCAAGCTTCTAATGACGAATAGTGAGGGAAAATATCGGAAGAGGAATGAATGATGGTGGAGGTGGTATCGTGAGGTTGCTGAAAGTGCATCATCATGTAATCGGAGGGCGGTTGCCTGGCCCCACTTCCGGCTGCTTCGGGAGATGAATTGACGATTGTTGATTGGGCTCGGTGCAAACCTGGCTTTAAGCGGAGACTCGAGATACAGATTCAGTGCCTCAGGTGTCCACCCTCCGTACTAGTACCCGCTAACTAAGCCAAACCGCTTAACTACATGTCGTCACTCGTTTAGATAACTCTCTACTTCAATATACTCCGGCTACAGACTAGGATGCTGGACGATACTCTCATCGTCACACAAGAATGCTATGCGATTCCCGTCGGATTCTGCCTTTTCTGTTCCTCTGGATTCCTCAATTGGAAATAGAAGAACCCGCCAGCTGTAGGTGAGCAGGCAACATGAACCGCTGGATACCAAGCCTTGTTGTTACACAGCAAGGTTGCATGTACTACCTGAGCCATGTCCTGGCTAAGCCCTGCCGATAATAGAACCAGATCCGCTAATCCTACGAATGTTTCAGAGAATCTCATAACATCCCATAACAAAGATGCGCCGAAAGACACGTTTCGTCTGTGTCTCTGACACACATGCTTACACTCCCTCTGAGGCTGGGTTCAAGCTACCAGCTGGAGACGTTTTGATCCATGCGGGTGATCTCACCAACCATGGTAGCATGGCTGAGCTTCGTAAGACTATGGAATGGATTTCTGCGGCTGATTTCGAGGTCAAAATTGTCATCTGTGGTCAGTACTTACAATACCTAGCCGAACTTGCACGAGAGCCGCCTGTGGCCTGTCCCGGACCAGAGACCGCAGCTCGTAGGGATGTTGGGGAAGAGTGTCGATACGCATGAGTGTGCTGAAGTATGAAAGCGCTCCAGGAAATCATGACATTACGCTAGATGCCGATTTCTATGCCCGCCACGGTTCGAAATTTCATGGTCAGCATCTCGAAGACCCTCGGAAATGCATAGAACTTGTCACCGAAGCATCCTTCCCTTCCATCGTATTTCTCAGGCACGAGTCAGCACTAGTCCGGCTGAGGCGGCCCAACGGCCCAAACACCGTCTTCAAAGTCTTTGGCTCTCCATATTCCCAATCGCCAGGGACCTGGGCTTTTGGATACGACTCCTCGGAAGCTGCTGAGCTTTGGGGCAGAATTCCATTGGACATTGACGTTGTGGTAACGCACACCCCTCCTCACTCACACTGCGACCGTCATGGAACGGCGGCTGAATCAGTCGGCTGCAAAGCCCTTCGCGAGGCCTTAAGCAACGTTCGACCGATGCTGGCCGTATGTGGCCATGTGCACGAGTCGCGCGGCTATGAGAGGGTGAAGTGGTCCTCTTCATCCATACCGTCACTGCCTGTCTCAAACACTCACGATCCGCCAAGTCAAATCACTCAAGGCTTTCTCCCTCCTCGGGGAAGTAGAAAGCAAAGCCTCGTGGACCTGACAGGAAAAAAGTCATCGAAGCTAGACAATGATGGTTTCTTCGCTGAGCAAGTGGCAACGTCACTCGGAGCACTGTTCCAATCGACGCAGGATGTTATACTAGCCCCATTGCCTGACCCGTCGCTAGGCTGGACTCAGAATACTGAAGCCGACCGATCAGATTCGAAATCTGCCCTTTCATGCCTGAAGAGAGGAGAACATGACGATGAGAATGGGCTTCACTCGCACAGACGCGAGACTTGCATCATCAATGCGGCAATCATGGCAGCGAGCTGGCCTTATCGAGGAGGGAAAAAGTTCAATACACCCATTGTGGTTGATCTAGAACTCCCGACATGGAAGGAATGATGAGCAGCGACTTGAAGCGCACGGGGCTGGAGATGACGCCTAGCCATCCTAGAGCACACAAGCATTACCTCAGCATAGTAACTTAAACTACTGCATTTTTCTCTCGAAGGTCCTGATACCATCTAGCTTCCACCAAACAGCTTGAGCTTTGACCTCCAGTTTGACGTATCTCTAGCTGTTTTAGGTTGTATGCGTCAGTAGTTGCCTTGGAACAAAGAAACTTTTCAGCCTGGGCAGTTGAGTCTGCTCCTTTACCCTTTAGGTAGACGCCTCAACGTGATTGGGGGCCTGTGATAATCACTAAGAAAATATAGTGATTTAGATCATGAGCTAGTGGCAGCAAGGCGGGGTTTGAGAAGAGTGATGCTTCATGGCTCCCTTGCTCGATGTGCTGGATCGAATCGTCATTTGACGAACTCAAGCCGGAAATAAAGTCACCTAGGCACTGAATGTAGGGAGGGGAGGGAGTACAATAAACCCCATGAGCGACAATCCGTCATGCCTGCTATTGTTAGTACTGTATCATTCAGGAGACTCATGGATAATGCATTTGTTTGATCGCAAGACGCAGTCAGGTTTGAAAGATCACATGAAATGTTTCCTTGCCTGGGTGTCATCTAAATGCGTGTTTGTCCTATACCAAAACACGATAAGGCGGGGGTCAGCTGGAATCCTGAAGGCCTTTTGGTGAACCGATAGTAAAGTGTCGTGTCGTAGTGCCTCGATCAGCGGTTACCAGTCGAGGATAGTAGTAGGTGACGGAGACCCATCTGGAACCGCCTAGTGAGGGGGTTGCAGGCGCTTGACCCTGTCCTATGGACAGGGACAGAAGACTGAAAACTGGAATTGTGCTTAGTACTCCGTAGTGGGGGGGTCGCGGCTTTGGGGACAAAGGGGGCTTGTCTCCCGAGGTTGAAGAAACCACCATTGTAGTTATCGACTTGATAGTGAATAGTGACTAAGAAGAGCAAGTCAGCGACTGAGCTGGAAATAGATCATCAAACCATACAGAGATATACGCGCACCTCCCGCATAATTAAATGATATTCAAGGTTAGGACATTTGGCAGGAAGAGTCAATCGAGTGGTTTCCAAAGTTGTGGGGCAAACCGATGGAGACAGGGAGCATATGATGGAAAGGATGAGGGGTCCGTTGCTTGATCTGCAGCATCCACTGTTTCTGCAAGTAGCAGTCAATTCAACGCAGTTCAGAACTTTGCTGGATAATACTCTCTTTTGAAATTTCTTTCAATGAGCTTCCTCGATGGTCTAACGGTCATGATTTCCGCTTGTCAATCCCAGTCGGGAACAAGCGCGGGAGACCTGGGTTCGACTCCCAGTCGGGGAGATTTGTTTTTGCGCCCTTTCCGCTCAGATACTCTTTGGTACAACCAACTGCCCAATACGCACGTACTTTCTAGAGCACTGCAGCGATGAGCCACCTCCACCCGCGTGGCTCGGCTGTTCTTATACCATGTCGTTTCTCTCAGGCCCACTTTCCCGATGCAATGGAACAGATCAGCCCAGATGAAATGTTGATCAGTCTAGAGATGCCACAGTCATAAAAGTCAGACCCCAGCTGAGGTGGGCCCCGCATCAGCTTTCGTATTACATGTACGATTCATCGGTCATCCAACGCGAGGACCACTTCCACTACAATCTGCATCCGTGGCCCGGAGTCCGGACAGCGCCACCTGGCTGGGGTTGGGGCGCTAAGGCGGCCATAGCCATGAGTTTCCCCTCAATCGAGCTAGTGGCTGAAACTAGAGCCAAGTAGGTAAGGTAACCGCCGACTGGGTGGATTGATAAGATACAGCCAGGATGGCTAGTGGTCGAGATCATTGGTGGACGCTTGGTCATCCCCCTGGTGCGGCCTTCAACTGGTGACCGCGGAACCAGGGATACTTAGTTAGTAGTAGTATGTCGAAGTTGAATCCGTCACTCTTCCACGAGGCACTCGCACTTGAGATTCACTTGTGCCTCCAAACCCCACCTACCGGTAGGCTTCCATTTGTGGATGTTGCGGGCCAGTCAAGCTCGAAGCTGCCTGTATGGATAAGTATGGTGTCTTCGGAACCGCATGGAATTTCGAGAAGCGACAGAGACATGCTCACTAGGTCAGCACTCATCGGAGATAGTCATACGTAGTTATTCCATCGGCTCAAGGGTTGCTTGAGCGGCCGATCGGAGTCGGAGTATTGTACATCACCAAGCGATCATCGACTCCGCCGATTCTGCATCCAAGACGTTGCCGTAGCCAGAGACAAAGATACTCTCCGACTCAGCGAGGTCTCCATTAGACTCTTGCTAACGTGTCGCACCATACTGCTACAGCTCCCACCCCAGAGAAAACTCTTGACGAATGTCCATGGTAGCCGCTCTATTCTTACGCGCCTTTGCGCTGTAATTGGACGCCGCTCAACGAGAGATCGGAGCATCCGCCTGCAAGCTAATGCCGAGATAATCATTGCATGGTGCGCGGCCAGAATGATAGGCCAAGCCTCGCTTCTGGGGCAGATGACTCGGTCTAGGGCCCAGTCACTCCTTCGAGAACAATCAGCTTCGTGAGGGGCACCCGTTGAAGGGATCATGGACACAGGCAGCTTGAAGTGGTACAGGCAAGGTAATCTGACAGGCCAGTACGAGGTGAGATTGGTAGCGCACGACCACATACGATCCAAGCGGAGAAGGCATACTCCTCAACACACGTCGATTGTTCTTTTAGCTTTTATCGCAAGGTTAGATCGAGGTGATAGATCTACAGATGAAAGGGTCACGCCTTGGAGTTTGTGATGACTTAACCGCCAGGACAGGTCGAGAGGTGGACCTGGCATGAGCATGGACATGGGACGAAGTAGTCGAGATCTAGGATAACTGTAATCATTACCACGGAACCGTTCGGGACCAACCCACGGGACCATTCCACGCGAAACCGGATCGGATCGGTGATGTTTGATGACGGTGGTAACCATGGATGCTTCGTCAGGTACCATGCTAATTGGTGTCCCCGGCGAGCCTGGATGTCGCTGCATGTATCCGCTGGATTGGAATAAATTGGGCGATACTCGGTCACTATGCGAAGATAAGCTATAGTTTATGGATTAGGGAGAATTATCAAGAGGGAGAAGAAAGAGAAGGGTTGGTGAAGGGGGAGGGGGAGGGGGGAGCAATAGGCCGAGCTAATTCAAGGCTGCAGAACCCGGCGTATCATCTCGGTGAGGCAACAGGAGTACGATGCAGCGGGGAAAAAAGCTCACGCAGATGACCGTGTCGATGATTGGACTATAAAAACCTCTCGGTGAAGGCAAAGGTGACGAGAATGCTAGTCGACCTATCGAGGTAGTCGGAGAGCAGCCAAGATGGTGTGGGTGAAGTTATGAACAACGGAGATGCAAAGGGTGTGTGTGGTGGCAGTCACAGCGGGCGCCAACGAGTTGTGGTGGTGATGCGGGGTTCTCCTGCTGCGGCGGTTCAAGGTTGATTGTTGATGGCCACTGGTCAACCCGAACAGGGTTTAGGGCGGGTGGTGAGTGGTGAGATTCATGGGGGTCGCGATATCGACGATGATTAGTTGGCCTGGAACCATCTATCTGATCAATCAGCATGCAAGAGGGCAGTGCCAACTGACGACTGGAGACTGGAAATTTGTAGAGAATTAAATCCGAGGCCGGTCGGAAAGACGAACCCACTCTCTCAAGTCCCAAGTCCCGACTGCCCCGCATACCCTGACCGGTGGACGGTCGCCCTGGTGAACTGGGATGGATGGATGGATGGTGGTGGTGGTGGTGGTGCGTGCTCATCTGACATTTGACAGGAGATCAGAGGGGGAGGAGATGGTACAGACAAAAATAACGAGTTCCTGAAGTAGATGTGACAGATGTGACTGCGTGTGGTTCTAATCAGTTTCGCATGAGTAAAGTAGGCAAAGGTATTCAGGGCGGGCACCTCAATCTTGCTTGAGTTCCATCTAACCGAGGAGACCGAGGAGAAGTCAAGAGGGAAAATCCCCACTAGAACCAAAGAAGAAAGACGGTTTGTGCCAGTGAGTGGTGCCAGTGCCAGTGCCAGTGCCATGCCGTGTGGTATGGTAAGTACTACTAGGTATACAGTACCACGTACCTACACCCAAGTACAGTCTCCGTACGGAGTACTGACCGACTCCATCCCCGACCGGGAACGGACCAGGCAGTCGAAGTATACCCAGAACAACCGAGCTTAGTTCTGTACCACACATATCATTTCCGGTTTCCAGTTCGATTTGACAGATTCCATGTGTTAACCTGGGGAATATTAATCTCATCTGGCACCTCGTCTGCAGGATAGAAGGAACTGGCGAGAGAAGACTCGGAGATCTCAACTCGATGCTTCCATTGCCTTAGGCAAGAATTGACAATTGACCGCTTCATTGGATGAACCTCTCCCTGTTGGTCACTATCCCATCAGAAGAATACATCTCAGGGAACTGGAAGATTAGGGACGGACAAAAGTCCCCATCGTTGGTTTCATCCACTTCACCGCTGCTTCTGAGTTGGTCCCATTCCTTCTTCTTCTCAAGAAGAGGGCGACAAACGCCTGAAGGAGACTGAGTCACTACCAGCACGAAGGAGAAGTGAAGTGAAGTGAAGAGGCAGGGCTTCTTCTCTTTAGATTATTTATCATCATTTGACTGCACTTGTTGATTACTCAGTGGAATGTGTTTCCTATTCCTCTCTCTTCCTCTCTCAATTTCTTCCTATCACTACCATCAGCATTAGCAGCGGCCGCGGCAGCAGCAGCAGCAGCAGCAGCAGCAGCAGCACTATCAGTCATCCCTCCCTTTCCTTCTTTGCCCCCAACAGTATCCTACTCCATCCACCCTTTGAATCGCCCGTGGCATCATCGAGCGTCTTGGACTAAGCTGAGCCAGCATATTGCTGTCATTCTAGCTCTTCTTGCCATCATTCATCATCAGTATTATTCATCATCGTCCACAGAGCAAGAGAGAGAGAGAGAGAGAGTTGAAGGTGTGTGTGTGCCTATTCAGCAGTACCCGGCATTGTTACTAAACTTCCTAACGTGGTGCCACTTCACACGCCTATCCTTCTTTTGGATGTTGGGGGAGAAGAGGATTAATACCTTTTCGACATTTTCGCATTTCTACTTTTAGTTTTTGGGAGAGAATCAGCGTGGCGCAGTTTGCTTGGGTCTGACCTTAGAAGATTTTTGTTTATTCATTTTGCTTTTCATTTTTATTTTTTCGCTTTTATTTTTTTTTTGCCCCTCTGGTGTTGGTCGCCTCTCCCGTACTACGACTGAGGGAGGGACTGGCTGACCTGAACTTTACCATACTCTGACTATACATTTAGTTACTTTTTCACTTTCGCTTTCCCCTGAGCAGAATTACCCGGAAGCACATCCCATCATCATCGCCCCAGTTTCCTCAAGTGGGTTCGTTCGTTCGTTCGTTCCCACCCATTGCTTGCCTGTTTCCCTTCTGATTGATTACTCTCATACCAGTCAGTCTTCAGTAATAATACCTTGATATTCGCTCACTCGTTTACTTACTCACTTACTCACTTACTCTTCTTCCCTTCTCTCTTCATTGATCAACTGCTTGCTGGCCATTCCCTTTCTTGCCTGCCGGTTTTCTCCCCTGGCTGACTATTACTGTTGTCATCCTATTCTCTGTCCCCTTTTTCCATCCCCCCCCCCCCCCCCTCCAATTACTATTCTGGCTGCATCTGCCTGCCTGCTTGCTTTCTGCTGCACTTTCTCCCTCACTCCTCGCTTCTCCTTCGTTCTCTCATGTTCTCCATGAATTGGCCGCATATCCGATCTGGTGGAATCTTGAGCATGAGCCATTGATCGTCACGAGAACCCACGTCACCCCATCGTTCCTCCGTCCATCCGCCCACTCGACTCCAGGGTACCTGCACGATATCACACTGCCTCCATCCCATATCTCGCCTCCCGCTACTTGTTTATCGTCCACCGCCTCGGTCGCTCCGATTTCCCTTTTATACAGCGCCACACAACGCATTTCGCTTTTCTGCTCTCACTTAAAACCCCTTTTACTATTCTAATCCTGACCATACTAACACTTGTATGGTATTTGTGCCTTGTGTGCTTGATCAATTGATCACAGCTTTCACATCATGACCTCCTCCATATCAGACATTGATCCATATGTGGTGTTGGGAGTCCAGAAAGATGCGACCCTGGCTGAAATTAAATCCTCCCATCGCAAACTGGTGCTGAAGTGGCACCCCGACAAGGTCAAGGACGAAAGCCAACGAAGTCAGGCTCAAGATGAGTTTCAGAAGGTCCAACAAGCCTACGAACTTCTCTCCGATGAGACAAGAAGGGCCAAATATGACAACAAGGTTCGTCTTGCGGAGCTTCGACGAGAGATGATGGCGCGCGGCGGGAATCCCAACGGTTCATCCGCGCGAAGCAATGGTTCTGGTTCCAGCGGGCCCCGCGAATACCGCAATGGGCGGATCTACGAAGAAAGAACTCCGGCCGATGCGACCAACTTCTACGAGGAGGACGGCTTAGATTCCGACGGAACACGGCCGACAGCTCGCAAGTACGATGAATACGGCAAGCGACGGACCAAGGTGGCGGAAGAGAAGAAGAAGGCGAAGAGTGTCCCCCTAAGTGCCGCCCGCGCCGCGAAGGAGATGCTTCGGGACAACGTCAAGACGACCCACTCGTCTCGCGACAAGTACCGTACCAAGGAACGCAAGCGGGATGCCTACGATAAGAGGTATCCTGAACGGGCCGCCCCGTACAGCGAGTCTGAAGATGACGGCGCGGCTTCCGATTCTAGCGCATCATCCTACTACGTACGAGTCAAACGGCCCTCAGAGAAACGAAGCCGGGAGTCGTCCACACGCAAGGCTCGACCAACTGAATCAACCCGTCGCCCGGAGCCTGCACGTTACGAATCGGAGGATTACTCGGATCGCAGGGAGTCGAAGCATGAGAAGATGCACACTACCGCGCGCGATTACATCCTACGATCCAAAGGAACCGTTCCTATTGAAATTGATCGAAGGGCACAGGCATCTCGGTCGCCTCCTCGTCCTCACGCTTACGATTCGGCCGATCCCGAGTCCTCCTCCTCCCGGCGCTCGAATCGATCCAATCGGCCCAGCAAAGAAACTGTTCGAAGCTCGAGTTCCCGCAACAACTCTTACGAGCATATTGAGTCCCAGTCTCGATCCTATGACGCCAAGGTCCCCAGCATGCCCACAGCTGCAACATCGCCAGCTGTCAAAGTATCCTCGTCAATCCGGCCTTCCCTTCAATCTTCACGATCTGCATCCACTGCGCAGTCCCATTCCCGACCGAAGACCTTAGGTCGTACGGAGCAGTTCCTTCTGCACATGGTACACGACGGTAACTCTCGGACGACGAAGCTCCGAAATACGGACAAATATGATTCCGGGTATTCTAGTCCGGGAACACCGGACTTACCACCTGGAGAGAGCCCGACGAAGACCAGATACAAGATCGTGACAGAGCCAGGTACAGTCCTGGTGGAGCCGAGCATGCCGCCACCCCACGCGTCCTCAAGACATGCAAGGGGGCACTCGCCGCCTCGACAAGATCGTTCGGGGTCAAGCCGTCCTATGCCAAAACCAGTCCGCAGCAGTACTTATGCTTACCCAGCGGAGTATTCGGGTCGCTATGAGTCGTCATCTCGACCTAGTGCCTCCAGGCAGTCTTCTTCGCGACCCCTCTACGGTGAGGTGGAATACACCCGTAGCAAGGATCGTGATTACAAGTATGCACGCGAAATTGGGCCCGAGCATATCCCCCATTCCGGTCGCGATGCCTATTCCCGACGCATGGACGAATACCCGCATCCACCGATAGGCAGGCGTCAATCTGCTTACGCTCAATAAGTCATTCTGGAGCCGGCAGCATGTCGCCAGGAGACAAACTCATCGCGATGTTTCACCACTTTTCTTTTCACTTCTTGTATACCGACGCGACCATTTCCACTCTACAACATACTACTAGCGAGGACTTGGTTCAAGACGCCTGCTTTGATATACCCGTATCTCTTTCGACTTAATGGAGTATCTCTTCGTTTGTCCGTCGATGAACCCCTCAATCCATGACTTTAACTCTTTCTGATATTTGACGACCTCTGACATTCAACTATTCTTCGCATACATCTTTATTGTGCTTTATCTTCGCTATGCTTGCAACTACCTCGGCGCCTGGGATGGGGGTTTGACTTGGTTTGGTGCATTTGTTTTTCTGATATCAAGGAAGGGGGAGGTAGGAGGCGAGGGGATATCCTGAACGAAGCAGGAGTCTATGATGATGATTACGAGAGACATGATCGAAATTTGGGAGGAAGCGCTTTCTGCAACAACAGCAACAGCAACACACATAGCCACATATCCACTTAGTACAGTAGAAGACTACCTACCATCCACACAATCTCAACAATGAAACCTACACAACACACCTGATCAGGCCCACTTCCATCTTCTACCAAGTAGTCTGTCTTTACTACATCATAATCATCATCATCATCATCATCATCATCATCATTCGGATACTGCGTACAGTAAACATACTTTCTTCATCGAGTTATAGTTTGGGCATTCATGCATCAATTCCCCCCACGGAGTCAATGCTTAAATGTCGCCCCCTACGTAAACTGAAGAAAAGTAGAGAGAAACCCCCCCGCAAGCTAGCCAGCGAAGCCCAGCCCACTCACCAGGTAGTAAATCACTTAGCGTTCAGCCAGTCTACTACATACATACCATAGTGAGTTGGGCCACCACCTCCACTCAGGCTCAAGTACCGAGTTTAAAAACCCAACACAACCCCACACATATCCACCTATGGAACCCCACACACAGTAATGGTTCGAACCCCTCTGTCTGTCGTTGGAACAGGAAAGCAGCCCTCTGTTCATTACTAAGTGGGGGTTTTGAAGCAGTATCGCCAAACTATTATAGTCTAGCGACTGGGAGGGCCATGATTCAACCTTGTTGTTTTGCATTTCCAGTTGGTCAAAAAAAGCCTGCTCGTAATAATGGAGATGCGCATCGCCCATGTACACAGTCCATCAAGCATTTACATGGAATTTGAAATAGGACATAAGACGAAGGAGAGTGCAAAAAAAGAAAGCTTGGGGATAGTCAACATGGAAGAAAAAAAGGAACTACACTTTGTGACAGCACACAGCCATGACCACACGGAGATACCGGGGAGCCGGGAAAAACCAGAATATCAGATTCGAAACTAAGCGGGTATGTAGATTCTGCAGATGTGCATGCATGGAATGTAACAGACTTGGAAGGATGATGATGATGTGTGTGTGATTCTTAGAAAAGAAGGGGTTGAGGGAGGACATATTGGCTTGTTGTTTTGGTTAGATCACACAGCTTTCTCATTCCGGGTCTGACGTCGGTCGCTGCTGGCTTTGGGCGGCTGAGTGTGATAGAAGAGGGCGATTGTGCTACATTTTGAGGCTGAGGAACGAAATTCGCTCAGGTGGAACATGGAGTATGAATTGTGGCAGTATCGTCTAGGCTAGAATGGATGATCGAGGGCGAGGGATGATAAAGTGGGATGTCAGATGAATGGGCGGAAGGTAGATAGATTAGGTCACGCGGCCTGCGTTCAGGCGGGCAATGAGTGGGATATGATATCAGTCAAGTCGTCCGTCGGCCTCATGGCTCGGTCCAGTCAACCTGATCCGTCACAGGGTCTGAACCATCCTTGGCATATGTGATCCGCAGACGTAGGCGAAGTTTAGGTGGAAGGGCCTGTGGCAAACATTAATATACGTGCAGGGAATATTGCTGGATAGTGGAAGGACTTACCCCGGCCAGGCCTGCTACTTTGAGCATCTGAATCCCCTCGTCACCAGCCTCCAAATCTGCCTTGCTGATCGCATTCAGCTGCAGACGCTGACTCTTGGGAACAGCAGCCTGCAATCCTACATTGGAGAATTGGCCAAAGTTTCCGACGTTACGGAACCGCGCCTGGATTTGCGCATTGCCGTTGCTGGCACGTTGAACTTGAAGCGTGAGTGTCAAGTCATTCTTGTTGTATGCTGTGTGTACCGGAGCCGAAGGTGCAGGGCTTGGAGCTGGCGACGCAGCAGCCCCAACGCCTCCTAGAAGATCCAGACCGGAGGATGCGGACTGCGATACGTTGGGAGAAGGCGTAGTGCCATTGGAGTCGAAGAGACCCATGATCGCGCTAGTGTTGACGGATCCAGCCGGCTTTTGCGCAGGTTGAGGAGATGGTGATGACAGGCCTGAATCGCCACCGAGGATATCTGCCAGAAGGTCGGCTGTGTTCTGAGATCCGTTGGTGGTTGGGCTAGTTGCTGGGGCATCGCCACCCATGAGATCGAGCAGCATATCCTGCTCCGCCTGCTTGACCGGCTTCTTAGACTTATCCTTCAACAGTTTGCTCTGGCGTTTCTTGGTCGGAGCACCGAAGACTCTTTGCTCTTCCCGGATCTCCGGGGGAGGCATACGTTCCAGAACACCACGGCGGACCTGATCATACCCAAACAGATTAGTGTACTCGACAGCCCGCTGTTGAATCTCGACACTCAGGTCAGCGGTCCGGCTGCTAAGGAAGCGACGGAGACGCTCAATCTCAGCGGGATCGGACATGCGCACGGTTAGCTTCATCGAAGCCGTGGTGATGTATTCGATTACGGTCTGAGTAGCATATGTGCTGTTCAGAATGTTGTTGAAGAGATCGACAATGTCACTCTCCTTGACCTCCTTAACCAGTTCCTCTTCCTCATATTGGCCACCACGCAGTAGATTGTCGCCGTATTCACCGATGACCCAGGTGGCGGCAAGGGTGAGACCCTCCTGTGAGATGTCCTCCTTCAGGGCTAGATAGAGTTTCTGCACCGAATAGGTCTGCAAGTCAGGAGTGGTAGCGATGAGGCGGACAAAGGAGGACAGAATCTGCTCCTTCACATATGCACCAGCAAGTTTGAGCACACGAAGGATGGTGTCAACGTGCCAGCGCTTGTTGGGAGCATAGCGGTCGGCAGCAATGCCAATTTGCGTCGTCATCGCAGGCTTGAATTCGTTGTCGGCGACTTCCAGGAACGCAAGCAATTCCCGAACAAGCACACGGACGTTGCTCTCGTTAATGAGCATAAAACTCAAGTCCAGAGCTCGTCTCCGAATACTGATATCTGGGTCGCGGAGGCATTCCAAGATGGTGTTGCGGTGTCGCTGCACGGCATTGGGCTCGATGGCGACGACCTTATTTAGCGTGTTGAGAGCGACATAACGGATGTTGTTATCCTTGTTTGTAAGGAATTTTCCGAGAATGTTGACACCCAGCACCCTGAGACCTGAGTCCGCCTCGATATCAAGAATAGTGAGGACAGCCTCGTAGAGAATGGCATTACCGACATTTTTGGTCGAATCGGTGTTGGTAGCCACCTGCGCCAGAATGTCGTTGATTGACTCGCTCGTTGCCGCATCGCCTCTCCCCAGTACCCTAAGCAAGCGTAGAATCTTGACCTGGAGGAAAGGATCCGTAATACCCGAGACGTCATGTTCCGGAGCATATCCTGAACTTGTCAGTCCTTTCAGGGCACGCACAAGTCCACCCGCGAGAGGCCTGAACATCTCAATGACTCCTTCTTGGCCCTCCTCGGCCTCCTCGGCCTCACACATATCAATTGCCAAGGTCAAACCACATAGCAGAACACCGTGGTTCCGATCCGACAGCAAATTCTTGGCTTTCTCTAGGAAATGTTCCTGTAGGTCAGGAACCTTGCGGCAAACGCGCATGGCGCACAGCGCTGCCTTTCGCCGAATATAAGGGTTCGCGGTGGACATCAGGGCTTCGACTTCGGGGAACAGGTCTCGAGACATTTCGACGGATGCGATGTTTCCCAGGGCACAAAGTGCCAGGCCCACGATATATTGGTTGGAGTGATTAAGGTCACTACCAGACGACGTCAGCAGGGGGTCACTGGTGGTACTGGAATAGTCACTCACTTCTTCAAAGAGTTCGTTACCAGCGTCAATACTTCTTGGTTCTCGTCTAGCAATAGCATAGTGCCCAGGTATCCCAGCCGCTTGTCTGCGAAGCGGTGGGAAGCCAGCAGCTTCAAGCACTCGATCTGGCCGAAGTGTGTCCGTTCACCCAAGGTAAACAGATACAGAAGCTTGGCCACATTATTTCTCCTGTCCGCAAGTATAAGATCCCTGCTTAGCGGCAAAGATGGGAGTGAAAGATTGCATTGCTGACCGAACGTTTGAATCGTGGCTCTCTTCTCTGAAGGACGCACGGATGGCCGCACTCTCCTTTTGGATCACTGCTCGTTCGTCGGCGATTGTCTTGGCCGACCGGACATTTCGAATGAATTGCTTAACTATGATATTAGGGCGACAAGGAATAGGTTGTTAGTGACTGATGAGCCAAAGCGTGGGCCAGACAACAAGGTAGGGCTGTCGATGGAGGGGGGGTTTCCTTCACATACGGGATGCCATGGCGGGCACAAGGACCCCTTACGGGGAAATGCAATAGAAAGGCGGGGGAAGGTCGCCCGGACAGAAGAGAACCGGAGAGGGTGAGAGAAAGAGCGAAGAAGCCAGTCTGCGCAATCTCAAGAGAGGTGAGGAGAGAGGAAAATGGAAATGATCCTGGTGGGGGGGAGACAGTGAAACTGGAGATTGTAGCAACAATAACTGATAAAGATCGGGCCAGCAGACCAGGTTGGTTCAAGACAGTTTCCAGCTGGGTTGAGCGGTTGAGCCTCGCCCGCTCCTGCGACTTGGCCGCCTTGGCACTCCCCGTCTATGTTGGGTCTAGCGTGCCTCGTGCCTCCTTCCCGCCTGCTATCACGTGCTACAAACCATTGGAGCCTTACTTATCAGGCCATAATATTTCTGCCTTCTGCCTCACTGCGTACTCGTATTACGTACTCATACTTGGTAGTTATTGTACAGGCAGCTCCTTACATCATCGATCATAACTTCACTCGTTCACTCGGTCACTCGGACAGGCACAAAAACAACCCCGAACTGCACGGAAGATGCGGAGACTCGGCCCAACCGCGCTTCCGATGACGTCCTTGCAATCCAACCTTGAACACTCTCGCAACAGTACCGATTTCCCCGAGTCTTTCCCCCTGCAGCCGCTTCAGGTATGACATTAATCAACTTTCCAAGATGCTGCGCTAGTCATCTACAGTACACTCTACTGCAGGAGGTGCATGCTGATGATCGTCCTTCCGCCTCCTGAAGGCTTTTAAGGCTTTAAAACATACTCCGGATCCACGCCTCAATGTCCGACCTTTCTATACTTAACCCCTGGAATACCTTTCGTATTCGTTTCGGTCGGTTGGTCCCTGCACGAGTCAGATTTAAGGTGTGTGTGTCTCTCTCTCTCTGTCTGACTGTGCTCGAAGTATAGGATCCACATAAGAGACCGCATCACATCCCCTCCCCCCTCCCCCTTCTGGATTTCTCTACTTGTCGCATGCCCCGTTGCATGCGTGGCAAAAAGAACAGATCAACCTACGTACAGCATTGTCTCATATATCAATTGCATTATTCCCCTTTTTCCATTCATTCTTCACTTGGTTCGATGTGACACTGTCTTGTTTCCCCTTTCCTCCATCCCCCTATCCGATTAAACCAACATGTCTTCTGCCATTCAACAAGTGAATGGCTCCCCGCTATTACGGCCGCGTGTCATCCCGGCCATGAAGAAGTCGACGACGGATCCTACGTCTGTTCCTCCTTTGGAAAGCTTAGAGTCAAGGTAGGCAGCTAGCGACCAACTTCAACAGTCGCCAACAAATTCGAAGACTGACAATCTTCACTTTTTAGCGGCCATTCGACACCTGTCCCTGAAGATGCCCCGCCTTCCCTCCATTCGATTTCCACCGCCAGGAAACAAGCTCGAGCACGCACACGAATCTTCTATACCATTGACTATGTGCCCCGAGTGTCCCATTTCGACCCGAGAAGCGACTACCGCAATTTTCGCGGTTTCTATACCCTGTTTTGGATCGCATTGTTTATCATGGTGGTTACCACAGCGCTTCGCAATATCAAGGATACTGGGTCCCCTTTCAGAGTGAGAGTTTGGAATCTGTTGTCGGCAAACGTGTGGTCCATGGGCGTCAGCGACCTGGCTATGGTCGTGAGTAGCGCTGCGGTGCTACCCCTCCATCGCACAATCAGGGCTCGTGGTGGTGTTTGGCGCTGGAAAGGAGGGGGCATGGCCATGCAAAGTATTTTCGAAGCGGCCTGGGCCTGCCTATGGATCAAGTAGGTTGTGACAGCTATACTATTCCTGGGGTCGTGATTCCTTGAGCTAACCATGAGGTGCAGTTGGCCCTTTATGATGCGCTGGACCTGGACAGCGCAAGTATTCTTCACCCTCCATACGTTGACTATCCTGATGAAAGTACACTCATATGCCTTTTACAATGGTCATCTCAGCGAGACTGAGCGTCGTTTGTCCTCGCTTGATAAGCCCGGCTCTGTGTCCTTGGAAGCTCCGGTGCCGTATCCGGATGCCTCCCCTCGTCGGCACGCTGCCACCCGGCGCCATAGTCAACACGCACGATCCGAATCGATAGCCGAGTTGCGCGAGGACCTAGCCACGGAGCTGACCTCGCCGATGGGCAATGTGACATATCCTCAGAACCTGACGGTCACCAACTATGTGGATTTCATCTTCTGTCCCACTTTGTGCTACGAGTTGGAATACCCTCGGAACAGTGACCGGGATTGGATCGAGATCGGCCTGAAAACCCTCGCGATCTTCGGATGCATCTTCCTTCTGACGTTGACCAGCGAGGAGTTCATTGTACCTGTCTTGAGCGAGGCCAACATCCAGCTCCACACCGTGTCAAGCATAGCTGAAAAGGCCCTGATCATGGCGGAGACCATCAGCATGCTTCTCTTTCCTTTCCTGATCACCTTCTTGCTTGTCTTTCTCGTCATCTTCGAATATGTGCTGGGCGCTTTCGCAGAGCTGACTTGTTTTGCCGACCGTCATTTCTACTCGGATTGGTGGAACTCATGTGATTGGTACGTCTGCTGCACACGGACACCTTTGGTGGCTTTTATGGAGGCTACTAATGATGTGGGTTGACATGAGCTGACGAAAACGTTTCTACCTTATTCAGGTTGGAATTCTCCAGGGAATGGAACATCCCCGTACACCACTTTCTCCGGCGCCATGTCTACTTCCCCTCTCTCTCCCACTTCTCCAAACCAGTCGCCATGTTCATCACCTTCCTCGTCAGCGCCATCGCTCACGAACTGGTCATGAGCTGTATTACTAAGAAGCTTCGTGGCTACGGCTTCCTCGCCATGATGCTCCAGCTGCCCATCGTTGCGGTCCAGCAGTCCAAGTACATAAAGGGGAAGACCATTCTCAATGTACGTGCATCCATGATACTTCAAACCACTCCCGAATATAGAAAGCATGGAATTAAAACTAATCTCTCCCTCCATCAGAACGCCTTCTTCTGGCTATCGATGATTCTCGGGCTATCCATGGTGAGTACTACCACTTAATGTTGGTGTCCCCAGACCCTCGACTGACACTTAACCTCCCATCCAGATGTGCGCACTCTACGTTCTCGTCTGAACTCATGCCATCCCTCACGAACCAACAAACACTCAGATAGACAATCTTACTCGCCCCGTATATATACATACCATCTACAAAGCTAGGGTTGGCGCTATTACCATCGCCCCCACACCCCTGCAACCAACCACATATACCATCAATTTTTGAAGCATATTTTTCTTCTTCTGTGTGTTATCATCATCCCTTATATATGTCCTGATAGTTGTCATCACTGCATGAATGGACCCCTCCTTCTCAGCACGTCCCCACATTTCCTTTTTTCTTTTCCAATGCAATCTACAGTGCTTGTACAGCATCGATTCTGCTGCTTTTATACAACATGCCGACTTTCAGCTTTTGCCTGCTCATGCCCATCTTATGAATCCGAGTTCCGAGGGAGAATATAGGAAGAAGACTGGATCTAGAGAACGGTATTCGTGGATAAGGGATCTTTGTCCAGTACAGCGTGATAGGGGAGTGGGTTATGGATCATAAATGCTATAGAGACGGCTCTCAAAGATAAATATTCGCCCGATCGGGTTAAATATGGGCCCAGGCCACATTTGCGGCATTGGCATATATTTCCACCATAACGGCTAGAATGCAATACAAAGAACCAATGGAAGAGACTGAACAACCATGATAGATATCTTATTTCCATTCTGCTGCATCGACGGCGCCATCTTCTATACCAAAATCTTGCCACATAGTCGAACAACAAACAAAAACTCAGTTCCGTGACCATGATAACGCCTGGAAAACAAAAACCGACAAAAGCTGGAATGGTGAAACGCGACGGAAAGTACTCACTCGGCCAATCGGAGACCCGCCGTTCCACAAATGATGCAATAAGACGGGGTTTCCTGGCCGATCCCCGAATGGAACGGGTAAAAAGTCGATAACCTCTAAAATTCCGGCAGTAACAGAGTGTAGCTAGACAAGGCGATCAACACCGTCTTAGCCAGCCCAAGGGAGCCAAGTTGAGATATCATGTTATGAGACAAAACGGTCAGAGTCCAACTATGCGTTTTGTGCACTGTCCCCACTTCTAGATATGCTCGATGGGCTCCTCGGGAAGAAGAATAACTCTTTCGCGGCGATCACGAGGAAGACAAGCCTTGAGTGGGGGCTGGATAATATCGTTGAAAAGGAAGGTTCCGTAGACGAGCAGAGCAAAGCCGGCCACTTGGAGCCATTTGAAAGTTTCCCAGCCCAGGGCTAGAGAGACAAGCCAAATGAAAAGGGTGCGGCACGTGTCGATAGTACTACGCGATGTAGCCGAAACGGTGTGAGTAACAGAAAGCCCAAAGAAATTGAAGCCGCTGGAGCAGAAAAACTTAGTACCAACAAGATCGAAACTGTTTAGTCATGATAACTTACCCAATGCTGATCATGATCAGAAAGCTGGAGATGGCGATTGGCCGGTTGTGGAGAATTTGACGCCAGCCTTCCTTTGCGTCAAAGTAGCCATAGCGACCTGCCTCGGTCCGTCCGACAGCCAGGTACATGATGATCGAGCCGATGACAGTCACACTGAACCCGAAGATACCCTCCCAGCCAACGACCTGAAGAGGATCCATGGCGTAATGTTCCAGGATCCATTCCTCGAGCACGAACTGCGAAGCGGTGAAGATCTGCGCTGCGGCAATGAGAAGAACACCGATCAGTGTTTGCACGGCTTCTGGAGTTCGTGCAGTGGTCTGCACTTCTCGGAGAGCATGTGTGACGGCCGCTGCTGCATTCTCCGGGGCAGATTCATGGCCCTGGCTGAACAGGGCGCCTGCAAGGCCAACCAGCGCAACGCCAAGAACGACCACAAACAGTGCAGCCCAGTGGTAGATGTGAAGTTTGCGGTGGAGAAATATCACACTGAAGAGACCAACAAAGAGGACGAGGGCTCCCCGGGTCATTTGGTAAATACTAGCGGCGACGAACAGCAGCCCGACGTTCATCAAAGTAGTACCCGCAATGTCACAGCATGCCGGTGCTGCAAGGAGGAAGATCCTCCATCCTTGGAGACGAATGCGCCCATCAGGTGATTCATTGGGCTTGGTGGAATCACGAAGATATTCGGGGCCCCGAATCGTGTAGTCTTCCTCTTCTTCGTCAAGCCCATCATCATTGTGGACGGGATGATAGCCACCCGCCAGCAGAGGGGAGGAGTTGCTGGACAAGCGAGGAGCGATGTAGCGCTGGTAGAGATATGAAAATAACACGACAAGCCAGCTGCCCATCTCGCCGATGAACATTTGAATGCTAGCATTATTGAGATGATATAAGCATTGTATAACTAATTGGTATAGAAAGAGAGAGCGAGGGGAGAGATAGCATACGTCTGGATCACCGGTTGCTCGAAGGTGTGACGATACTTGGGATCCGGAGAGTCACAATTGCGAACACATTGCATATCCTATCAGCAGCCATTGTCAGTCATGTTTCGAAAAAAGGCAAGATAATCAGTGAAGCGTCAAACCTGATACTTGTTGAGGATTGTATTGCAAACCCCAGTCACGAGCATCATCGTGACCAGGAAGGGGACGGTGGCTTTGCTCGCCATGATTGCTGTTTGTTGGAAGCTAACAACAAGTGAAAACGAGCTTTGCGATGTATACAGATAAAGCTCGCAGAGAACGGGTCCAATTTATGGGGGGGGTGGTTTAATGTTTATCCAAGGAAGCGCGATAGAGAGACCCGGCCAAGGAGCGCAAGAGGCCAGTCGCAAATGCTGTGATAGAGAACAGAGAGAAGAAAGTGGGATAAGTCTATTCTATTGATGACCCATCATGGAAGAAGATGGGGCTTGGGGGAGGTGGTTGGTTGTTGGTTGTTGGTGGTGGGGAATATCACGGAACAAAGACGGGGGAGGATGGATGATGGGAGGAGGAGGAGGAGGCGGCGGAGGAGAAGGTAAATGACGGTGGATCGACCTAAAGTTAGCTTATCGGAACGGCAGCTGATCTCAAATGTAGTGAGTGAGTGGGGACAAGCCAGCCATCACGGGATCCTTACTTAATCATCCTCTCTCCGCTTATCTATCCATTGTTCCATTGTATCGATTGTATCCACACTACTACACCTAACAAGGTCCCCTTTCACATCACGAATTCAATTCCTGGCTTGTTCAATGGATCTTTCTCTATTATCTATGTCTACAGAAGTGTGGAATTTCGTAAAGGCTGTTCCGACTCGAGGTCGGATCCAATGATTGTGTAATAGCCCTAGAAATGCTGCTAATCTCATGAACTCCCAACTCAAAAGACACTTCGCTGTCTGCCAGGGCCACAAAAAAAAACAAAAAAAAAAAAAAAGAGGCTCTTCTTTTTCCTCCTTTAGCTCCTTGCAACGCCATGGCTAAGAATGAAATGATAGCAAAGTGTAGAATGAAGACCCAGGCAATCACTCCTGTGTCCCCCGGTTAATATACATCCGGCCTGCAATCAATTATGCCAGCAGAAACACAGAATCCACCACGCCATTCACCAGCTCCAAAATCATAAACAGCGCTCATGAGGTAACAGAAAAACATGGACTAGATCACATGGCAATGATGGCAATTCCACTGTCGTCAACATTCATGCCCGTGTCTTTGCGATCAATCATCTCCCAATCAATGTCGTCCCATGAGTCGTTCATCAGAAGACCGTCCTCGAACCGGCCCGGGAGGTTGATCCAATCCACCGGTATCCAATTCTCATCCGCCATCTCTCCGGGTTTGACATTGACCTCGACACTCTTTGGTAGCTCGTTGTCCTTAGGGGTCTGGGTGATAAGACCGGTCTCGATTGAATCCGGAGTGTCCTCGGATTGTGAATTAGTAAACATTTCGGGGTTGAGAAACTCGTCCATCACTCCAAAGCCCAGGCCCGCATCATCCCCGAGATCCAAGAATGTGTCCTGGATCGCTTCGAGGGAAATGGCACTGTTTGCCCACGGGTCGGCCGTCATCACGTCCATTGACGGTGGTGCGTGTTCCAGGGGCTTGGTCGCTTCTTTCTTATCGTCCTTGCTGGTTGTCGGCTTGAGAGGAGATGACGTAGGCACTTTGGCTGAAGAAGTACGAGGAGTTAGTTGCAGATTCGAGGCCGGGGAACTAGGCTTGGGTCCCAATTGACTGGGAGCATGGCCCATGGGAGTCGCACCTCCAGGAACTGGCGTACCTCCAAGCTTGGTATCGTGTTTCGCTGGAGATGATGCTGGGCCAAGCTTGCCAGGGGCCTGTGAGGTGTCCTTACTGCTTTGTAATCCTCCTTGCTCTTCCTCTTTGACAAGGTTGGTGCGGAAACTCTCCAGGGCAAACTCCAGCGGGTTTTCGATTGGCTCTTCGATCTTGTGGCATTCTTCGACGTGACTGTCAAGCGCGCTCTGAGTGGCAAAACCATGATAATGGTTCTGACATTCGGGGACACTGCACTTGAAAGCGCCGCTGAAAGCTGCACCAGCCAGCTTTGACTCTGCGCCTGTTTGCTTGTTTGCTTGAGCCTTGGGCACGGAAGTTCCAAGCACGGGGGTAGCACCGGCATGAGACTGCTTTCGCTTCTTCGGAGGGGGCAGCTTCAACTGCTCGGGAGGTATACTACCGGGTCCATAGGCGTGTGGAACACCCTGAGGCGATGGCGCGCCAAAAGGCGCCTGTGGAATGCCGGGAGGTCCCGATGCGGTTTGGCTGGAGGCTCGACGAGCACGTTGAAGAGCCTCTTCCTGTTGCTGTAATTGGTGCAAGTTCGTCGCGTTCAGAGCGGGCATGTTGTTTGGGATGCTGGCCGGTGGCATAGATGCACCCTGTGGGGCACTGTGTCGCTGACCAGGTACCTGGCTTTGCTGCTGGTTGACTCGAGCGATCATATGATGGAACAGCTTTTTGATATAGTTAGTGGTTCCTGCGAGGTACTCGGGCGTGATCGTGTACTGGTCAGCAAGTGCCCAATCAGATCCGGTTTTGAATTGTCTCATCAATTGTATCCGCTGGAGAAGCCATTAGCTAAATGCAGGCGCGGGTTGAAAGGAGACGAGGGCTTACCATCGCAAGTAAACTGCGGACATTTCGCTCCTGGCCGGGTATCTTTGCTATAAATTGAACAAGCGCATCCATCCTACCCAAATAGTCTGTCGAGTCACGCAGCTGCTGAGACATGCTTGCCTTCTGCTCCGGTGTGATTGTAACAGGCTCGGCAGGCGGCGCAGTCTTAGCAATCTCGTCGTACATCATTCGGATCCTTTCTGGTAGGTTGTTCCATGCATCTTCAGCGGAAGTCCTACTGATGGATCCACGGCCTTGTGCTTGTTGCCTCCGCAAATGTAGCTCCAGCTGGGCACGTTGCTGAGGCGTCATAGCCGCCAGCTGTTCGCGGGTGAAGAACATGTTGGGCCTGTTGGGAACGGGGACGGGTCCTCCTTGTGAAGCGGTAGGTTGAGTCGACTTTTGGATGGGCGTGGTTTGAGCTTCTGTTGGCTCCTCATTTGGAAGCTTCCTCTTGGGTGCCTGCTTAGTGACGGACGCTTTGTTTCCTTTTCCGGCAACTGTAGCCTGAGCCTTTGCCGTCCCATTTTGCGGACCCTGCTGCGATGTAGACTGTGGAGCTTGAGACTCTAGCTTGACTTGAGGAACTGTGGGAGGAACAGTGACAGGAGGCTGCGAAGTTGTCTGAGGCTGTTGACCCTGTTGACCCTGTTGAGCAGCCAAGGCACGAGCTTGCGCTGCTTGTATCTGCTTCTGTCTGTTCCGGTGAAGCAGATCACGGAGCTGTTCGTCACTCAGACTCTGAACTTGTGGACCAAGGCGCTGCCTGGCCAGCTGAATATCTTGTGGAGTGATCGGACGTATGGCAGGCATATTTATGGATGGTTGCTGCTGACCGGATGCGAATTGATTATTCATGAAGGGTTGCGATTGTCCCTGGAATTGTGTTGGCATCCAAGGGCCTTGACCGTTCTGTTCCGCGCCACGGCCGCCTTCTTTCGATTGGGCAAGAATCTGGGCAAGATGCAGTTTCTGCAAAGCCATTAATTTTTGTATGTCTACGCCTCCAAGTAGTTGTGGGTTCGAAGCCGCCAGTTGTTTCAGTTGACCCCATGTTTTAATATGTTTCGGGACAGGCGACGAGATGTTCGGGTTGTTGTTCAGAATCGCTGGGGGGAAATGCAAGCGGTCCATTTCCTTGACTTGGTCAGGGGACATTTCAATGCCTCCGCCATGTTGGCGAAGAAGCTGCAACTTGTACATGTCATGTTGGCGCTGTTGCTGTTGCTGTTGTTGTCGCTGCTGAACCGACATCTGTTGTCCAGGCAGCATCTGGCCGTTCATGCTCGCAATGTGCTGTTGCAAATTGAGAGGTGCTCGCATGTTCTGCCCGTTGCCAATCTGGCCGGGCAACATCTGCTGGCCTTGGCCTTGCTGTGGGAAGTTTTGTTGCATCTGGATGGACTGTTGTTGATTTGCCCGTAACAGAGCCTGGTTGTTCGCCAGCCGGCGCTGCTGGAAAAAGAGATTCAACTGTTCATTGCTCATTTGGCTCAGTTGCTCTTGAAGTTGTGGAGGCAGCCCGGGTGGTATTTGAGGCCGTTGCATCGATGGCTGTCCGCCCATGGACTGGACATTAGCCTGCTGCTGCCCCATGCCAGGAGCGCGAGACGGAGGCCGAACCTGTGCAGCAACCTGCGCGGGAGACATTTGACCGGGGGCCATAGGACGGTTCAGCATGGGCATTGCGGGACTTTGTTGCGTCATTTGGTGTTGCATCTGGGACCCGGCTTGTCCATTTTGAGTCATTGCGATCTGCGCTCTTTGCGCTGCCTGAACGCGTGCTGCCTGTTGGGCTTGGGTCTCGTTTTGTAGTTGCGATGTTTGTTGAGATCTACCTTGCGAAACATTCTGTGCGCCCTGTGGATGCTGCGCAAGAAATTGAGGGCTGATACCGGATTGTGCGTTTTGGTTGAGCTGAGGGCCCATCTGGAACATATTCGATGCCGTCTGATTAATCGGCAAGGAACTAGCTGGCACCACAAGCTGGCCCGCTTCCTGAGACCGCAACCCATCCGCCTGTTGCCCTTGAATGTTGTCGACACTACCGATGAACGATGGCTCCGGGTTCTGTTGATTTCCCATGGGGTATGCGGAGTTGCGTTGTAGGTTCATCATGTTTGTTAACATTTGTCGCTGCTGTGGGTTCATCGTTTCTGCCAGCATTGCAGCCCCGTTAGGGTCGACGCCATTACCATGAGCACGAGCCATCTCCATTCGGTTTCGCTTGAACCGTCTAAGCTGGGTCAGAGCCTGCGAGCGGAAGAAGTAAGTCAACGGGTCCATATTCTTCTTTGATAGGTATTGGCGCTGCTCTGGCGACATATTCTGCAAATTCAACTTGATCTTCTCCAAATCTTCCTGGGGAGTTTTTGAAATGATTTGGCTTGCAACTCGACAGACTTGCTCATATTCTTGAGCGGAAAGAGTTTGGAGTTCGTCGTTGTATGGAAATCCAACGCCGGGCCTTTGCTGAGCTCTTTGCTGCATGATGTTCTGCTGTTGCTGTTGCTGCTGTTGCGGCTGCTGTTGCTGTTGCGGCTGTTGGGGTTGTGGACGATGTTGCATTCCATTTTGCTGACCCATGTCCCCAAGACCCATTGACATCTGTTGTTGCCCTGGCATCGGAGACGCCTGCATGGGGTGGTTCATTTGTGCAGGAAATCCTACCTGACCAACACCAGTCATCCCCGCTGTTGGACCTTGGGGCATCATTCCGTTCTGCATCACAGCAGCTTGTCGTGCGCGAGTGTCGCGAATATGAACAAGCTTCTCGTTACAGTTCCTCTCGTATTCGATCTAGAAGTGTTAGGCTGGTGTAGCAATGGGGTCCCAAACGCAGGAATGCACACCTTTTCTCTTGCGTCTTTGAAGGCTTTCTGTTCGAAAGCCAATGCCGCATGAGCGGCACTTTGCGTGTCGATGCGGGGTGTTATGAGACGGAGTGATGTAATCCTGGCGGGGAAATTGTTAGGTTGACAAAGCTACGCCTAGTCGAACTGGTTACACGAATCTCAAGCCACAGGAAGCGGTCAAGAGCACGTGTATGGACACAACGGCCACTTACATCTGATAGACCTTCATTGCCCGATCTCTGACCGGTACTTCCGCTCGCCATCCTGAATACTGACCCTGGGCCTGCAGAGCCTGCGCGACCTGAGACAAGATTATCGAATTGTTGTTACCGCCATTCATACCTCCGCCCACGTTGGGGAGGTTTGCCGGATTCATGTCAACAACCCCCTCAATGGGGATCGAGGAGTAGTCCGCGCAAGCCTTCCTTTGACGTCAGCATTCGCTGGCCCGAATGCCAAGCGTTACACTTTGCGATAGAATCTTCGTGACTGAGGAAGACTTGATCGCACTCCAGATATCTCTATCTCGGTAAGAAGCTGGCTTGTGGGGATCCACCGCAAGAGAGGCTTGAATAGTCGAGAGCGATGTTGAGAGAGGCGGTTAGCGGTCCGAATGTGGTCGCGATAGGGACGAGGTCGGCAGCGATATGAGCTTCGCTGTTTATTCCGGGAGATTTGGTTGAAACGAAAGAAGACGAACGACAGAAATCAGGTCGTGGGATGCGAGTGGAACACGCAGGACCAACACAGCAAGGGAAAACAAGGCGTTCGGGCACCAGTGGTGAGTTGAGGGTGGTGTTGTTGGCAGGCGCCCGGGAAGTGGCTTGGAGGGGGGTTGAGGGCGGGCTAGGCAGGATTACACTTGATGTATGTTGGATCAGGGACAGGGATGTTTAATGTATTGCACCGCTTAGTTCGCAAGATCGTTCGGGGTGACAAGGTATGGAGCTTCCCGGAGTCACGAGAGGTGATAGAGATAAGGAAGAAAACAAGTCGAAGTGGGAAGCCTAGGTGCAAGGGTAGCACATGTCAGTGAATGTTGGTAGAAGAAGAGGCACGCCCCGAAAGCACATTTCGCAGTCAGGAGAGAAAAGCGAGCATTCACTCGTCGAGGAATCCCGGTGTTTTTGGTTTAGGCAATGGATGCAGAAATGCGCAAAAAAGCCGAACGGTCGGCAGAAGAGGGCGCTAGGATGAACTGAGCAGTAGGAGGGGATCTTCAACTCACCCGATAATAGCTCCTCCGATCTGGCGGAGAAGATTCGAGGTTGGCTAGAAGTGTATGGAATGAAGAGGGGAAGGTGGAAGGAACGAAATGCGAGAGAGAAACAGAGAAACAGAAAGAGAATGGGGTCAGAAGGAGAGGGAGGGAGAAGGAGAAAGAGAGTCAAAATGCGGCGATCGATCACGAAACGAGGAAACAGAGTCTAGGTGGGTTGGGTGGGTAGGTAGGCAAATTGGGGGGGGGAGGGACTACCAAGAAGAGAAAAGCTGGGCAGGAAAAAGGGAAACAAGAAAATCAAAACGGATAAATGGCCGTAGTAGACCCCCAATATATGGGCTATGGAACAAAGGGGAGAGGGCAGAGAAGTCGAAGATCTTGTGCACAGGAAGAGAGAGAGAGAGAGGAGAAAGAGAGCAAGAGAAAGAGAAAGAGAAAGAGAGAAGGTGGTGGTAATGGTCGTGGAGGAGGAGCAGGAGGTGGTGGTGGTGGTGTAGCAAAGAGAGGGAGACTCTTTGAGGTCAGTCAATCAGTCAATCAGTCAATCAGTCTGTCAGTCAGTCATCATTTTAGTTTAGCAGGTACTCCGTACTGTACGTAGTATTAAGGTAGTTCGAGTTTATTACTACTAAGGTAAAAGAAAGGTACACCTTAGCAGTTTAGTCTAACGGAAGTCAAGTTGGGTGGTGGTAAGTTAATAGTAGTTGTGGAAAGTGGGTTGGGTGGCCGTGGATGATGGCAGTGATGGCCGTGATGGTAATCCACCTAAAACCATTGAGGAATTATGAATACTCGGGTGGTAGTTAAGGTAGTTAGTGTTAGTTAGTGGCCTGAGGCGCCAGATGCAGACCGATGAGTGGTTCTGGTGGGCGATTAACGCTTCTACTCGGTAGGTACAGTACCTTACCTACCTTAGTACCCCCCCCCCTCTAGACCCGTCCCCGTGCCCAGGACCACTTAGGGATCTGCCCGTTGGTCCTGCTCATCATCAGCTTCTTGGTACTGTACTAAACTTCTACACTACGATGTGAGTACAGTACCGTAGGTAATATGGAAGGAGACTAGGGAAAACCTGGGAAACCTGAACTTTACCCAGCCGCCAACTGACAACTCGACGGATCGCTCGATTATTATTTGAGCGCCTGTTGGCCACTTCCCCCCCCCCTGTCCCATTCAATGTCATTGATTCAGGTTATAAGTGAATCTGCTGTACTGTACATCATACTGTGTATATGATTTTTATATACATAACATGACTACTCTGGCAGTGCATTTGTACTTCAGATCAAGATTGTCTGATCATCTCCAATCCGTATCACTTACCTATCTCTCTCTCTCTTAACCTTATGTACAGTACTCATATGAGGGGATCGCCCTTAGGAACTGACGGGGAGCCAACCGATGGAGACCCAAAATTAAAAAAAAAAGCGGGCCATCCTCTTTTTTTCCGCTTTCTGGTCCGTCCCCATCACCGGAAATCCCTGGTAACTAATTGGTCTCGACGGGTGACTGGCTCTGGAAAAGACGCAAGGTCTTCCAGGCCAAGAAATGTTGGTTTCGCAGCCAGTCAATCAGTCAGTCTTTCCTGCTTTCCTCCACTACCTCCCTCGTACGTTGTATGTTTTCTTTTGCCTCTTTGCGTCTTTTGCTTCCTTGAATTGTATTTCTCTTTCCTTGCCTCGGAATCAAGTTTTACCATCAGTCCAATCACTAGTAACTCTAATTGACGTGACCAATGGTGGATATCGCTCCCGCCTACCTACTTGATGACTGGATTTAGTGTTGTGGTTCAGGAGCCTGGAGATCTATGCTGCAGCAATCAGTTAGCGGGCTGGGATGATAATAAGGATGGGTAGGTATCACCAAGGCACGCACACATTAGTCACCAGCGATCATAGTGAATGCCACCACCATTTGACTGGAGTTGTGGTCCGTCTTCCATGCAAGATGGCGGTATCCGAGGATCTCGTAGCTACAGCTGTATGTACCTACGGTCAGACTTGCTGGTTACGGCACATTAGTACTACCACAACAATCCTCCGTGGTGCGGCCAGGTGGTACAGACTACCCTACCACCTACTGGCAGGCATCGACTCAGTCTTGGCGATATCAGGTCGGTAAGATTAGACTTGGATCGCATTACACGAGTACAGTTGCTTGAGATTAAATGGAGGCCGTGAACCATGTTGGTCTCCACTGATCGACCAATGAAGGGTTCTGTATCTGCGGTGCTTTAGCTTTGGGGGAACTGGAAAGGTCTTCGAGTTGTCCGCAAGGGCAGCTCACAGCAACTAAATTGGTTCAGTGGCCAGGCGTGAACTTGACCCAAATAATTTGACCACACATTCATTCTCTCCGCCTGGATTTTCCCCTGGCACAGTCCGGTAGAATGGACATTGACCACGGAATTGTGGTTCGTACTGTACTAAATTGAGTTGCTGGCCCAGCAGCAGGAATTGTTAAAGGTTCGTACTGGAGGTCTACACCACTAATCCGTCAATACTTCATGGCTCCCTCAGAATGAGATCGGTACACTAGTTCACTAGTGTCACTGGCCTTGACAGAACAGACTATTCCTGATTTGAAAACGTACCAAAGCGGCCTGCAGTGAAGGTGCTACAAATCACACACCTATCGCCCAGAATGAAAGATGTTTGGAAGGTACTGGTATACAACCACAGTATGAATATGGCGAAAACACTTTCGGCTGTTGACCATCTTGTTCCATGGGGGCATGATTCCTATTTGCAGGATTCCTTCTCAGCCCGATCTACGGAGTAGTCAACGTGAAGTCCGATCAACATGGCCCTGGAACATGTCTATCGATGGGTCGCTCCCGAGAAAAGCTTGGGGGTGCCTCATGCCAATCTACGGAAAGTCCTACCGGCACATCCGGCTTTGGGCGTGATACTCACCCGTCAAGATCATGCATATGATACCGTTTTCAACGACTAAGAGAATCAGACAGCGAGAATATGCAACCAACACAATCCTTGATCAGGGCATTGAAATAGTGTCTCATTGTTGATTGGTATGCGAAGCTTGTATGATTCTTCTTTGGTAAAAACCTCCAGTGCATCTTCGGATTGATATACAGGACTTGGAGGCCTTGCGAAGAGTATAGCGGGCAGCGCGCCATCCGAGCAGACATGACTACCGGTAGGGTCGAGGGCGTGCATGACTGAAGTCGCATCATATTCTTTGATATGCTGTCCCAACAGTCCAGACCAATCTCACATTCCAAAGCCAGGCTAGCATCGGCGATGGAAGGGAGAATATATGAGTATATTTATACTCAGTAGGGTTGAGGGTCCAAATGCGGTGTGGTTCAGAGTCCCAACTTGAAAAGGGCCGTGGAGAAGTGTGGAATCATTTGAGATGAGAAAAGGAATCTACTGAGTAGTGCCGGCAATTGCGACTCCGCTGTTACTTTTTACGGAAACAGACACGTCAGGCACCATCACGTGATCTGGCTGCTGTCGTCACCGGCCCCCGGGCTGGAAGCCGCCCTTGAATTATCATCGACCATCAATGAACTTTTGGGAAATGAGCTGATCCATTCAGCAGATCTCGTTTCAAGTCTCGGCCGCATTTGCGATCCATAGTACGGAGTACTGAGTACTTAGACTACTGTACGTACGTACGTACTTACTCATAGTACTCCGTAACTACGGGCAGTTTCTACTTCTTCCCTTCCTGGTCACTTTTGCTTCTTCTATTTCTTCCCAATTCTCTCCATCCCTCCTTCCCTTACTCCTTCCTCTCTCCCCCCTCATTTATACTCATACTCATACTCATCCACGTCGCACTGTTGTGTTTCTACCCCTCGATTCTCGATCGCTAGTCTCTTTTAAGCTCACCTGCAATGCTTTATTGATTGATCGTCCTCTCCTCCCGAGACCCTGCTCTACTTGCCTTTTTACCCTCCGCCGGATGTACTGACATCCCCTCCCCCCCTCTCCTCCCCCCAATCATCGCCATGGTTCTCGCCACGCCTGTGCCCGTAGGGTCTAGTGTTTTCTTCTCGCTGGCCCTTCTCACAATCTCTATCCTTGTTTTACTTCTTCTCCGGCGCTTTCTCACTTTGCGCGCAACCCCGGCTTATCTTTCCATTCCCGTCTTTCTTGCGCTCGCGCTTCCTGCCAGTGTAGTTCTGTTGGTTCCTATCGACCTGGCGTCAAGTTCGCGTGATGGATCAGGTCCCACAGCCATCTGGCTTCCTGACCGCCTACTTCTAGTCTCGTGGCGCATCACCTATTGGCTGATATTTGTACTGACATGGTACGTATAAGTCGTGTCGTTTGTCAGCCAATTTTGGTTGTTCTGAACTAATATAATGGAGATGCTGATCGGACTTTTCCCTCCTTACAGGGCTATCCTCCCGCTTCTCGGAGAATATATAGACTCTGGATATCGTGAACCGAAGGCTCGTATTCAGTACTCTATCCGGTCGAATGCGCGCTATCAACTCATCGTGCTGTGCTGTGCGATCGTTGGATTGGTCTACATCTCCATCCAGAATGGGTTCGAATTTACTTCAATCAAGGCGCTCGTTATGGCTCTTGCTTACGTCTGGGGTCTCGTACTGGCGATCTACCTAATGGGCCATGGTCTCGTCTCGATCCCTCGCACACTATTCCGCAACGCCGATGTCAGCGGCAGACTCCGGAGAATTCACGCCCATGCCCCTCGGCTGCACGACCGCTTGATGGATGCAATCAATGATTTGGAGAGTCTCGAGAGTCAGGTCTCTCAACTGCAGCGCCGGAAAACAGGGACCGCCCTCGACTTTCAGGATTGGATTGACGAGCTGGCAGAGACTTGCAGTCCTTCTGAACCACGATCAACGTTGCTGGACCATGCAGATGGATCTGAAACAATCCCCGCCGTCATTACCGAACGCTATTTGGCAGATTTGACAAGACGTCTTCAGCGTGCTCGGCATCAAAAGGCTCGTTTCATCGACGAGTGGGACCGTCTGGTGCTGTCCGCTGCTGATATGCAAGCCATTATCAATTCGTCCGCATCCAGGAAATTGGAGTTTACTCCGTCACCTTATCGCTCCTCATGGTTGTCGAATGCTAAGGTTCTGAGCCCATACATGCGTTACCAGCTCTATGTGCGCGTGATCCCGAACCTTCGACTTGGACTAGGTGCTCTCTTCACTGCCGCATCCGCTTGCATTGTCTGGTCCGAAGTGATCAAATCTATGGCGCCTCGGCTGTCGGTAGTGACCCTTTCCATTGTATCCTATCATCAGGATCCTGCGCCAGTGAACTTTGGTCGTCAAGTTATTGCTTCTGCTTGGTTGCTGTACATGTGCTCCGCAGCCTTGGTGGGCGTGAACGACGCCAAAGTGTGGGGCAATCGTGCCTTGGTCCGTCGGAACACGTATGGGGAGAGCGCATGTTGGTACGCTGGGCTTGTAGCCCGGCTGACTGTACCCATCGCCTACAACTTCCTCACCTTTTTGCCGGTTAGTGCGCGACAGAGCACCGTCTTTTACAAATTCCTGGGGCGGTTAATCGACCTCACACCGCTTGGTAAAGGGTTTGACTACTTTTTCCCGGTCTTCATCTTGCTGCCCATCTGTGCCACTCTCTTTAATCTATATGGTCGAGTGCAAAACATTTGCAGCTGGGGACTTTTGGAGGAAGATGATGATGACCTAGAAAACAATCCCGGTGGCTACGGACTGGGAGGTTGGCGTGAAGGGCGTGACCTCATTGAGCGAGAACTGAACGGCCTCGGCTCATTGGGGCTTTCAGCCCGTGGTAGTCGGTCGCCCCGACCTTCGAGTCGGGTTGACGAGGAGGTTCCTGCATTCATTTCCTCGCGAACACCCCTAGTTGAGGGTTCCCGGGCACCTCGAGCACCTCGCAGCACTCTCGGAACCTCTGCCTTGGTCGAGGAAGAAGAGGAAGAGAACTTTTTCCAGTCATTCGCGCACCGCATGAAGAACACTCTCGAAACAGCCAGCAAGCCGCAGTGGTTGCAGGGTGACTCCTTCCGCCTTCCACGGTGGATGGGAAATGAAGGTAACGATGGCAGCAGTGGTCTCGCGAGATGGTTTGGTGGCCGGCCTGCACCTGGCGGGGTCAGACTTTGAAGACATCTTGAGTACGTTCTTCCGCCAGTGAGCAATTGTAATGTAATTATGTAAGATTATAACTGTATATAATATAATTTTTTCCATTGTGAGAACAATGACTTATTGCAGAATAGTAAATCTCCCAGAAACTAGTCGATACAATGATGTCAGTCAACGCAGAGAAAACAGCAACTAGCCCCAATTCCAGCTTCTGCCTAGCACAATTCGGGGGTACCTGGAATTCCATGTATGGATAGGTCGGCCAGCCTTGCAAGAGCACCGGAGAGCACCGGAGGTGACAAAACCATTGTGGCTCCTGAGGCCACTTACTTCTCGGTTAGGCTGTGTAATGTTGCTCCGCTCTTCCATTCCATGCCATCTGTGTTCGTCCGACTGTAACGTTGACAGAACGCTCGTCTCGTCAAGAATTACCTGGGGGATATCCTAGATGATGCATTTAACATGGCTGGGTCGCATCATTGCTTCTCCCTGCATAACGCCATATGGACAGTACAGTAGTACTATACAGGGCTTGCTATATAACAGGACAGAGTGAGCTGCGGTTGGCCCTTCTACAAGCCGCTGTCCCAGGTTGATGACGTCGCCTAGCATACTAATTTACTGAGTAGGTCAAGATAACTACTTACCCCACTACTGCGGTCGATGTACCGGCTCAAAACCTCTCAGTTGTGGTATCAATACCTCTATGTGTGCTTGGCAGGTGTTTGAAATGGCTAATGCATGTTAATGATAAGCCGATGAGATCTGTCAAAGACATGATTGTGTACTAGGTAGGCATGACAGTCGCATGTCACGTGGGAATGATCTGCTGCTTTTATGCTGCAAGATGAATGCGACGCTCGGTCTGCCTCAGCCATTGGCATTAACTTTGGGGAATGATTGCAAAGCAATTGGTCATTCATTTGGAGACAGATAGTAATCAACTCAGCCTTGTGGTGAGCCTACCCCTCAGGTTTGATGGAAGGAGGGGCTTTGGCGGGCATGCAATATGCTTATACTGTACAGTAAAAGAGAGGAGAGAGAACAGAAATCATAAGATATCACATTGATTCGAAATCGATCGAACATTCGTGACGAACAGACAAGGCGATCTTTCAGCCTTTCAGCCTCCAGGCGGCTGCGGCAAAAAAACAAAAAGAAAAAAAAAGAGGCTCTCTCCGCCTTCTCTGCCTATTCCGGAGCTAATGGAAGAGAGGCCCAGGGCAAACTTCCAGTGACCTCAACACCCTCGTCATTCCCCCTCCCATTGACCCATTCTTGGCCGACAATCCATGAGCCAGTTGCTATCGCACATATCTCTGTCCTCCCTGGGCGAGACGTGTGCTTCCTACATCGACCACGTCGCCACCAATCTGTCTCCTTCGCTCCAGACTTTACACCATCAACTCACCACCACTCTTTCGTCAGCTCAAGCCTCGTCTCCCTTGCGTTTTCTCACGCCTTGGCCGGAGCCGAACCCGGATCACGCCGCCAGCGATTATACCGCCCCGATTACCTACACTCTTCTCGCGTGTGCGATCGCAATCATCGTCATGTCTTCCTGGCGCAGTCCCTTCACCTTCTGGCGCCGTTCTCCCAACTACACCAACGTTCAAAACCCTCCCCATGTAACCGACAACGATTTCAGCTACATCACGACGGACGAGATCGTCAATCCGCTCAGACAGCCACAGTATGGACACCAGCACCCCGGTGCCGATGATGCTGAGCCCGACACCATCCTTTTGAAACACCGCAAGAACACCTACGACCTGCACTTCCCTGCTTACTCCATCAATGAGGGCGCCCTCAGTGTGGGTCAGCTGAGACAACGGGCTGCAGAGGTGACGCAGACGCCTGACCCGAAGCGGATCCGACTACTGTACAAAGGAAAACTGTTGGACGACGATTCATTGCCCTGCCGGGCGGAGGGACTCAAGCAGCAGTCAGAGGTCTTGTGCGTGGTCTCGGAGGTGCAGCCCGGGGAGAGCTCGCCAAGTGAGACGTCCGAGGCGGAGGTTGAACTTCCTCCGCGCCAGGACGAACCCCCTCGCAAGCGATCGGGCAAGAACAAAAAGCGCGGGAAGAAGGGCAAGAAGCCGGGCCCTGGTGGCGCAGCAGTCGACCCGGCCACTCTACCACCCCCGGCGCAAGCGGCGCGACCATCCCCCTCGCCCGGCCGTTCAGCCATGCCCTCACCCGCACCTAGCCTCAACTCCTTCCGCACCCCGCTGGATCAAGCCAACGGCCTCTTGTCGTATCTTCATCGGGAATTGCTCCCTCTCTGTGAAGAGTACTTTGCCAATCCCCCGACCGATCCGAAAGCACGCGATTTCGAGCATAAGAAGCTCAGCGAAACAATCCTCGCCCAGGTCATCCTGAAGGCAGACGGGATTGAGATCACGAATGACGAGGACCGTGCTGCTCGTCGCGCGTTGGTCAAGGAGGCACAGGGCTTACTGGCCAAGCTTGACCAGGCACTGAATAACTAAGTACCCTGGCATTTTATGTACATGACCCCTTTTTTTATCATATCTCACGGAAAGACCATAATACTACTCTTGCTGCATGGAAAGAAGCTTTGAACCTATTTTTTTCTATTCCCCTCTAGCATTTGTTTGATTGCTTTTTTGTTTATTGGCTGTGATTTACACTTCGTTTACTCCAGCTCTGGCTTTGGGATCGGTTCCTTTCTCTGTTGCTTGCTGAGCACCGAGCTTGGGTACATTGCTTCAATGCATATACAAATGTCACCTGTGGATAGGATTCTGCACGGTTCTGGCGTCGGAGGTTGTCTAGGGTGGGGAACTACCCGATAGGATTCTTGTCACTTAATCCTGCTATTGTTCTTATTATGGATACTCCCAGTGAACAGTGCCACGTGCACCTAGCTTAATCTTCGAATTCCGCGGCGGACGAAGCAAGAGATGGGACTGAGACGGTCGTATATCGAATGTTTCGGAGACGGAAGGCTGGGACCGACGTAAGGTATGCCGGTGTAGTCGACCGGCATGGAAATTCAACCAGACTGATTGATCATTCGCTGAGTTACGCACAACACATAACTATACCATCCTGTGTACTTTTTTTCCCCATCCAGCTACATATCTGTAATGCCATTCGCTGTGTCTGAGGGTAAGCACCTCGTATCACGGTCAGTGCATGTGTAAAGTACATACAGTACTTCAGCCCAGGAGGTGATCAAGTAAGCATGCAGTTGGTTTGGAGACTAGCAGAAACTCTATGCTGAGATCGAACTAAACCGAAATGGAACTTAGATCTCTTCGCTGTCACGGCCTTGAGATTCCCACTCTTCCCCTTCCTCTTGGGGCCTAACGATCTATCACAATTTGGCGATAACTACGTGCTATGCGAGCTTGTCAGCTTGTGCTTTGTGCTTTGTCCCTTTCTCCATCGCGGGCCGACCAGCAGACCGTTGGGGACATTCCAGCCTGACTGGTGGGTGGTCGGAAATGTCAAATCGGACTGATCGACTGTCGGCATGGCAGACAGTCCAGATAAGTTGAAAGAATCTTGTGTTCATTAGGTTGAGATCAGGACCCGTTTATTGGTAGTGAAGCTTTTTTTTTCTTGGTGGCAGAGTCTATCCTATGAGTAAGTATCATCAGTGGATACATTCATCTCTAATTCATCTTTGCCGAGAGACACAGGATGATTGGCGCAGCCCACCCAGCAATTGGTTCTAGGCTATGTCTCTCTCTCTCTCCTTCACAAGGAGGGGGAAAGGATAAGAAAGAGATTAAGGTAGAAAATACGGAGTAGTCCCTAATCAATTGCCTAGTCCCGGGCTGTCTTTCTTCTCAAGTAGTCTAGCGGCTTGTCCTAACCTGATCTACTTCTCCTCCCTCCCTCTAGTCTAGTCTCGCCTCGACTTTCTCCTCCTCTCCTCTTCTTTCTCCTCCTCTCCCTCCTTTACTTTACCCCGTCTTTCTCGGCTCTTCGCTCTCGCATTTGCCTTCTTCTTCCTCTTCCTCTTCTTCCTGTTGCAACCACCGGGCTCTAGGACAGTTGACTTGACACTCTCCTCTTCTTCCTCTGAATCCCTTCTTCCTCGTACTCACCCCGTTTTCTCCGCTCAACTGTGTCTCGGATGCTGTCCTGACGCCACGGTCCAGCCACACACACCTTTGCATCACTCCTTTCCCTGGCATTTTTTTCCCTTGTCTTCCCCTCCTCCTCCTCCTCCTCCACCCACTGCTTAATATACTTTATTTTGTCTTTTACCTCTGCCCCTCCCTACCTGGGCATCTATTCCATTCTCACTTCCTCCACCTTATACTCGACTACTTTAGTCTTCATCTGACAGCTGCTCTCGACTCGTCCTAGCCGTCTCCCATCCGCCATCCGCCTTTTGACGTTCCCTGAGCCGAACCGACACATCCACGGTACCGATTCCGCCGGTCCCTGGCTAACGAGTGCTCAACCCAACCCACCTCCCGGGGAACCACATAGACGGTTGCGCAGCGATTCCAAGGTGTTCAATTCTCCACTTTCTCCTTATTTACAATTTCCTCTTTTCGGCTCGTCTCGCTCGTGCTCTCGGCCCCCTTTCCCACCGATTCATCACTTCACCGTCCGGCTCCCGTCTTCTCCCAGCCTTCCTACCCCTCACATCATACAGACTGCTGTTCTCTTAACTCAGTCAACTCCGAGGAGGGACTTCGACCAGAACTGCCCTGAGCGGTTGGTGATTCTGGTCTGTGTGTCTCTGGGATGGCCTGATCGGGGACAAGAACAGAAAGAGAGAAGAAAAATTGTTCCTTGCCCAGTGACCAGCCGCTCGTTGACCTTGTCACGATCGCCTTCATAACAGCACACCGGGTTCCAGCTGGTCTGGACTTGTCTGATCCATATTTACTGCTGCTGGAATGGCGGGGACGGCTACCGCGACATACTCGACAGATGCATGGACGTCACCCAGTGTAGAGGGGAGTCAATGGGAATTTTCGGTTCCAATCCGACAAGATGTAAGTGTGTCCTAGAAGTCAGTGGCCACGCTGCGGTAGTTTGCAGCCACTGTACAGTATACCCGATCCAAGAGTGTCGCAGGAATCAGACGAACTGACCTGGATTGTGCTAGAGCACTAATAATCGCTCCAAGTCGCGTTCGTCCCATGATTCGCGCTCCCGAGGGCATCGGCCCCAAGGCTCTCGCGGCTCCTCCTTGTCACGACACGTCCAGGCTCACGATCAGTTCAATCCGCGCGGTCGCCGAGACGTTAGCCATAGTCGACGGGAAAGTGAAGAATTCAACTCGCAGCATCACTATAGACACGAACCTGTAGACCGCAGCATTAGTAATGCGAACGCCTCGGCCGAGATCCCACGCCAGGATGGGACAATAAAAACAAGCGAGGGGATCGGAGTGTACCTCGGAGAGTTGGATAACGAGAAATGGATCCACCGAGATAAATTGGCCAAGATCGAAAGCGAAGAGTTACAGCAGTTGTTCCAGCGACGGGCTGCCACAGACGGGATCCAAAGTGGCCGTGGAAGGCCCCATGAGTCTCACGGGGTCAACGGACGCTCCTTTTCCCCACACTCGCCAAACGAGCAGACGGAACCGTGGCCCAGTCTACATGATGGGTCACCGCGTGACTCCTACGACTCCAAACCCTTCTCCGACGCCGATGACCTTCACGATACTACACAAGGCGATCAAAAGGATTGGGACCTCCGACGGGCGGACGAGATTGCTGCAGACAAGACGAAAGAGAAGGCAGCGTCGAGCTTCTACCATAACCCTGGCTTGCGAAAGAGCTCTTCTCGGATCCCAATTCCGACCGCCAGCCCGGTCCCCATCTCGCCTGAACACGCTGGACGAGAGTTCCCCAGGCAGCGCACCCGAGCCCTCACCAATGGTGAAGATGAAGCGCTGTCGTTCGGGATGCCGCGTCGAGCTAGTGAGCCACTGACGGTGGAGGCAGCAAACGGCCTACCTTCCAATGGCAGCAGACCTGGTAGCCGTGGGTTCCCATCGCAGACCACGGCAGCCAAGAAAACACCAGCAAAGGCTGGACCTACCAGCCGTAAGACCTCTGCTCCTCCCGCAACCAGAAAGGCGACTCCCCGAGCTCGTCTCCCGTCCAGCACTCAGCGGCCTGGAGCCAGAGCAGACGGTCGGGGCCCTCCTAATCCCATCAATCGGCCGGAAGGAGATCCTCCATGGCTGGCTACCATGTACAAACCGGATCCGCGTCTTCCTCCAGACCAGCAGATTCTCCCCACGCACGCGCGGCGCATGCAGCAGGAGCAGTGGGCCAAGGAGGGCAAGACACCCACGATGTACGACCGCGAGTTTGCTCCGCTTGCAATCGGACCGGATGGACCATTCAAAGTGGAGAGACCGAAGAATGAGGCCCCGGAGCCGGAGAAGCACCAAATGGAGGAGAAGACAAAGGAAGAAGTGCAGCCTGCACCACAGCAAACGCCCGAAGAGCAGCTCCCGTCCAAGGAAGGTGAAGCCGACGCGCGGCCCGCCACAGGAAGTGGGTATAGCACTATGCCCCGAGTGCAGGAACCAATGCCAGCACCACTGACACCCAAATGGAGCCCGCCGGTGGTGACGGCGCAAGAGCCACCCCCGAAGGAGAAGGGCTGCGGATGCTGCATCGTAATGTGATTTAATCCTGCCATATCAACCCTCTCAGCCTGAGCTACTTCTCAGCAGCATTTACCTGATTTTCCCCTGCATCATGCTTCTCAATTTCTCTTATTCTGTTTATTCAGCGTGCAGGTTGGGTGTGGTGTTCAAATCTCTAGGATTTTAATTCTTGTCCAATTTTCTTTTCTTTGTGTGCAAACTTTTGTGTCTTAAAAAGACGATCATTTAATATTGCGGCCATCGACCTGTTTGATTCCCTCACTCTTACTGTCTTTGAGCATTGGTCATTCCTTGAAATTCCCTTACTTTGGCGAAGCATCAGCATTGGAGCGATCATTATGACAATTCACACACCTTTTTCTTTTCTCTCCTTTTGTGTGTCGGCCGAGCAGGCTATTTATTTTGCGTCGTGAGTGTGTTTGCTTGCTGAATCTGAATCAGCAAGTTATAGAGAATGGAAGTTGTGAGAATATGACCGAGGTCGGGTGATGTAGTTGCTGTAGTGGAAGTGTCCAACCAGTGAGAAGCAGTAGAAATGCCCGAGACAGGCTGTACTTACAGTGCATCACGGAGACAAAGGAGAACCTAGAAGATTACCATGCTACAGTAAGCAAGTTGGGTGACCCTACAGAAGATAACAGTAACTTATGTTAGTTAGATTTACTATCCGAGTATTTGTCACCCAACAAAAATGGATGCTTTGTCAAGCGGTCCCTTCCAGAACCTTTCCACGCTCGGAGCGATGATGCCATAGCCGGGAGCGGAGCTTACTTACATAATCCCCGCGGGTTTGACTCCGAGACTTGCGGCCGCCTTCAAGGTTGCGCCTTGCGCCATCCCGCCAACATCTCTCTCCATTATCCCCGTCCTCCAAACCCAAACACCGATCAACTTACCGTCCATCGTCCATATAATCCCGTCGCTACCCCTCACTCTTCCGTCCCCTCTTCTTCCTTCTTTTCCAACCCACCATCCACCAAACAACAAACCCAACCCACCTCTTCGACCCGTCCCTCGTGCGCCGGTCGAATCTCCTTCCCAAACTCGCCCACCATAGCTTCCATCTTCACTCGTCTTTTCGGCTCCTTCGCCGGCCCCTCCCCCGCCACCATGGCCTCCGCAAAGACCAAGGCTCAGAACCTGATCAACGAGAATGGCGTCGGTGAGTTTGTTTTTTTTTTTTCTTTTTTTTTCTTTCTATCATAGCCTAGACCTTCACCCGTACCACCAGGATCAGATGTCCCACTAACGATAACCGTGTAGTCGTCTTCTCCAAATCCTACTGCCCCTACTGCGTCGCCAGCAAGCGCCTCCTCAACGAGCTGGGCGCCGAGTACAAGGTCCTGGAGTTGGATCAGATCTGTACGTTGCCCCTTCGCCCTCTTTCTTTCCCTTGGTCTGCCTTGTTGTCTTTTCGCTGTTCGCTGGGGGGAGGGAATATGGGCTAATATTGTTTCGTGGGGGTTTTAGCCGACGGCCAAGCCATCCAGGATGCTCTGTACGAGATTTCCTCGCAGAAGACCGTGCCCAACATCTTCATCAGCCAGAAGCACATCGGCGGCAACTCGGATCTGCAGGGCAAGGACCGCGCGCAGCTGAAGCAGTTGCTGACGGCTGCGGGGGCTTTGAAGGCTTAGATTTCCAGCCAGGGGGTGATAGGGCGGATATTGTAGGGGAGATAGAATTAGGTTGAATATATTTGGTTACTGTTCGATGCTTGGTGTTTTGGGATCTGTAGTTCGGGTATGGTTGTAGAGATAAATGTACATGTACATACATGTCAAGTCTTGCGATTGTAGAAAAGAGAGAAGAGAGGAGGTTGGATTCCCGAAGGTACACAGTACAGTACACAGTAAGAGTAGGAGGTAAATAAAAACTACAAGCCGATTGAAATTTACAAGACCTTCTGCACCACCGTGCCCACCGGCCGCTCCACCACCGCCATGATGCCCTCGACCACACTCTCGCGGGCGGGCTCGCTCGACACATTCTTCCCGGCCAGGTAATTCAACCACACGAGCCGACTGACGCGCTCGTCGGCGACGCGGCCCATATACCGCGTGGGCTTGTCAGCGACATCCGTCTGGTACAGGGCATCCAGCTGGCCCCGGGAGTTCCGGACGAGCAGCACCGTATGCCCCTTGGGGACGTTCTTGTTGGCCCCGCCGCCGAACAGGGCCTTGAACGTCTTGACGGCGGCGCCGAACGCCTCGTCCGCGAACTCGCCGCGCCAGGGGTTGTACTTCTGGGCGCGGGCGGTGACGCCGCGCACGAAGGCGTCGCGCATGTGCGTGAAGTCCGTGTTGCGGACGGGCACGATGCGGAACGCCGTGCGCAGGCCCGGCTCCCGCAGGATCGCGTCCCACACCAGATCGCCCTGCTGTTCGCCGCCACCACTGCTGCTGCCGGCGTCGAGAAGCAGCTGGCGCAGCCGGTCGCGCTCCGTCGACACCAGCGAGGTCGCCGCCGTCGCGCCCACAGGGTTCGTGATCACCCCTCCATCGCCCTTGGATTCGGCTTCAATCACCCCCGCCAGCGTCGGCGGGTTCACCGCCGTCTGCACCAGCCGCTGCTGCAGCGCCGTGATGTCCGACTTGGCCACGTACATCCCCACCACGTACACCTGGATCCGCAGGAACGAGACCGTCCGGATTCCCAGCCCCAGCAGCTGGTACTCCTCCTCGTCCGCGGGTTTCTCGGCGGCGGTCGACAGCGCGATCTCGTCGCCCGCCGCCAAGCCGATGTTCTCGGCGTCCAGCGCCTTGGGCAGGCGGATCGTCGCCGGGAAGTACGGCACCGAGCTGGTCCCCGTTGCCACTTGCTCGGCGCCGGGGTCTTGCCCGTGCACTGTGATCAGCGACGGGCTGCTGGGGAAGCCGTTCGGCCCGTCGAGTTGCGTCTTCTTCGGAGATGGGGCCTCCTGGGCCGTGGGGATGGTGGCGGTAATGGAGGAGGACTGCTGCTGCTGCTTTGTTTGTTCCAGGCCGAAGAGGTCGAGTTTGATGATCCCGTACATGGCAATTGCGCACGCGGCGATCCCGCTGGCTGACAGGATCATCGAGCGCCGGTAGTTGGCGACATCCTTTTCGGTGCTGCGTACGCGCGAGGTGCGGAGCGGGTTGGAGGGGTTGCTACTGCTGCCGCTGCCGGACGACGAGCGGACCGGGGAGGTGGTGGAGAGGTGTAGGCGCGATTGCGGGCGTCCGCCGCCGCGGGACAGGAGGTAGTGGCGGCGTATGCACTGGTTGCATGTGCGCCAGGGCATGGCGATGCCCTGGAGGGAGGTGTGGGTGGCCATTGTGTGCCTTGCGAGGTGGTCACGTATGTTATGGTTTGGCTTGAAGGAAATGGGGGTGAGGGCGGATGCGTCCATGACGATGGGCCTGCTGCTGGTTGGTGCCGACGGAGATGCTGACACGTGATTTTGACCTGCCCTGATTGGTTGTGGGGAAAGTATGGGGGTCTCGAGGAATTTACTAGGTAGGTATAAATTACAGAGTGCCCTCGGGCTTTGATGTAATAATGCAGAGGTCAAGTACTCATTTCTCTCACTAGAAGCTATCGAGCTATTTCACAACCACTTTGTGGCTTCCTCCACTGGCCACCGCTACCGTTGCCGTGTTATTGGCATAGCTCACGCCCTTGGTGATCTTCTTGCCGTCGATCGTGATCGTTGGCTTCTTGGAATTGAGGTAGGGGAGAGCAAGACTTCCCGTCGTCCCCTTCGGAACGGTAAACTGCAGGCTGTACTCATTCGATTGCTTCGTCCACGATGCCTGGAACTGGCCCAGCGAAGTCGTGAACCCAGCCTGGGCGGTCTCCAGATCTCCGAATTGCGGCGCGAGTTTCCAGGTTGCCCCCACCGGGGAGGTGACGGTCAGGCCCACGATGTAGTTTGTCAGGGCCGACGTGGGTCCAGAAGACCAGCCGTGCGCGTGGGAGACGTACGCCGTGTCGTAGTAGTATCCACGGCTTGACCGGTAGCCAAACGTGCCGTTCTGCAGGTATCCTTCAATGACTGTGCTTTGGGTACCGTTCTCATTGTTGTAATACCATCCCCAGCTTCGCCGGATCAGCTCCAGAGCTCGAGCGGGCTGGCCCACGGTAAAGTGGCCCTGAATCTCGAAGGACGAGATGAACGGTGAAATGTTCTCCGGTAGCTCGGGGGCCACGGCACCGATGGGTGTCCAGTTCTCGGTCAGTTTCTCGGAAATGCTAGCAGCGCGCTTGGAGTCGACTACGCCAAACAACAGGGCCATGCTATTTGCGTCTTGCGGGTGAAGAGTCGTGTCGGTTGCGTTGTCTTTGAACGCTCCGTACGAGTCGTCCCAGCAGTACTCGTTGATGGCCTCCCGCAGCTTCTCCGCCCGGGTGGTGTAGGTGTCCGACAGACCAGTGGTGTCACCTGCCCAGGTGGCAAGCTCGGCTCCTGTCTTGAGGGTGTGGTACAGGCTAGCGTCTGTCAGTCTGGCTTGGATCCGGAGTAAAGTGCACTGTACTCACATCATCTGCGCCTCAGTGTTGTTATACCCCTGCTGCCATCTGGCCCAGTCGCGGGTACCGGTGACATTGAGCAAGCCACTGGCGTAGGTCACCTTGCCATAGATATACTCCATGGCTTTCTGGTAGCCAGCCCAATTGGTCTCGAGGAAACTGGTATCATTGGTATACAATAGGTAATTGTAGGTGCCAACCATTGACCACATGTGGTAGGTGTCCGAGTTCTTCTGGCTAAGGGGAGGTCCTGATTCATCGAACGCTCCTGTCGAGGCCTGTTTTTCATTAGCAAAACTGGCCATAAATTCCTTCGCAGTTACATGCCTGGTAGTTGTACATCACTTGCAGTGCGTTTTTGACGCTCTCCAAGTTACCGATGCTAACAAAGGCGGACGGAACCGCAATGCCCATATCGCCTGGCCACACAGCTCGATCTCTCTTCGCACCGTCGACAATGATGGTGTCACCAGGCCCCAACGTGGCGTTGTTAGCCCATCCAGCAGGCATCGCTGGAATCTGGCGACCGGTGTTGACGGGGACCTCGTTGGTCTGCAGCGTGTAGGCGCCGCTGTACCAGATGGCATTCAGCAGGTCGTCACTAGAATCGAAGTATCCTTGGTAGGCTCTCAAATTAGACCATGTGGGCTGAAAGCCAATTTCCAGGCTCACGTCCTTGATCTGAACTGCAGTCGAGTTGTCCGTGATCAAGAACAGCGTCAGGTACCGAAATCCACCACGAAGGTACTTGTCAGGCATTGTATACGAATGCTCGCCCGCTTCAGTAAAGTTCCCATACAACGCGCCATCGGGACCTTTGAACCCTCCATTGGAGGAGTCGGACCATTCACCAATGTAGTCCTTGGCCTCGGTAAATGCCAGTCCCAGGGCTCCACTACCTGTGGAGGTATACTTCACCGTGACAATGCCACCTACTTCCCTTCCGAAATCGTAGACCACCAGGGATCCATTCCCCTGGAGCTTATACTGGGCATACTCATGCGTGACATCTGGCTTGGTGACCAAGAAGAGCGTTTCTGGGTTCACGGTTCGAGAAGCCGGAGCGAAGATGTTTTTCTCCCACGAACCTGGAAAGGCGGCAGTTGTAGGGCCGGAACAGGTGGTGTTACGCCAACATGAAGTGGCTTCAGAAAGAGGAAGAAGAGCAATGGCTCCTAGGAGAGATGGAAGCCAACGCATAATTGCTGTCTATCGCAACCTATGCAGGTATCTCAAGTGCCGACAGACCTGAGAGAGAAAAGTTGAACCCATGGTTGTGGCGACGAAGGATATAAATACAAGCAAGGGGGGCATCTCCACTGGATGATTCCCCGGACTTTCTACCCCAGAAACACAAAAAGAGGGGTCGAACAGTAGTTCCCTGGAGTTGGAATTAATCTGTATCTCGGTTCGCTTGCGATGCTTTGACCGAAAGGAGGGGAAATGCGCGAGTCACTCGGGCGTGGCTCGGTTAAATACAAGTGATAAATCGGTCTGGTCCACTCATCCCAAGTAAAAGCTTCGTGCCGCACAAGCTTCTCAATGCGATGAAGCTTGACGAAGGGAAATGAACAAAAGTCTTGGGATGCAGGTTGCAGGTTGCATGGGGGTGTCATTGGTGGAAATTGGATCAACTCCTGCTTCTACCCCGTCTTTTTTCTCCGCACTGCATCATTTCCCCTTTACCCGCCTCATCTCATCAGTCCCACTCGGGCCAATTGCCCCCGATAGATTGCTTTCGTGCTTGATGTGACGTTGCGGAGAGACCCTTGAGCCCCTGTCGGCAATTATTAGAAAAAGCGAGATGGCGCAATGTGAGGTCCGCAGACAGCAACCCGGCTCTCAGGATTCTGTTTGCGCGTCAAGTCCGTCACAATGCGATTCTCTTTGACCTCAGCATCCTCCCTTTCACTACTCTTGGGGCTTTCTGCTCTGGGCTGCGCAAGCAACGTTCAGAAGAAAGGCAATGTATGTACCGTGAAGGCCAATGGACATCAGAAGGACGATGTACCGAACCTCTTAGAAGCATTCAAGGAATGTGGCAACGGAGGAACCATCATTTTCCCTGAAGACCAGTCCTACTGGATCGGACAGAGGCTGAACCCTGTCTTGAATAATGTCGCGATTGAATGGCGGGGAAAGTGGACGGTAAGAGTCTTTCTTCGCTCATGGGCGCCATGCGCACATGCTAACGTTCCATAATCAGTTCTCGGATGATCTGTCCTACTGGCGCAACCACTCCTACCCAGTCGCCTTCCAGAATCACGCCGCTGGGTTCGTTATCACTGGACAGAACATCAGCATCAATGGGTACGGGACTGGAGGTATCGACGGCAATGGCAATGTCTGGTACACTGCAGAGGCAGGCGTCACGCAGCCTGGAAGGCCGATGCCCTTCGTCTTCTGGAATGTTTCCGACGTCGAGGTCGAAAGCTTCTACGTCAAGGACCCCCCGTTGTGGAGTCTGAACATCATGAACGGCACGAACATGAGGTTCAACGACATCACCTGCAACGCGACGGCTGTCGATGCGCCGTACGGTAGTAACTGGGTCCAGAACACCGATGGATTTGGTACGTACCTTTGCGACCCCATGTATTGTAATGACCATCAACTGATCACATCATCTTCCCAGACACGATGGACGCCACCAACATCCAACTCACCAACTTCGTCTACCAGGGTGGTGACGACTGCATTGCCATCAAACCCCGCTCCTATAACATCGACATCCAGAACGTCACCTGCCGCGGTGGCAATGGAATCGCGGTTGGCAGTCTCGGACAGTACTTGGAAGATTCCAGTGTCGCGAACATCCGGGTTGACAATGTCAAGGTACTATGCTGCAGCACCAACCAAGCCCCTCGTTCAAGTGAGAACTAACAAACATGACCAAACCCCCAGATCATCCGATACAACGAGGACATGCACAACAGCGCCTACATCAAGACCTGGGTCGGAGCACTCGTGCCCCAGGACTCGTATGAGAGCGACTACCTTCCCCGCGGAGACGGCTGGGGCAGCGTCAAGAATATCATTTTCTCGAACTTTGACGTGCAGGGGGCCAACGCGGGCCCCGCGATCAGCGAGAGCAGTGGGGACAACGGATCATACGCTGGAACGAGCAAGATGCTGATCTCCAACATCGCGTTCGTCAACTTCACGGGGTATATCAACACCACCAAGTCTACGACGTCCTCGGTCTCGTGCTCGAAGCTGTACCCTTGCTACAACATCGAGTACGACAACGTGGTTCTGTACCCACTGAACTCGACTACGCCGGGCAAAGGCTCCTGCTCGTACACGGCTGACGGGGGTGTCCATGGTCTGAGCGGATGCTAGTGTATCGACCTGCAGCTCTACGGTACTGCTGCTTTGTGCCATTTGTATCGTGGGGGGAAGGGGGGTGTATATATACTTGATAGTGCCAATGGTGGTTATGAGCCTAGTAGGCCTTGCTATCTAGGGTCGCCCTCAACGAGAGGGTCTGTGGCCAATCCATCACTTTCTCGCTTGGGATCATGCTACTATACCCTACATAATCTCCACCTCCGTTGGACTTAATAATACCTTCAAGACCCCTGCTATTCCCACAAACCATCATGGCATACGCCAGCCATAGACTTTCACGAGGCTGGCGACTAGTGGCTAACAGCCAAGCTTTCGCCATGAAGCAACAAGCCCCCCCGGCCAAGACTCAGTAGTGGAGCGAGGATCCTCTATGATATGAGTCGGGAAGCGATATCTTCGGGTGCCGCATGACGACAGTTGATGTCAGTTCAAAACACAACAAATACAGAAAATTGCGTCATCGTCGGCTGCTATGCTCTGGAGAACGGGTAATTGATCTAGCCCTTGGGGAGTGAAGTCGCAATGCCCCAGCAAAACAAGGTACATGCCTACGTAGCAAATGGCAAAACAAAAGAAAACTCAAAAAGAATGACCTACGCAGGGCTCGAACCTGCAATCTCTTGATTCGTAGTCAAGCGCCTTACCATTGGGCCAGCAGGCCTTGTTGTTGGAAAACTCGACGATACTGAGTTTCATATCCCTTTTATAAAAGAATGCTCATCTCGATCAGGGCAAGATGAATCGAATACAGCCCAGAATCACAAAAGAACATCTTACTGTAGTTGACATAGACACCGAAGTAGAGGCAGGTAAGCCAACGCTTTTCTCGGCATACTTCTCATATGACCTTGCACGGGCCGCGTCTACGCCCTACTGATGGGTAGCGAGCCCGACATATATCATCTCAATGGCTACGAGCCCCATCCGGGTCATCAGGCGGCCATGACTCACGTTGGAGGACTACCATTAAGACACACCAAATCTTACCAAAAAGCCCACGGTCGACCAGACAGTCACTCAATAACCAGGTTATGAGCAGAACTACCGGCACAAAGCTACGGTTTCCGGACATTGTTTGCCCAAGAGCCGGCCATGCAGGTCCTATTGTCACTCCCAGTGACATAGCCGGCACGTGGATAGTGCTGGGACATGACTTTTAAAAGCTAGCTTTCAGTAAGCTCCATTTTTTCTTTTTCTTTTTCTTTTCTTTTCTTTTTTTTTTTTTTTTTCAATCCGGTTGTAAAGGAATTACACGTGCTGCAGACATGCCAGAACATCCGCGCCGAGTGTAGCACAGTAAAGCGCTCAGCATGGTGTCCAAGCGTGGATCACATCGCTCAACTGCCCCTGTCAGTGGACGAGATCACACGCAAGCATATGCCCATAGACTCCACAGACCATCGGATGATTTTCATCATCGAGTCCCGGGGAACGGCCGGGTGCTTGTTCAGACACAATCCTGCCGACAAAAGTCCTAGACGCGTGAACTGCGTCTACATCCATGAGGCTGTGCAGGAAGGTAACTGTCAAAAGTAGCATCTGTTTTGTACCATGCCCCGGCGAGACAGCACAGTTGCTAAGAACTACAAAAGGCCCTGCTGGCAACACCGTCCATGATTATTCGTCCACAGAACCAGTGAATATGACAACAAATCATTGAGATATGTCCTTCTCCAATACCGCGACCTATGAAATAAAGGACGCTCGATTTCCATGGCTGTCTAATAAGCACAAAATGCAAGAGCAGGAAAGGGTTGACGTAGAGGCCGAGATATATGCTTTCTGTAAATTGTGTAGATTCAGATGTCAAGGTACTATAACGATGCGCAAAGTGAGATGCAAAATTTTTCTGCTTATGTGTGAATTAAGTTAAGATCATGAATTCATTCATCAAAGTTCCCAGGAAATCTTAGAACTCGGTTTTCTACAACAGATCTGTACTGCACGTCCAGATGTGATGCTGTTTTCGTCAGCCTAACCGCCTGAACCACCATACATTGACAATGTGGTCTTGGCGGGTGGGCTCCAGAAGTGGCCTAGGAAGAGGGTTCCTTGGCGGCACCAGCCTCACGAACTGCGTTGGCAACACGGGTGGCGAGATCATCGGCCTCGGAACGGCTCGCCGCTTCGGCGTAAACACGCACTGCATCCTCCGTACCACTTGCACGGGCGAAGCTCCTTCCCTTGTTGTATCGGGATTGCAGAGACTCGATCTCAGCCTGAAGGCCGGGTGGTGACTCGAGCTTACGCTCAGCGTCATAAGCCTTGAAGATCGAACGGTCCGCGACCTCGACACGGACAAGACGCGACGGCAAATCGGTGTAAGTCGCGAGCCACTCCTTGGGGCTCCAGCCCTTGTGTGAAAGAATAGCCTCCACGAGGAGCATGTCCGAGATGGCGTCTCCAACAGCCTGGTTAATCAGATCCGTCAAGCCCTGAAGGCACTCGAGCGAGCGCTGCTGAGCAGGAGACTGAGGCTCCGTGTTCTTGATCGTCTTCAAAGCATTCTCGGAGAAGGTGATCGTGCCGTGCCCGTTGGCCTCGAAATAGACACCGACATCGAACCGCAAAGCGGCGTGGTGAAGGTGCTTAACACCGGTGTTCGTGCAAACGGAGGGAAGTTTCAGCACTTTCTCAATGTAGTCAGTGCTAGATCCGTTGGCATAAGCAGTCTGCACAACTCCGATCTTAAGTTTCTGTGCGATGCCAGCGCTACGAGCAAGGTCGCCAATGAATGATGCAGCAAGGGTGGCGATGCGATCGCCATCGAGCAGCCTGAAGACGTTGCTCTCATCGACGAAGTAGTAAACGATACGGTCAGCATCGCCGTCCAGTGAGGCACAGCGCTCGAGAGGACCGGCCTTGGAGGACGGAGGAGCACGTTGCTTCGTCTTGACATAATCGGCGCCACACTGATAGATGGATTAGCCCGAGGCCGGCAACAATGGGGAGGCCCGTGGAAGAATCTTACCTCGAAGTTGAGGCTATCAGGGTTGATGACGTCGTCGTTGACGATCTTGATGTCGAGGCCACCTTCCTCCGCAGTGGGCAGGTACTTGATAAGCTCCCTGAGCTTGGGTCCACCAACACCGTTGGCGCAGTCAACGGTCAAAGAGCCCTTGATCTTAATGCCCCGCATCACTCTCTTGAAAGCCTCGGCAAGTTTCTCATAGTAGCCCTGCTCAGTCGGCTCACCATACTCATACTGTGTACCCAGGGTGTTCTTGCACCGAACGACATAGTGAAGCTGAGGGGTGGTCATGAACTTCAAGTCAAGGAATTCGACTTCCGTAGCGGTAAGTGCGGCGCTGAGAACCGAGACGAGGCGAGAGCCAGATGCGCGAGTGTCGCGGGCGAAAACAACGCGAGCTTGGTTCTCCATGCTGACATCGATCTCTTTAATCAACTCCTCGTACACATCTCCGACCTTGTCGAGCGGGGCGTTGGCAAGTCTGGTCGCATAGGTCTCCCATTCGGCCTGAAAGGATGTGAGATGACATTCTGTCGTGGATCATACTTGGGCTCCTACCTCCAGCATCTCACCCTAGTTAAGTGGCTGAGTCAGTTACTGAGGTTACCGTCAGACATCACCAATGTAGAGGAACTCACCATAGGGTCGACGAGCTTAACACCATTGTCCTCTGCAGGATTGTGGCTGGCAGTGACCATGACACCAACCCATTGCCCACTAAGCTTCCTGGAACGAAGACCCGCAAGCAAACCAACAGTGAAAACGACGGTATTGAGGAGGTCTCTGGTAAGGCGTGAGTTAACATGTAAACAACAGCGCGATCGCGGGGTATTGTGGAGGCGGGGTCGATCGTTCAGGCTGTTGATCGAGCAGCTAGACTTACGCCTTCATACGGAACTGCGAGGAAATGATCGGTCAGATTGTTACAGAATCAAAGTGTCTGATAACACATGGAACTTACTCCTGCAGTACCATACTGGAAGATCCTCCCTTCTGGCTTTGCGTACTGAGCAGCCGCTTCAGCGATTGCTTTCTTGACAGCCGGAGACGCCATTTGTGGCGCGAACTAGGTGGGAATGAGGGGGCGGCGGCAGATCTCGTGGCAAATGGCGGCTCGGGGCTTTGAAGCAGACAGCACTATGGTGAAGCAAGTGAAGTGCCAGACAAAAAGGGGAGAAATATCACAAAAAGAGGAAGGGCAGAGCGAGTGGAGGGATGAGTGGGTTGAGACATAAAACCGGGGCCAGCTCAGGCTACTAGCTTGCTTCCCTGTACTGCCACAATGCGCCCAAGCGGTGAGCCGCTCACCGATGGCGTGGTTTGGAACAACCCGCCCAGCCGAGGGACACGGGAAGGAAGTTGGAACAGGGGAAAAAAGGTGGAAATTAGAGGCACAGCCAGGAAGCTACCTAGAGATACTTGTATCTACGTAGTAATTCTCTATCAGCCTTAAGATCGTTGAACATTCTATCAAATATTGCTACAAATCATTCAGACTGTTTGAGGCCACCAGGACCATTTCAAAACCTGACTGCTACTGGCACCAAGCGGAGCCGTCTCCGCAAGCCAGCTTAGAGCTTGAGTCTCTCCCCTGCCACATCATTCTGAATGTCTTTGGTAAGGAAACTAGGACCCGGAGAAGTCAGTATCTCAGCATCCAGCACTTCAATGACTAGGTATAGGGGGCTCGGGACAACTCACAAGTACCACCACGCTGTGGGAATCACTGTCCCAAGGTGCCATAAGCTATGCGCGTCAATGAGCTCATTCCAAGGGGGAAAGTCAAGCAGCTCCAGGCTCATCGCGAAGATAATCCAGACCACAATCAACGCGGGCCAGGTCATCCAAGCTTTACCATACTTCCTATAACGATAAATGCTAAAGGATACCCACAGAACATTCTGAGCCATCCCTATCACGATATTGGCAATCATGTTGTAGGTGTAGTCCCAAGACCAGAAGCTCAGGTAGCAGACGTGCAAAGTGTAAAGCAAGATGCAGATAGTTGTCCAGAGACGGCGCAAAGTCGGCTTATGGCGAGGCTCCTCTCCATCGAGACGGAATATCCGAATGATCGCAAGGTACAAACCATACATCACGTTAGCTCCGGCCCCAAAGTAATCCAGCTTTTCAGTCAATGGGAGGTCTCGTGTGTGAAACAAGGCACTAAACGTCCAGCATGCTAATCCACAATATCCGAAAGCCATATAGTACGGCTTGAGTGAGTGCCACGATGGAATAGTTTCTCGGATCTTACCCATTCCATGCCAGTGGGCGAGAAAGTTGAGGAGGGAGAAAAGGACAGAAAAGGGCTCCTGCATGCCGAGGATTCTGCGAAACGGCCATTTTCCGTGAAATTGTAGTACTGGATTTAACATCGGAGGATCGCGAGCGACACGGCGATCTGTCACGACATGTTGGCAGGTATAATCGCACTCGGAGGGACACGTCCACAGCATGAGACGAAGATGGAGAGCTGGTAACGAATTAGTCGGAAAAATTATGGTCGGCGAATCTGTGTGAAGCTTACGGATCACCGAGTTGCCATCGTGACAGTTTTCAGCCTTGCAGACCTGCTCATATATTAGCTATCGCATTGCATCTGCACAGCTCTAGCTAGTTTGGTTCAGGTACCTTAACGCATTCCTTGAAATCAGGAAGGTGATCGCCCAGAGACGCTGCCGATTTGCCAATCAGAGAAGCAAAAAAGAGAATGAGAAAGCAACAATATAGCTTTCTCCTGGTTGAGCCTAGAAACATAGTGATCTCTGAGTTCTTGTAGCACAACCGGCAGAAAGGTGAGTTCAGGGAGGTAGACCCTTAGAAGAAGCTAGGCGGCGCGTGGCAGCAGCGGGGGCGGAGTGGCTTCGCGCGGCAATAAATAATAGGGAGCTCGGCATTTCCGGTCCCAGGTCTAGAAATAGCATGGAAGCATGATCGAAGAATGGATCCTCAAAATCCAGGAAGTCACCATAAAACACCGAAGAACCATGCTGGAGACGGAGCATATGTATCTTTAACTTTTTTGCTTGGAGCGCTGATGGGCTGTTCCCGTAGGCACGAAAAGTGACCGCAGCACATAAGTTAGTCTTTAATTATCTAAAACTGGCCAAAAAGTTTATGTTGTACTACAGTAGGATTGCCAAGTACAATAGAAGCTGCTTTGAAGAATCATAATTGCAATTCAATTGCGACCATGGCTCAATTGAGTTGTCCATGCCCAAATTTGATTGGCAGACCGAAATACCTTACATGTCCCAACGCCGCCGCGGGAACTCCAAGTCACTTACTAACCATTCTGATCTGCTCTTAGCCCTAATCACTGCTCAGGGCTAAGTCAAATCACATGCCGATAGACTACATTCAGCATAGTCTATCTCATCAGTAGTCTAAACCATATTGGGTCTTAGCGTATGTTGCCTTCCAGAGGAGAAATTCCCAATGAGGGCAAAGGCCAAAAAAAAAGGCGGCCGCTCGAAGGGTTCGCTGAAGTGCTTTGTACTTTTTCACTTCTGCATATTGTTTTATCATCAGCTAAACTTGTTGATATTTTCTTCTCATTTCGCTTCTGATTTAGGTCCCTGGATCTGTGATATCCTGCAAAGCAATTTTCCAGTCTAGTTCATCCATAAGCAATCGACTGATTTGCTATCATGGCCGGAGTTGAGAAACAACAGTCCAGCAGTGCTGATCGCATGGTTGGCATGGACCATGCTGAAGTTCGTTATTTCACGAGGTACATCTAATCCCAGTGACTGACCTCGATATTGTGCTAATTGTGCCTTAGTTATGATCACCATGGTAAATAATCCCAAGCACAGAACTTCACCTAGTCTCGGAGATGGCTAACGTCAAACCCCGCTCAGGCATTCACGAGGAGATGCTTGTAAGTCCGCCGCACACAGCCCCTTGCAATAGCCTACTAATATCTCATTCTTAACAGAAAGACGATGTCCGCACCAGATCTTACCGCGACTCCATTTACCAGAACCGCCACATTTTCAAGGACAAGGTTGTTCTCGATGTCGGCTGCGGTACCGGTATTCTTAGCATGTAGGTGCCTGACTCCGTTACATGCATTATTATTGGATATTGATGTTGTCGGTTTCCTAGGTTCGCTGCGAAGGCCGGTGCTAAACATGTGATGGGTGTTGATATGTCCTCGATTATCGAGAAGGCCCGTGAGATCGTTGAGGTCAACGGCCTGACCAGCAAGATCACTCTTCTGCAGGGAAAGATGGAGGAGGTTGTCCTGCCCTACCCGAAGGTTGACATTATCATTTCGGAGTGGATGGGCTACTTCCTCCTCTACGAATCCATGCTGGACACTGTCCTCTATGCCCGCGACCGCTACCTCGTTCCCGGTGGCAAGATTTTCCCTGATAAGGCTACCATGTACTTGGCCGCCATTGAAGATGGCGAGTACAAGGATGATAAGATTGGATGTGAGAGAAACCATTTCGTCAAGTTCAAACCGTCGCTAATGAGAACTAGTCTGGGACAACGTCTATGGCTTCGATTACAGCCCCATGAAGGAGACTGCCCTCACTGAGCCTCTTGTGGATACAGTTGAGATGAAGGCACTTGTCTCTGACCCTTGTCCCATCATTTCATTCGATCTTTACACCGTCACCAAGGAAGATCTTGCATTCAAGGTACCCTACTCGCTCACTGTCAAGCGTAGCGATTTCGTCCACGCCGTTATCGCCTGGTTCGATATTGAATTTGGCGCTTGCCACAAGCCCATCCTTTTCTCCACTGGCCCCCATGCCAAGTACACCCACTGGAAGCAGACCGTTTTCTATCTGCGGGATGTTCTCACTGTTGAGGAAGAGGAAGTTGTGTCTGGTATGCTAGAGAACAAGCCCAACGACAAGAACAAGCGCGACCTTGATATCAGCATCACCTACAAGCTGGAGACTACGGACCCGAACCGCTCCGCCGAGGGTGGCTGCTTCTACAGAATGTAAGTGCATTCACCAGTCATCATCATCGAGTCAATCAGGAAGCTAATTCTTGAAGGTGCTAAACTGAGGCGTTGAAATCCTCATCACCAAATTGATCCATCACTGGGTCGGTACACTGATCTCTCTGACTGAATTCCCTGTCTTAGAATTCAGTCAGTACCCTCGATACTATTTACCCGAGGGTTGCATGGCATTTGAAGGAAAGTACACTTGCATGACGTTGGGTCGATGAATAGGTTTTCTTGACTTGCTTTGTTTGTTTATGCCATTTCATTTCCGTTATGTTCCGGCGTTTTATTGGAAGGCAGGAAACGGCATCATTATTTGGCGCGACACGGAGAGATGGTTTCCACAAGGACGATTATGAAGCTCCTCGAAATTCCCAAGTAGATACCCCGAGTCGATGCTCAATCTTATCATCTCTTAACGATCTCCTTATATTGTTTAGCTTCAGCCCCATCACTCTGGGTGTCCCCGAGTCTTTACGGGCAAAACATTGACAGATGTTGTAATACTTCGTATACTTCTCTCTGAGCCTTGAACCAGTATGATACCTGGGTTGATTTGGCTGGCCCATTCAAAGCGGCATGGCGCTCTCGGTCCAGATTACACTAGCCTCGGCTTGTTTGCGGCCCCGCAGTCCGGGGTACAAAAGCACAGCATATCGTCCTAGACTCTTGTGAAAACCATCCTGCATTATCCATTACCCATTACCCAAGTAGCTCAACTTCGCTTTTTGAAAGATCGCAGAGCGCACTAGACACAGTCTTCCACCATTCCGTCCAAATAGCACACATACGCAGGCGATTATCTACATTGTCACTAGCTGAGATGTCTGCTCCCGGGGCTGGTCATGAGTTTGCTCCCCAGGAAGTCTCCTGGCAGAAGCGCGATATTCTCCTGTTTGCTAACAGCATTGGCTGCAAAGCTGATGAGCTTCACTTTCTTTACGTATGTTGTATTGTCTGCACAAGGCCCCATTGCAACGTGTGCTAAAAAAAAAGCGCGGCGCAGGAACTACACCCCAGATTCGCGGTCTTTCCAACCTACCCGGTTATCCTTCGTATGTGCGAGCCTCTCAGCTCATATCTCAACGGCCACTGATGCATTTTACTTCATACAGCATTTAAGCTCACTGATCAGGAAGTGGTTGACTTCTATGCTCGGGCAGGCGGTGCCCCTATCCCCGGAGCCCCCAAGCTCGACTACCGCCGTGTCGTGGATGGTCAGCGGCGACTCATCGCCCTGAAGCCTCTTCCAACATCCAGCGCAGGTCGAAAATTCGAGTTGCGCAACAAAGTCATTGGACTTTATGATAAGGGCAAGGCCGGGACTGTGCTGGAGACAGAACAGTCGATTGTCGACCAGGCCACTGGAGACATCTTTACGAAGATCCTGAGCAGCAGCTTCTTTGTCGGACAGGGCGGCTGGGGAGGTCCAAAGGGTAGGTGCTGTGTCTGGTCTTAGGACCAAACCCATGAAGGCTGCCTAACTTGTTTTGCTATAGGCCCAAGCACGGTGAATTACCCTCCTCCGGAGGGTAAAAGTCCCGACGCCACCCATGTGATCCAGACGACGTCCGAAACGGCTCTCTTATATCGGTAAGATCTCTGGATACCTCTATGACTTGGATTCTCCGATGAAGTTCTAACACACTGGATAGTCTCAATGGTGATTATAATCCTCTCCATGCAACTCCCGAGCCGGGCGCGAAGATGGGTTTCGGTGGTACCATCATCCATGGACTCTTCAGCTGGAACGCCGCAGCCCATGGTGTATTGAGAGAAATTGGACAGAGCGACCCAGAAAACCTGAAAGAGTTCCAAGCGCGCTTTGCCTCTCCGGTAAAACCAGGCGACAAACTTACTACTGAGATATGGCGGATGGGCAGGCTGGAAGGCGGCGATGAAGAGATTCGTTTTATTGTGAGAAACGACCAGGGTAAGGTGGTACTCAGCAATGGCCGTTGTCTGTTGAAAGCTACCGACTCGATGGCCAAGCTGTAGTTGCAGTTCCATAGGTTAACCTAAAAAAAACCTTTATATCACATGTGTAGATTTTCAGATCGCGAATTGGTATACGTCGCAAGCACATATGAGTACGACCCAGTCTAGAAGTTCAAATTAGCTACTAGATAGAATCAGAGTCTCGAATGTGTTAAGCATAAATTAGAGCAATAGCTTGAAGGTGGGCCGATTTGCGGGGTGGGCGCTGCTACCTCGGTTTCCGGTCCTCACACGTGACATGGAACTTCGGTCGTCCACTGATTTTTGGGCATATAGAGATTGAGATTCTCCGTTACGCGATACGGAAAAGCATTGTTTGGGCTGCGTTTCTGATGCCACAGCAGTTGAGATGAGTGCTGTAGGAAGGCGATTTGTTTGTCAGGCACTCGCCGCTTCAAGCCCTTTCAGGTAAAGATCATACTCCGAGCTGCCACAACGAATGCTCATGATCGATATAGGAGGGCGAATGTGGTGCCTTGCTCTCGATGGACCTGCGCTGTTTCGGTGTGTATCTTCGTCTGGCTTCGACTGGTAATTGAACCAGTTCATTTAAGCTGAATTTCTTCCCCACAGAGCATAAGACCCCTTTTTACAGGCCAATGTAACACACTTCCCTCCCGAGCGCCACACCATGGGCTTTGATATCACCAGCAACTGGAAGCTGATGCAACCACCATTTTAGCCCGGACAAAGAACAAGACAGCCAAACACGACCCCGAATCAGCTCAGCGGTTCTCAAAAAATGTCTTCAAGAAATTGTAAACAATATTCACGGGCACTATCAGCTGCCTTCCATACGCATGAATGGCTGAGACGGCTAACACTGTTTTGCAGAGGACCATTCTGGCTACGGTAAGTCGCTTTATGGCCAGTGCCCATCGCATCGAGACTTATATTTCGGGTATTGCTCCATGATAGAGACAATTGTCAGTGTGAAAAATGCCATCATCCTCAAACCCGACAGCGGGAGGTAGACACTTTTGCGGTATGTGCGCAAATTTCGAACATGCGAAGTATTCTGCTAATATGTGCCCTCCTGCTTCTGCTATTCCCCAGATTCCTCCAGATATAATTATCAAGAAAGTCATATATGCAGCGGAAGGCCTTAAATTGAATTGTAAGTGTATATTCGATGTCTCTCAAGTCATGTCGAGGCTAAAATTCAAGAAGTTTCGGATGGACATACGGGGTTCTACACATATCCATGGCTCAAAGCCAATGGTACTAAAGTACCGAGCAGTGTGCTTCGAGCCGATCATTCAGCCAAACCCAGGTAATACAAACACGGATGATGCATGCTGCAATTGGAACTCACCAAACATGTTCATAGGCCTTATCATCCATTCACGGGAACGGGGCCATATCCCACGGTGTTATATGACGATGTTATGCAGGATGACAAGGGCTTGTTGCAGTGGCTTGATAAGATTGTGAGTCCCGCCCCCGCTCCACAATCTGCTACCTGATCACTGAGTCTGGATAGTATATCTACGGGTTCTGTTTCGTCATAGGTGTTCCTGTGACAACTCGGGACACTGAGAAGCTTCTCGAGAGAATCGCTTTCATCAGGCCTACACATTATGGTATGAAAACAATGTTATATGCACTTACAGTAACTCTTGATTCACGATAATGCTGATTCATTCATTCCAGGGGGTTTTTGGGATTTCACATCTGATATGAGTTTCGGGGACTCTGCGTATACAAGCCAAGGTCTCGGCGCACACACTGATACCACATACTTTACGGATCCTGCGAGACTCCAATTATTCCACCTTTTGTCTCATACCGACGGCAAAGGGGGAGCTAGCCTGCTCGTTGATGGGTTTCGAGCAGCCGAGACGCTGCAGAGGGAGACAAAGGCGCACTACGCCCATTTAATGCGCCTAAGCCAGCCTGCTCATGCCAGTGGCAACGAGAATGTCTGCATACAGCCTATACACGAATTTCCGGTGCTCGAAGTCCACCCGCAGTTAGACCAGCTGTACCGGATCCGTTGGAACAATTACGACAGAGCACCGAAGACGAATTGGGGGATCAAAGACGTGAAGCAGTGGTACACTGCGGCGCGACACTGGAACGAGATTATCAGCCGCGAGAAATTCCAGATCTGGACACAACTCGAACCGGGAACCGCTCTAAGTAAGTATCAAGTAGTTGATCCATGGTGCTGTTTGGAGACTCCTAGCTGACCCGCTGAAAGTCTTCGATAATTGGAGAATGCTCCACGGACGTTCAGAATTCACTGGAAAGCGGAGAATGTGTGGTGGTTATAGTAAGTGCTCGTGCTTCGCTGGCTGCTACATACCGTCTTTGGTCTGAGGTTCGAGTACGTTTGCTGACTCATTATAGTCAATAATGACGATTTTCTCTCTCAATATCGTCTTCTCAAGTTCGGCCGAGAACACGTCCTCAACAGTCTTGGTAATTGGCATGGTCAACGCCTCAAAGAAGCCAACCCGAATTTCCTGATATAACAGGCCTGCAAATTCTGGTCATGCTCAGATACTGTACCTAGACCATGCGTGGATGATGTGTTCATAGCAAGCGATAGTGATTGAGCGAGGGAAAGCATGCTCCGTTGCAGTGGCGAGTGAGAGTGCAAAGCAGTAGACGCAATGCTTTAAGTGTGGTCAGGAGCCTCCTCTACCCACAGTGGGTGAAGCTGGCATGTAGGGTGTGAATCGAAGGATAATCGCCATTGTATACCACAAGTGAAGGACCAGATACTCTACATCAATAGCACTAGATTACATGAGAAACGGAGTCATTACCTAGCAGTCGGAGGCCGGGTCATTTGTAATAGTGTCACGTGACATAGTCAGGACGGCTGACGTTGTTTGGCCGAAGCTCAGAGCAAGCCGGCTCCAACGCAGCTCTCAGTTCCCCATCTCTCCCATTCTCACTCTCCCTTTGCCTGCTTTCTCCCCATATACCTACCGAGTTGGCCTAAACTTAATTTATTCTGTCATTGTAATTCCCATCTAATCCTGCCACCATGTCTACCTTGGAAGACCTTGACGACCTCGAGCGTGAAGAGAGAGAGAAGAAGAAGGACCAGGGCGATGGCAACGACCGAAAGCCCGAAGGCGACGGAGATGCTGATATGAACGATGCTGATGCCAAGAAGAAAGAGGAGGAGGATGAACTTCTCGATGATGAGATTCTCTCTTCCAGCACAGCGGATATCGTCAAGAGGCGGCGAATGCTGGAGAACGAACTGCGTATAATGAAGAGCGAATACCAGCGGTTGACACACGAACAGAACACGATGAGGGAGAAGGTCAAAGACAATCAAGAGAAGATCGAGAACAACCGGTATGTTGCAGTCTACGTCGCTATGGGTTCACCTACTGTGTGCGCCGACTCGTGGCGATGGCGGTTCCCTACCCAGGCCTTCTTGCTGACCACAATTCATCTCTCAGGCAACTACCCTACCTTGTCGGAAACGTTGTTGAGCTCTTAGATCTTGATGTCGAAGCTGAAGCCGCCGAGGAAGGAGCTAATATTGATCTCGATGCTACCCGTGTCGGCAAGTCCGCTGTCATTAAGACCTCTACCCGTCAAACCATCTATCTGCCGTTGATCGGTCTTGTTGATCACGAGAAGCTCAAGCCTGGCGATCTCATCGGTGTTAACAAAGACTCATACCTTGTCTTGGACACACTACCAGCTGAGTATGACAACCGGGTTAAGGCCATGGAGGTTGACGAGAAGCCGACGGAGAAGTACACGGACATTGGTGGTTTGGACAAGCAGATTGAGGAGATTGTCGAGGCTATCGTTTGGCCAATGAAGGAAGCCGATCGGTTCAAGAAGCTTGGCATCAAGGCACCGAAGGGTATGTGATTCGTGTGAAATCTGGAGGGCTGGAAGTTATGCCGTACTAACTTGGTTCCAGGTGCTCTGATGTACGGACCCCCCGGTACCGGTAAAACCCTTCTTGCCCGAGCCTGCGCCGCCGAGACGAATGCCACATTCTTGAAGCTTGCCGGTCCTCAGCTGGTACAGATGTTCATCGGTGACGGTGCTAAGCTTGTTCGCGACTGCTTTGCCCTTGCTAAGGAGAAGGCCCCCTCGATCATTTTCATTGACGAGCTGGATGCCGTTGGTACCAAGCGTTTCGACTCCGAGAAGTCCGGTGACCGTGAAGTGCAACGAACCATGTTGGAGCTTCTCAACCAGCTCGACGGTTTTGCCTCCGATGATCGTATCAAGGTCCTCGCGGCCACGAACCGCATTGATGTGCTGGATCCGGCCTTGCTCCGTTCCGGTCGTCTGGACCGCAAGATCGAGTTCCCCTTGCCCAACGAGGAAGCTCGCGCCAACATTCTACAGATCCATTCCCGCAAAATGGCCGTGGATGATGGGGTCAACTGGGCGGAACTGGCTCGCAGTACCGATGAATTCGGAGGTGCGCAGTTGAAGGCTGTATGTGTGGAAGCTGGTATGATTGCTCTTCGTAAGGGCATGAGTAAGGTGGGACACGAGAACTACGTCGATGCCATCTCGGAAGTACAGGCGAAGAAGAAGGACACCAACATGGGAATCTATGTTTAAGAACTTCTTATCTTTTTTGCGTCACGATAAATTCCACGATGTTCCTCTACCTCTTGTATTCTGCCCCAGTAATTACTATGTGATGGCCTCCTGTTCATCAAAGCAGGGCGCTAATCATACGAAGCAAAAATTGCCATTATCAAGCAGCGTCGTCACCACACGCCCTTATTTAAGTCGTAATAGCCACTAACGCTCCAACCTTTCTTGTCCATCTCAACTAGAGAGTGTGTTCCTCTATAAAGCATGTTCTCATCCTCGTTGCATTCTTCCTTGTCGGGGTCCTTCACAGCACTATCCACCCCTGTGTCTCGGCGATATCACCAGGCGGTATCAAAAGGTCAAGATGGACCGGACAGCAGTCGAAATCGCAGTTGTTTCGTTCGGGAGTTTGTTCATCAATACACATAGACTAATAGACGTTCTGGACTAAGGCAAGCTCGATGATACTGGGCGCCGCAAAATCATTGATCCGGGCTCCTCCGCGGCTTTGCTCCGCCTTTAGTTTTTCTGCGGGTCAAGAAAAAGTCCTACTTTCGATCCAGACATCCGGGGATTAAGATCCATCCTTAGTGATTATTTCCCTCGTAAATCTCATTTCACATCATTTTTCACCATGGCGAAGGCACGCACCAAGAAGCGCACCCATGTTCGCGCGACAAATGCCACGGCTGCTGCCAAAGGCGGCGCCTCGTCTATGAGCAAAACACCCAAGTCGATGGTCATTCGAGTTGGCGCTACACAGGTCGGCTCCAGCGTCAGCCAGCTGGTCAAAGATGTGCGGACGATGCTTGAGCCCGATACGGCTGTGCGCTTGAAGGTACGTTAACAATCGGTCGACTTTTCGTAGACGATGGCCAGCAGGGATTGTACAAGATCGACTTCTTTTTGTTTTTACTTGCTAATTGTCACCAGGAACGCAAATCGAACAGACTTCGGGATTTCACAACAATGACCGGCCCTCTGGGCGTGACCCATCTTCTTCTTTTCTCCAAATCCGCCACGGGCAACACGAATCTGCGGTTGGCGCTCACCCCCCGAGGGCCGACCCTGCATTTCAAGGTGGAGAACTACTCTCTGTGCAGAGACGTCGAGAAGTCGTTGAAGCGCCCGCGCGGCGGTGGCCAGGACCACAAGACGCCTCCGCTGCTCGTGATGAACAACTTCAACTCCCCCGGCGCAGACGAGAACTCCAAAGTACCGAAGCGCCTCGAGAGCCTGACCACGACCATTTTCCAATCGCTCTTCCCTCCGATCAACCCCCAAGCTACCCCTCTCACCTCCATCCGTCGTGTCATGCTCCTGAACCGTGAGCTCGCCCCCGAAGGCGAAGAACAGGACTCCTATGTCCTCAATCTCAGACACTATGCCATCACGACGAAGAAGACCGGTATCTCGAAGCGTATCCGTCGTCTCGATCCCAAGGAAATCCGGAACAAGGAGAAGAAGAAGGCCGCCGTGCCGAATCTCGGAAAGCTCGAGGATGCCGCAGACTATCTGCTCGATCCCTCGGCGGCAGGCTACACGTCTGCTAGTGAAACTGAAATGGATACGGACGCGGAGGTGGAGATCGCAGAGAGCACCACCCGGAAGGTTCTCACGAAACGTGAACTGCAGCGGATGAAGGCTGGCGACAAGGAGAAGGCACAGAAGAAGTTGAGCAACGGCCCCGGGGTCGAGAAGCGGGCGGTCAAGCTGGTTGAGCTGGGCCCGCGCATGAAGCTCCGGCTGCAGAAGGTTGAGGAGGGCTTGTGTGAGGGCAGAGTCATGTGGCACGATTTCATCTCGAAGTCTGAGGAGGAAGTCAACAAGCTGGACAAGAGCTGGGATAAGAAGAAGAAGGAGAAGGAGGAGAGAAAGAAGCAACAGCGGGAGAACATTGAGAAGAAGAAGGCCGAGAAGGCCAAAGCCAAGGCCAATGGCAAGGAGGTTGAAGATGATGATGACGAGGACGTTGACATGAGCGATGAAGACTGGCTCAGCGACGATTTCGACGAGGATGATGAGAATGTGGTGCAGGATGAGGATGACGAGGAAGAAGAAGAGGAGGAGGAGGAGGGAGAAGAGGAGGATGGTGACGAGTCTATGGATGAGTAAATCTCCTTTGCCATCCATAAATACGATGTTCTTTGAGTCGTCAGCCATCACGAATATTGGCTGCCACACGGCGCTTCCAGGCTTGCCAGTCCCCTTCACACCCTTACCTTCACCATGCTGGATAGCTTCCAACACGTCTGCGACGTGCCAATGATCCCATGCAAACAATTTCAGCGCATTGCATCACGTCAAATGCTCATGGCCATGCCCCTAGTATGGTGCACCTGAGTTGTTATACATGATGCAGATTTCGACGCATGTGGTCGGCTTGATGGAGAAACGGAGCAGTTGATGGGAAGGAACTCAATTCGTTCGTACATCGAACGCCAGTATTACTATTCATTATTTGTTTGATGGAAAGGAAAAAGTTATGTACCCTATGGTTCGTTAGGAGTTTCAAAATTATACCCACGATTTCTGGTTGCACATGCAGCAGCAAGAGCCCTGGACGAAGTCAAAACAAAGCATTATCAGCATCCTTAGTATCATCAAAAACTACGTAAAGCTCATAACCCATCATCGATACAACAGGAACTTCTCTTTTTCTTTTATGCGTTCATATCATCGAAAGGAAATCTACCGCTTCAACTTCTCATCCACAATCCTCGACACCATCTTCTCCAGCATGCTGAAATCGCCGCCCGCCGACGCAGCCGACCCAGCAAAGTACGCCTGCACGCTCTTCTCCACGTACTTGCCCACGATATCGATCTCGACGTTGACGTAGTCGCCGGGCTTCTTGGCCGCCGTGACGATCTTCTCCTGGGTGTACGCGATGAGCATGACCTCGAAGTAGCCCTCGGCGCCATCCACGACCTTGGTGACCGTCAGGCTGGCGCCGTCCAGCGTGACGTAGCCCTTCTCGACGATGTAGCGCATGATCCCCTGGTCGCGCGGCTGGAAGCGGAACACGAGCGCGTTGCTGTCCGGCGTTACGGAGAGGATCTGCGCGATCGTGTCGACGTGGCCCTGCACGAAGTGCCCGCCCATCCGCGTCTCGCCCAGCACCGCCCGCTCCAGGTTCACCTTCGACCCCGTCTGCAGGGCGCCCAGGTTCGTGCGGCGCAGGGTCTCCGGCGCGACGCCCACTTTGAACCACGTCTTATCGAAGGCGGTCACCGTGAGGCATGTTCCTGTTTTTTTTTAAGAGGGGGTTTTGTGTGAGTCTCGTTTTGTTCTGTGCGGTTTTTGTGTGTTGATGTGTTCAATGCCCCGCGGTGGGAGAAAGGGGGATTGCGACCAGCTAGGACGGTGGGAGGGTGGGGGAGGTGTGTGACGGAGAGAAGAGGGGAACGGGGAAGGAAGAGGGATTCGCAAAGGTGTATGTTCGGTGACGATGATGACGGTGGAAGGAGGGGTGGAGGTGGTTATGTACCATTGACAGCTATGCTATCGCCGAGATGCGCATCGACGAGGATCTCCTCACAATCGGTAATGGTCAGCGAGGTTCCCCCGCCCCCGCTTGACGAGGTATCGAGGGGCTCGAGGGACGAGACCGCTAGAAAGTAAGGGCACCATAGTCAGTTATAGAACGGGCAGTACAGTAGACAGACAGAAACTGACTTCCAATCTTCTCAACAAGACCCGTGAACATGGTGACAGAATGGCAGGGAGTAGACAAACCGAAGCCGGCGGGCGGATCGAGCGGAATTGAAGATCACAGAGAGAAAGTCGCGAAGCGGGAGGAAAGCGGGTTGACCTCGGCTTGGGGGCCGATAAGTTAGTTGGAAGCTGTACTGTACACAGTGCTTGTTCGGTTCCTTGCTTCTGTTCGCCTTTTTATTCTTCCAAGATTGTGGACGACATTTATTTTGACATTTATCTTGCTTTTCAAAACTTTTATCTCCTCCCTCAACCATTGAGAATGAATCCGATAATCTCCTCGAAGGTGCCGCGAGCCTTCATTGCGCGCCGGCCGCTCAACCATACATACCTCTATCTTTCAAGGAGCAACCGATCATGGCGCACTTACTCGACTGCACTTTCAGATGATACCCTGCCTTTGAAAGGCATTAGGGTTCTAGACATGACGAGAGTTCTGGCTGGTGTGGGTATCATGCAATTGACCTTCCACAGGCTTGTGTTGACATCTCATGCAGCCATACTGTACACAAATCCTGGGAGACCTGGGGTATGCTGCCGCTGCTTTCAGTGCTTCACGCCACATACAATACTGACCATATCTGGTCTTCTACAGAGCAGACGTTATTAAGGTAGAACACCCAACACGCGGCGATGACACTCGTGCTTGGGGACCACCATACGCCAAGTACACTGACGGGTCAGAAGGGCCCGGAGAGAGCGCTTACTACTTGGGAGTAAGTCACGCATCAGAAGAAATGCCTGGATGTCAAGCAATTAACATCTGGCTCAGGTGAACCGCAACAAGAAATCCATCGGCTTATCTTTTGCTCATAAATCCGGAGTGAAGATTCTACATCGTCTTGCCAAAGAGTGCGACGTGTTGGTGGAGAACTATCTTCCTGGCAGCCTTAAGAAGTACAACATGGATTACGAGACCCTGAAAGCTATCAACCCCCGACTCATCTACGCTAGTATCACAGGCTACGGCCAGACTGGGCCGTACAGCAACCGCGCCGGGTACGATGTCATGGTCGAGGCCGAGATGGGCCTGATGCACATCACTGGCAGTAGGGAGGGGGAGCCGGTCAAGGTCGGTGTGGCTGTGACGGATTTAACCACTGGTCTTTACACGTCTAATGCCATCATGGCGGCATTGATTGCTCGGGGGCGGACGGGGAAGGGGCAGCATATCGATGCATGCTTGAGCGATTGCCAGGTCGCGACTTTGGCGAACATTGCAAGCTCGGCGCTGATCAGTGGGAAGAAGGACTCTGGCCGGTGGGGGACGGCACACCGTAAGTGTTCGCAGCGAAGTAGTGCTACCTGGATTGTGCGGTCTTACTGATCCCCGCACTGCAAAGCATCCATTGTGCCCTACCGAAGTTACAAAACGCGTGACGGCGATATCCTCTTTGGCGGCGGGAACGACAGGTTGTTCGGCGTTTTATGCGATCGCCTAGGTTATCCGGAATGGAAGACCGATCCCCGGTTTGTCACCAATAGCGACCGAGTGAAACACCGAGAGGAGATTGATGGGTTGATTCAGCAAAGAGTGAAACAAAAGACGACGCAAGAATGGCTGGAGATATTGGAAGGAAGCGGGATGCCGTATGCCGCTGTCAACGACATCCAAGGAACACTAAATCATGCTCACGGTGAGACCATTTTCTCCCAAGCGCTTGTTCGCCTTGAATGACGACTCTGACTCTGGGATATAGTCCAAGCACGAGGTATGGTCACTGAAGTTGATCATCCAGCCTGCGGACCCATCAAGCTGGTGAATACACCGATCAAATATTCTCATGCAACCCCTGGTGTTCGTACGCCGCCTCCGACTCTAGGGCAGCACACTGACGAGATTCTGGCCGAAGTACTCGAGTATGGTAAGGAGGAAATAGCTCAGTTGAAGCAGGCAGGTGTAGTGGCATAGACGTGTTTTGAACTAAGACAAACCGTCGTTGGGCTAGTGGTGAATTACCCTAAGGTGATAAGGGAGGAGTAAGTGTGTGTGGTCCGGTCCGTAAGGAGGGTTCGCCTCTAGAATACATGGTTAGTTTTCGCGCAGCTGTCGGCTGAGCCGCATTGAGATGTAGCTTCGCAAAGCCTTAGAAATGCAAAACACAGTCAGATGCTAATGCCGTCAAAACGACCTGATGGCTGGAGATATTGCAGGCATTGCATCACAAAATATGGGTTGGCAACGAATGCAGTCAGTCGGTGCCTTCCAAGGGCGCGGGGATGAATTCCTAGCGATCACGTGATACTATATAAATCTGGATCCGTTCATGATGGCCTTTTCCTGTTTCACCCGTGGCAGCATTGATACATATCTCGGGCTCATCAAAGAGCACCTTGCCGTTGCAGCGTGAGTGTGCTCGACAGGGCAGATCCGGGGGGATATGTCACAGCAAAATGGGGGTTCTGCCTCCCTGGCGTCTGTAGAGACAGCGCCACCCACCCACGCATTTCTGCGCACTGCCACTACCACTACTTCGGGTACGCATTCATCAGCGCCCTCACTCCAGCCTATCGCTGATTCATCCTCAGCATTCTCCTCGTCGAACACGACCCGATCCTCGAGTACGCCGTCGAGAAGGGTGGAGATACCGCCTCTTTCAGCGGCCACAACCGAGTTACTCGCACGAGTCAATGGAAGTCTAAAGGGCACACAGCAGAGATATGGTAACAAATCCATCGGTTGGAACCCTCCAACTGGAAATCGATTTGTTGGAAACAACTTGAACGGTCCTCGCACAGGCACTATGAGGGCCTCTTCGATTATCATCGAATTGCCTACGGCACCATTCACGTATGCGAACAATGGGGTGCCACCTGCGGCTTCCTCGAGTACTATTACCCGCGGATCTCCTGTGGATCTTCCCCGGGGCCCGAACAATATTACACCTAAACCATCATCAGTGCCTCCACCTGCGGCCTCCCCAAGTATTGCTACCCGGGAATTCCCTGCGGATCCTCCTGGGGGCCTGATCAGTATTGCACCGAGACCATCACCAGTGCCTCCGACTGCACCAACAGATGGAATACCTGAAGTATCATCCAATGGCCCTGTATTAGCGCCGCCGCCGCCGCCACCGCCGCCAGCAGCAGCAGCAGCAGCACCACCGGCGGTGGCATCTTTACCACCATTACAGCCTCGGACAACCGTCTCGAATGCCAAACCTTTATCTACAGCAAGCTCAATTTCTAAGTCTAAAAGGCCCACGACAGGAGGCTCCCGTAACAGGAAGAGTATCACGAATGGAACCAAGAACAAGAAGCGCCGCCGCAACAAGGACAGTGACGAAGAGAGCGTCATCCGGGCCGGTGATTCCAGCAGCGACGAATCCGATGTTGCCCCGACAGCAACCCAGACAAAGTCTGGCCGACAGGTCAACCGACCCTCCTTGTACGTGCCTCCGCCTTCGTTGCCGGCTGCTGCCAAAGAGACAAGCAACTCACTTGAGACGTCGGACAACACGCGTGGTTCCACGGCGGCAACAACTAGGAAACGTAAGCGCGTTCAACGCAAAGCGAAGGATGGTAACATCACTTGTACACGATGCCAGAGGGGCCATAGCCCTCTGACCAACGCGATTGTTTTCTGCGATGAATGCAATGGGGCCTGGCACCAATTATGCCACGATCCTCCCATCAGCGTGGAGGTTGTCACCGTCCAAGAGAAGGAATGGTTCTGTGGGGAATGCAAGCCTGTGCCGATTACCATTGTTCAGCCAACAGTTGTCAGGAGCAATCCGTTCCTTGCGAAAACACAGCCAACCCCTATTTCGACTTCTTCCTTGATAGTCCCTCGAGCTGAAGTAAGCGCGGGGGGCTACTCGGTCGAAGAACGCCGAGGGTTTCTATCGGGCTTGTCGCATGCAACACTTGTTGAGCTTCTTATGAACATATCGGAAGGTAATCGAAACCTGCCAATGTTCCCCGCTAATCTGAAGGACTACCAGTCATCAAACTTCTCAGTCTGTCCTAGCTCGTCAGCCGTGACGAGTACTTCTACTTCCGTTCAAAGAACTGTTCTGCAGACAAATGGCCTGGGGGCCTCTGCGGCCACCTCGGCGGAAGAATCAGCTAGACCACCAACCGCATCTGCACCGGATGTCTCGACTACTTCATCTCACCGAAGGAAATACGAAGAGTCTTCTGATGAAGAACCAGAGTATGAGTTTCAGGAGCATCGTCTATATCCACGCGCCGGCAACGGCTTCCGGCTGCCTGTTGGGCTGGATGACTTGGACATCCTCAGCGAGGATCCTGCTTGTTCAACGTTCAGCTATTCGTTGCATGGGCCTGCTCAAATCCGCGCTCAAATGAAACAGAACGTGCCAATATGGGGCTCGTGAATATGGCTTCTATGTGTATTACTATCATTAGGCCTTTCATCCTTCGCCTTCTGTGTACGATCAATATTCTCTGATAGATATTCTAGATTTGTTCATCCGTTGGGAACGAGACTTTGGGAATAGAGTGCGTGCAATTCACTCAATGCGCCCCGATTTATGATGATCAGACTTCGTTGGTGCTTGTCTTCGCTCTTCGCTCTTACACTGGAGATGCCTCGTTTTTCTACTCAAAGTGAGGCGAGTTCCTTCCTGCAGGATCTCCAGTGTGCCACTCGAACATGATGTGGGATATTAGAAGCAAGGCGAAGAAACATTCAGGCGACCACTCGATATCACACGCCTGCTCATCTTCGCAGGTGGGTCCCAAACAATGCCTGCGATACCATGCCGAGGCCTCATTGCCCCGCAGCCTGTTTCATCGACTTCGTGGAACAGCAGGATATCCGCACAGCTGTCACATTTTAACTCAAGGCCAGTGTCATGTGGTGACAGCCCGATTGCTGCACGAGCGCGTGTCGAGACACATTCATACAAAAGTTCAGCATGCGCCTGGGTTCCAGCTTGATAGATCCCCACCCCCAGGCAAGCTAACAACAGCGGGTCCTCGGAACCCCATGGCGTAAACGCGTTGCCAACATTGTTGATCCCGATCACAGCGTCTAACTTGTGCTTTTCAATCATGTCCACTACGGGCAAAGTCCCTCGCGGTTGATCTGCACTACCTCGGTTCGGGGATGAAGCCATGTATAGATCACTCGTGGGCAGCCCAACGAAACTAACAGGGAGATCATGATCCTTAATTTCTTTCGCAAGCCTCGTCCACTCGTCATGGGTAAACAGGGTGAGCCGCGTACAATGCCCTAGCATAACCCGCTTGGGCGTCGACTGGGCTGACCAGCCCTTTTCTCTGAGTGTACGCAGGACAAACCAGACTAGGGCCTCTGTTGCCGGGTCGAGGTTGTAATCCAGGTGAAAGTCCACGTGTTTGCCGTATTCCAGACCGCGTTCAACGGCCCATTCAATGTTCCGCTTCGCAGCTTCAACGGTCGATTCCACATACGGTGTTGTGCCAATCACATCCACCTGCGGCCGTCGGATTGCCTCTTCCATCAGCCGTCGGTTCTCCTCGCCATGCTCGCCCGAGAATATGGGATCTTGTGCGAAGCTCACTAGCTGGACCGTACAGGCGTTCTTCCATGTCTCCTTGAGAGTGGTGCCAGCGTCCAGGCAAGTGAACCCGACCGTCTGGTCCACTTCCACAAACGCGCGCATCGCCGTGACGCCCGCGGTGACAGCCCCCGCCAGGAGCCATTCTCCACGCTTCAGAAGATCGGCCTGGGTGAACTGTCGCTTGGCTTGGGTGGTGAAGGATAGCGCTTCGGCAAACGAGCCACTGGAGGGGAGGAGATGCGCATACTCGCGCGCGTTGTGGATGTAGGCCTTGTCGAGGTGGATGTGCGGGTGCGTCAATGCGGGGAGGGCGAGTGGTGCGCGGCAAGCTGCGGTATCGGACTCGCCCTTGTGCGGGGTGATCGATTGGATAATGCCTTGGTCGTTGTCAATGGATATGTCCCAGGTCGAGTCTGATCCGGGCAGACGGACGTTCTCGATTATCGGCACCGGCTTCAGAGTTGGTGGTGGCATGGTGTAGAGTGGGTGGGTGAGGAGCGAGGATCGAAATAGTTACAATGTATATTCTCGAGTGACTGTCGCGGCAAGTCGCAGAATGGCTGTGTAGACTACCTCGGTTATAGAAATTCACGTTCACACTTTAAGACAAGTCAGTTGCCTGACAAAGAGTCGATATTGTCTTGCGAATAAGAAGATTCTCGCAATATGTAGTAGTTAGCTTGCGATTGTCAAACAATCCACAACCCAAGAGCAGCAGCCCCACCAGCCCACCCACCAGCTTATCGTCCCCCGATTGCAGTTGCAGCGCACCCGGGCCAGTTCTCCTACCTTCTTCTTCGGGGGCTTGCTACATTTCCTCACAACTACAATTGCGCGCGTCGCAGCCACATCCAACGGACAGAGCCTGCTCAGCTGTACATCAAGGTACTGTACCTTCATATAGCTGCAGTGCTATGTCCCTACTCCCTAGACCCAGTTGTCCACAAAGCTAACCCAACCAATCAAGCATCCCAGCCCCAGCCCTCGGCGCTTCCACCATCATCCATCTCATCTCAGCAATCGATCATGAACACGCCGCGCTAACAAGACTACTTACTTCCTCCCTTAAACCCTTCCCCAGCAACCCATCACCCAAACCACCTAATCCAAAGAAAAATTCTCACCCAACAATGTCCGACCCCAAACCACAACCCCAACCACCACGCCGTATCCTAACAACCCCCAACCCCAACTCCAACCCCAAGATCCCTTCCCCCTCCTCCGACCAAAATACCCAAACCCGTCCGCACGCGATAACCCTGGACCTACTCCTCACCGTCCTCTCGCGCACGCTCTTCCACCCCTTCATCGCCTGGATCCTCGTGCTCTGCCTCCGCGCCCAAGCCACGCCCTACACCGCGCCGGCGTTCCTCGTCGCCACGGGGTACGCGATATTCCTTTCCGCTCTGAATGTGTTGCAGAGCGTGAACGACCGGTTCGCGTACGGGGAGCCCCGGCGCGTGGATCTGAGTGAGGAGGTGGTTGTGATCACGGGCGGGGCGAGCGGGTTGGGGTTGTTGATTGCGAGGATCTATGGGTTGAGGGGGGTGAGTGTGGCGGTGTTGGATGTGAAGGGGGCGGAGGAGGTGGAGGGGATGATGGAGGGGATGGATGATGCCGTGGGGTATTATCGATGTGATGTTGGGGATCGCGGGGCGTTGGAGGAGACGGTGCGGAGGGTGGAGATGGAGGTATGTTTTTTTTCTCTCTCTTTTTCTTCCTACGTATGAATGTGTGGAAGGGGGTGAGGGTGGGCTATACATGCTCTACGAGGGTGGTATTGGTTTTGCTGACATGTTGTTTTTTTTTTTCTTTCTTGTTTTCTAGCTGGGAACTCCGACAGTACTGGTTCATTGTGCGGCCGCTCGTATCAACGGTCAATCGCTCCGAGATGTCCCCGCGGAAGCGTTCCAGAAAACCATCCGGACCAACTTGCTCGCGGCCTTCCATGCCTACCAGGTCTTCCTGCCGCGGATGCTGTCCGCCGCCACGGGCGGGACCATCGTCACCGTCAGTTCGGTTCTGGGCCAGCTGTGCGCGGCGGGGCTGGCGGACTACTCGGCCAGTAAAGCCGGGCTGAGCGCCGTGCATCGCACGCTGGAAGCGGAGCTCCGCGCGTCCGGTGACGATGACAAGGTGAAGATGATCCTCGTGGAGCCCGGGCAGATCTCCACGCCACTTTTCCAATCGGTCCAGACGCCCAACCGCTTCTTTGCGCCCGTCCTCGAGCCGGTCCACGTCGCGCAGGAGATCGTGTCCGCGATCGACAGCGGGAGAGGCGCTGTGATCCGACTGCCCACCTTTGCGATGCTGGTCAACTGGTATGCCGTGATGCCGGCAGGCCTGCAACGCTTGGCGCGGTATATGAGTGGGATCGACAGCGCCGTCGCGCAAGCCTCCTTGCCTCAGAAGAACCCGCCAGCCACCAGTGCGCCGCTGACTGAACAACCACAACAGCAGTGCGAGCCGCTTTGCGTAGACAAAGACTGATGTAATGATGGGGCGGAGGGATCGGACAGTCATAGATGAATATTTCAAGGATGTGGAACCAGCCACGCGATGTATATAATCAAGACAGATTCTTCCACTCAGGCGAGAGCGCAGAGCATAAGACTGCCCAGACAATGTCCCAAGGCGAGCAAGGACCCAGGAGAAAGCGCAAGATATATGATGGAGCCCGATCTACTGCTCCCTGGCTAGGATCATCTTCTCGCGCTCGCTCTGTCTCTTCTTCAGGTTCTCCTTCTTGGTGTGCTTCCGGACGTTCTCCTCGCGTCTCTTGATCGCGTTCAATTCCTCTCTCTTGATCTCGCGGGCCTTCTTGATCGGCTTGGGGACGTGGCGCTGGCGCCTGATTCTCTTGATGTCGGGCATGTGCTGGTATCTCTGGATCAAAGCTTGGTCGTACTCGAGCTTGGTTCGCTGACGGGCACTCTTGATGCCACTGCGATCGGAAGCATTGGCACGCCACAGGCGAACGTTTCCGTCGTCGGAGCCCGACAGGATGTACTTGTTGTCGGGGGTGAACTTGGCAGAGAAGACACTGCACGAAGATGTTAGTGAAAAAAGTCAAAAGAACCAAGACATGGGGTGTGTGTGTGTGTTAACGTACCGTTGCATGCGCTGTGTGTGGTAGATGTCGCGAGAGTGGCCGGTGGCCCGGTTCCACAAGCGCACCGTCTTGTCGTAGGAGGCCGTGACCAGCTCCTGACCAGTCGGGCTGAAATCCACATCCATCACAGCAGCAACGTGATCTTTGAGAACGTTCAATGCGCGGTCCATCTTCCTCATGTCGAAGAGGTAGACGTTGTGGTCCTCATTCGCCACGGCAAAGTTGAACGCTTCCATTGGGTTCCAAGAAATCGCGTTCGACGCCAGGCGGAGAGTCATCTTCGCGAGAGGCGACGAGGTGCGCAGGTCGTACATGATGATAGAGCGATCGATACCGGTAGAGCCGATAATGGAGGTTTCTGTCTGGTTGAAGGCAATCGAGGTGATCGTGTCCACGTTCGTAGGCCAGTGAAGGGTCTGAGACGGCGTGGAGGAGGGGCGAGAGAGATCGTAGATCGAGATTTGGGACGACGCGGCAGCGAAGTGGGGGAGATCACGGTGATGCGTGACGGAAGTGAATGCACCCTGCCCAAGATAGGTGGCTAGTGGCGGGGCCTCGGAGGAAGAGTTATATGGGTCAAAGAGTTTGACGGTCTTGTCGCTGGCGCAAGAAAGCAGCTTCCGGTCGGGGGTCCAGCATACACCCTTGACAATATTGTCATGCGCCTGAGTCTCCCACACTTCTCCCTGCGTAGTCAAATCCCAGACCTTGATCACACCATCACCGCTGCCACTGGCGAACCGTTCCAAAGAGCCTGGATCCTTGGCCAATGTGTACACACCGTCCACATGACCGTCGCCCAGTTGGCCCAAGAAGGGCGCAGCAAACAGACGCTCTAGTTTGGTAGCATTCAGAGCACGAGTGTATTCTCGGGCGCGCTCAAAAGGATGCTGTGCCGGGTCGAGGTTTCGAGGCTGTCGAACGACAGCACTTCCCGGAGCCTGCTGAGAGGAGGTGGGACGAGAAAGAGCTTTGATTTTCTGTAGGGTGTATGTTAGTGACTGTCCGATTGAGAGATATAGCAATCCAAACCAGGAATACTCACCATGGCGCTCTCACAGATTCCTTGGGACCGAAACGTGAAAAAGAGAAATTCGAGTCGGACATAAAATTTCTGGGAATCTTTTTTCCATCGGCGGGCGGGTTAAGGCCGATTGTGGTTGGCTCGCCAAGCCGCGGGCGGTGAGAGCGGCAGCTGCAGCTCGGCCTGCGAGTGACGATAGCCAAACCTGTAAGCTTCCTTCCTCCATCGTCCACTATACCCTCCTCATCTCATCTCCCATCGGCTTCTTAGCCTTCCTCACACATTGCGCTGATAGATACCTACTCATTGGCTCTACCTTGTCACTACTTGTTCCGACCTTCGCCTTTTCCTACCCACCACAGCACCGTCTTCAGCCATGGCGCCCTCTCCGACAACTGCTGGGCGGATAGAGGAAGCCCGGACTCTTGCAAAGAACGACCCTGCCAAAGCTGAAAGCACCCTCAAGGACATTCTCTCTAAAGGTCCCGGCTCGACCGAGGCCTCGTCGCGGGATTATGAAAATGCCCTGGTCTCGCTGGGAGAGGTCTACCGGGACCAGAAGAAGCCGCAGGAGATTGCCGAACTGATCAAGACAAGCCGTGATTCCTTTTCTTCATTCGCCAAGGCCAAGACAGCCAAGCTGGGTAAGATAATATCTTCGGGTTGAATATGCGTGCACAGAAAGCTGACGGTTGTTGTTCATCTCAAAAGTCCGCCAGCTGCTGGATCTGTTCAGTGAGATCCCGAACACCCTCGATATTCAAGTTGCCGTCATCAAGTCCTGTATCGACTGGGCCGTCGCAGAGCGGAGATCATTCCTTCGCCAGAACCTTGAAACCCGGCTGGTGGCCATTTATATGCAGAAACAAACCTACTACGATGCTCTCACCCTCATCAACTCTCTTCTCCGCGAGCTGAAGCGCTTGGACGACAAGCTCATGCTGGTCGAAGTACAGCTGCTGGAGTCGCGCGTCTATCATGCATTGGGCAACCAGGCCAAGGCACGTGCAGCCCTGACGGCTGCCCGTACATCTGCCGCCTCGGTCTACACTCCTCCCAACCTGCAAGCCGGCCTGGACATGCAGAGCGGTATGCTCCATGCAGAAGATAAGGACTTCAACACATCGTTTTCGTACTTCATCGAGGCGCTGGAGGGTTACAGCTCTCTCGATGAGGGCGAGAAGGCAACAGCTGCTCTCCAGTACATGTTGCTGTGCAAGATTATGTTGAACTTGGTGGATGATGTCACGAACTTGCTGGGATCTAAGCAGGCTCAGAAGTATGCTAGCCCGCGATTGGAGGCCATGAAGGCCGTGGCACGTGCTCACGCGGACCGGTCCCTTGAGCAGTACGAGAAGGCTTTGTCGGACTACAGGTTTGAGTTGGGTAGTGATGCGTTCATCCGCAACCACCTTCGCAGATTGTACGATGCCATGTTGGAGCAGAATCTCATCAAGGTCATCGAACCCTTCAGCCGAGTTGAGCTCGACCACATTGCCAAGATGGTGGGACTGGACACGCAGCAGGTGGAGAGGAAGCTTTCACAGATGATCTTGGACAAGGTTATCATTGGAGTGTTAGATCAAGGAGCCGGATGCCTGATTGTCTTCGATGAGACGGAGCGTGATCAGGCATATGATGCTGCTCTAGAAACCATTGCCAAGCTGAGCAATGTGGTGGAGGAGCTGTACACTAATCAAGCATCGCTGCTGGAGTAGATTCAGGTAGAGTCTTACTGATTTATGTTCGAGCAATGATATAGTACTACAAATACCTGATGACAAGGCAGTCATTATTCCATGTGTCGTTTAATTGTAGCTGATATGTTGAAGTGGTGGTGGTGGTTGATGTTGCTAGAAAGCATCCGAAACGGGTAAAGCGTGACCGCGGCGAAAGAATCGCGACTGACTCTCCAAATCTCCAACTTCCTCTGTCTATCCGCCCAGAACATCCACTTCATCTCGTCCGCGCGCCTTCACCTTCCATCGCCACAGGGCTTTCGCGTCAACCATTTCCCTCGCCTCCTTAGACCTCACTCCAGCTTAACCCTTGCAGACGTGTTAGCGCAGATGCCACCAGCCATGAACGCTCCAATCCCTCCCAATTATGGGCGTGGGTTCCCACCACAGGCCGCTCAACGGTCTCCTGCCACGCCTCGTCGCGGCCCTCAAGCACAAGGTTCGTCCTGCCATGTCTTTTCTAACCTTCTAACCCCATTTTGCCCCAATGCTTTCATTAAGACATGCATTCTAACTCTGTATAGTACCAATGCCTGCTGCCCCCATGGCTCAACACGGCGTTCCCCCTCAACTCCTTCCTCAACAACATCGCAATATGATGGCCGCCAACGCAGCCAACGAGGCCGCGCTCCGCCGCAGTCGCAAACCCACAGACAAGAACATCCCAGAGGGAATCGAAGAAGTGGTTATTGGCGAAGGTGTTCAGCAATACAAAAGCCTTCGCGACCTCGAGAAACGGCTGGACGCGGCCATCGTGCGCAAGAGACTCGACATTCAGGATTCCATCAGCAAGACCGTGAAGAAATACCGCACCATGCGCATTTGGATATCCAACACGGTCGAGAACCAGCCGTGGCAGAACGCCTCGGGCCAGAACGGTGCCAGCAATCCCGGGTCCGGGCGGTATAAGGTACGCATCGAGGGACGTCTGCTGGATGACGACAGCGACCCGACGGCTCCGGAGGACAGCGACGAGGAGCAGGCTGGTGCAGACGACTCCGCCGATGCGAACGGCGACGCGATGGAGCAGGATGGCCCCGGGGCTCCGAAGCCCAAGACAAAGCCCGCAGCGTCAAACAAGCGGTCTCAGCAGCGCTTCTCGCATTTCTTCAAATCCATCACGATCGATTTCGACAGACCGGCCACCACGAACCCGGAAGACGTCAAGCCTATCACCTGGAACAAGCCGCAATTACCCCCCAACGCCGTTACGCTCCCACCCACCGCAGACTTCGATTCCATTCAGTTCTCCCGCGCGTCGCAGGAGAACCTCAACGTGACGGTCAGTCTGGTGCGTGACGAGACGCCAGAGCGATATAAGCTGAGCAAGGAGCTGGCGGAGGTGTTGGATGTGGAGGAGGAAACTCGCAGTGGGATTGTTCTTGGCATATGGGATTACATCCGCGCCATGGGACTGCAGGAGGATGAAGAGAAGCGGCTGGTACGCTGTGACCACCGCCTACGATCGGTATGTTCCCTCTTCTCCTTTCATGTTCCGGCCCCACACAACCCTACCTCTTCCCCATGCCATCAGCTCCCAATACTAAACCATACTTTCCCATCCAGATCTTCGGTCGGGACCAAATGTTCTTCCCCCAGATTCCCGAAAGCATCGGCCCGCACACCAGCCCGATCGACCCCATCAAACTCCCCTACACCATCCGCGTCGACGCCGACTACCACAACGACCCCACCCCCACCGTCTACGACATCCAAGTCGCCCTGGAGGACCCCCTGCGGTCCAAGATGCTCGCCCTCACCCAGAACCCACAGTACACCGCCGCCATGCGCCACATCTCCACGCTGGACGACCAGGTCGCGCTCATCGTGCAGGCCCTGACGCACTCGCGTGCCCGCCACTCCTTCTTCACGGCCCTGAGCAAGGACCCCGCCGCATTCCTCCACCGCTGGGTCAACAGCCAGCGGAGGGACCTCGAGACCATCCTTGGCGAGGCCACGAGAGGCGGCGGCGAGGACGCCAGCGGGCCGGAGTTCCGGAGAGGCGGCACCGATGGGGCGTGGGACACCCCCGTCGCGAGGGAAGCGGTGCGCTATATGCTTGCCAGACCCGAGGCGGCCATGGGGAGGGCTCTCTAGAAGCCTTTTTATCATATCCTCTATTGGGGATTCTGTGCGTAAGCTCGCTTCTCAATGAGAAAGACTGGTATGTATGATTTACTTCTTCTCTTTTTTTTTGCTTAAAGGGTTACACACACACCTTTTCCGATGATGAATACCTCGTTTACCCAGCTCACTCAGACACACAAGAAGTTGTGCATGATGTCAAAACACGATTCTTTACTCACGTAACATTCCTGATATCTTGGATTGTCTCTTTTTGGTCTTCCTCACACGATCCTGTGCCTTTACAAGATAAGCTAACCAATCACCCAATCTATCGAATCAGGTTCCTGTCTATGATATCGTCCATCTTCACGTTTCTACTTGCGGACTCACATCCGGGCAAAGATTCAAAGCTTCTCTGATCTTTCTAACTGTTTGATTTTAAGGGGAAGGGAGCGGGGGAGGGGCGCTTACGTGGTGTTTGGACTTTATTTATCCGGGATGCTTAAAGTCGGTGACTTTTTTTTCTTTCTAACTTCTCCTTTGGCCATTTATCTAATGTCAACTGAAAACGTCTTCCATGTTTTGTTTCTCCCGGGTTGTTTTTCGGTATGTGTAACGCCTACTTCAGGCGAACGGTCAGAGTCTGGGCAGAAAATCTTCATGAAGGGTGCGGTAACACGTGGGTTACGGTGCTCTAGTACTCTCTTGCTCTATCTCGGGGTTGGAAAGACCTGCATCAATTGGGATGCAAAGACCTTGATGAAGATATAATCTTTGCGTTTGAGTCACGTAACACGGCATGAATCATCTGAACCCATGGGGAAAAAGAGCAACAGAAAAGACAGACCTCATAACACCGTACCATCCCGTCTTGCATGAACTCGGATCACAGCATGGGACAAAGAAATTTAATACAGGGAACAGGACACTTCGCTGAATCAGTCGAGTTGGGAAAACATCGAGAGCATGAGATTAATAAGTAAGCAATGCGACCACGAACAGAGTCAGAAATGCGATGATGTGGAACTGTAATAGCCCGGGGGAGAATGAAGCTAAAAATGTAAACGATTTCCCTTTATAAGAGTGGATTTAGGCCGAGGTGAGTTGGGACAAGGGGTTCTCTTTGTGTCGTCTCGTTTGTTGTAATGAAGGGACAAGTCGGAGATGATGTCGAGAATCGGACGTGAATGGAGGCCCCTAATGGGGAGGGGGGGAGCGGGATATTCTCTATGCGGCGGCCACATGAGCCTTCCTCTTCCTCAATTCCTCTGCGAGACCGGTATCCACGGCGGAAGCAAGCTTCTCCTCGGATACATCCTCCAAGAAAGGGCTGCCTTCCTCCTGCTCCAGCTTCGAAGCAGCCTCCAAGACAACCTGCTGAGCAATGTCCTCCTTCAGTTGATTAAGTTTCTCTGCCTTCGTGGAGTCCGTCACGGCTCCCTTGGAACCCTTCTCCTTTTCGCTAGCGGCGGGTCCGCGGAACCGTTTCAGGACGGTCTCGACCATCTTGGAGAACCAGAAGTAGTTGAGGGAGTTGAGGACCACGTTCGAGATCACGTAGGTCAGCACCAGCCAGGTTGGGGTACCGGTGGCGGTGTAATTGGCATACTTGGAGAGCTCAAGCTGGGCCTGGGCAGGGGCTCCATCCAGACTACCGCCGAGAGAGGCGTCGTGGGTCCGGAACACCTGGGCGGTGATATCGACAGGTTGGTTGAGAGCGGTGGCCACGTCAGTAGCATCCCAGGTCTGTTTCAGGGCGTACCACATGTCTCTGTAGACGTCCACGGATCGCCAGGTACCCCAGACAAGACGACAGCTGAAGAAGGTGAAGAGGAGCATCATGCCGTTGTACCACTGAAGCTTGCTGCCGGTCATGTTGACCTTGTCAAGGAACCAGTGGATGTTGAGGAAAGGGCTGGAGAGCTCATAGAGGATGAAGACGGAGGAGTAGTAGTTCACGAAAGGTCTCTGCAGTCAGAAAATGAAACAGTTAGTTGGGAGTGAGCTACAGCTTTCAGAAAGTGGGCGAGAAATGTACGTACGAAACCGAAGCTGAACACCCACAGGGCACTAATGGCGTGAAACAGCATTCCGACACCAAACATCTTGATGTAGACGGTACTGACGATCAAGTCATAGACAAAGTAGCCAGCAGCGCAGGCGGAGACCAATCCACAGACTCCTGTGTAGCCGTAGACCCGTTCGGCGGTGTTCATGGAGGATCGCTCTTCGTCCACCCACATAGCCCATAGGGCCATGGCGTTGATGAAGGTGCTCTGCACCAAAGACACGACATGGACATCCCAGTTGAGCTTAGTGCGCGGGCTCAGTTTGGGGTAATGGCGTGGGAAGAGCAACGGAGAGAGACAGGGGGAGAGGATGTAGTGGATGAAGAGGTAGCCGGTGAAGGACAAGATGATCTCGTGGGCATGTTCGGTCACAGCGGGCACGTTCAGGTAGAGAGCCCAGGGCTCAACAACTTCACGCAGCCATTCCGGCGGCGGGGGAAATGGGTCCAACATTCCGGCTGTTGACCACTCCCCGGACTTACTTGACAAGGGAGGGGCTATGTCAATAGTGTGAATGAGGAGAACAGGAAGATGAAAGCGAGAGAGTAGTCGGAGAGATGGAGAGGGGGGGAAAGAAGGAAGGAAGACGGAGGTGGAGACGGAGACTAAATTAGTAGTAGTCAATGGACTAGTCGGTCTAGACTAGACTTCAACTAGAAGCAAGGAAGAAGGCCCTGAACCATATTTAAGTCTCCAATGGAGAGTTTGAGCATCAGGGGTCATGCTCAGGACTGGACTGGACTGGATGGACTGGACAGTACATGGTTATTGCAGCAAATTCCGGTCAATGCATGCAATAAATACCGCCTTCCACCCATTGTTGTTTTTGGCCTGATTCTGGTTCTGTTGGGGGAAGAAGAAGGCTGACTCAGCAACCATGGGGGGGGGGGGAGTAAAGAGCATGTGATCGATGATCCGTTTCTTTCTTTCTTTCTTTCTTTTATTTACTTAATGTGCTTCATTTCCGTTCATTCAAACTAGGAACAGTTGAGGGACTATCACATATGATTCTTCATCACAAAAGAAATCAAAGTACAAAGTACAAAGTACAAAGGAAACCGTTCCAACATTATCATCCTTCATCCTCCTCTAAAAACACTCGGATCTCTTCAAACAAAAGCATTCAGCTCAATCAATCGCTGGAGTGGGTGTGCAGTAAGTTAAAGTAGTCGTAGTATATGCTCATGACGAATCAACATCAACATCACGCGACGTGAATCCTCGGGGTCAAACAGGGTACAAAAGAAAATGACTGACAAAAGGTCATTCCACGGGACTTCATGCCGCAACACTTGTGACCTCGGGTCCAATACCACTGTCACTGTGCTGCCCATAAACCACCAATTTCGAAGACTGCTCGTCCAACTTGAGCGGGTGATCAAACTCTTCATCATCCTCAAAGCCCTCTTCTCCCACCTCAGACTCCTCAGGGTCATCTGCCGTCGTCGTTTGAGCATCATCGTCAACCTCCGATGCCTCGCTTTCCCCCTCGTCGTGATCGTCCGCTACGGACCGTGGGCCGACTGAGCTAGTGGCGCTTACCCGTCGATCGGCGCCGGAGACCACACTGCCGGGTCCATAGACCATGCTGTCTGCATAGGTCCCTGTGTAGCTGGTTCTTCGCTCGGTCCCTGCATCGCTCCCGTCCTCGCTCTGATTCTCATCCTCTTCTGGAAACACTTCATTCTCCTTGTTAGCGACAGAGCTCTTGCCGCCCCAAGAGGCTTTCCGCTGGGAGAAGTTGGATTTGACGGAATGGCTACGTTTGAGACCCGTGAACCCGCTGCTTGCGCTCACATGTCGATCTCCAGCGCCTCGATTCCCAGTCACGTTGCTGAGACTGAGAATGCGTCTTTCCTTGCTGCTGGTGGGAGGCGCTCCAGATCCGGCCCGCGATCCAGCGGGGCCTCGCTTTTTTAGCGCCATTCCAACGCTGCTGCCGAGAAAGCTGCGGACATCCTTCGCAGTACTGGCGGTACTTGCAGCACTAGGACCTCGAGCTCGTGATCCACGCGCCTTCTTCATATTCAGACTGTTGGGCCGGCTAAGAAGAACACTCCGAGCATGGTCCAGGACACCTTCCAGGATCCGCTTCTCCAGGCTATCCGCGCGGTCCTCCATGAGCTGCATCTCCTCGTGACGAAGCTCGAGAGCCATCTCCAACCCAGCGACTTCCTTGTTCAGTTTCGTGGTCTGTTTGATAAGGTTGTCCTTCTCGGACTTGAGGCTGTGGATGATGTTTAGGAGAGAGTCCTTCTCCTCACGGAGGGTTTCAATCTCGGCTTCCACTTGCTCCCGCTGTGCATTTCGTCTTTCAAGAGCGATCGCTGCCTCTTCAGCCTCCTTTCGCCGTCGCTCATTGTCTTCCGCGATCATGGCGGATTGGGCTACGAACATCTCGTTCATTCTTTGAGAGGTCTCCATAATGTCCCTGTGCATCTCGTCAAGCTTCATCATCTGATTAACGGATTGGTCGGTGTTGGTGGCATGGTCGATCAGAGTGTCCAGCTTATCATGGACCGGTGCATTGGAGTTGGTAGCGTGGCCAAGGAGCTCTTCGAGCTTTTCGTAGACCTGACCATTGGTACTTGTAGTTTGACTTAGAAGCTGATCCAGCTTCTCATGGACTTGGTCATTGGTAACCCGTTCCATCAGGGTGCTCAGTGTCTCTTGAACCTGATTATTCTTGGCATGTTCAAGGAGATTGTTGAGCTTCTCTTGGACAGGGGTGTCGTCGTACTTCTCGGGCTCCGGTGGCGGTAGGGCTGGGAGCAGCGGGGTGATTGTGGAAGGGATCGTAGAAAGGTCCATCCGGATCTCCTGCGCGGATTTCTGCGAATGGTCGTAGTGCTGCCCGACGATCGCGAGGATTTGCTGAATGGATTCAAGCACTTGTGGGTGGAACTCATGCAGTTGGCTTTCCACGCGATCAGTGGCAGCAGCAGCTTTCTCGAGGTCTGATCGAGCTTGCTCCTGCTGCGTCTTCACTTGATTGTGCATCTCCTCCATCTTGTTGTAAGACTCGTCGACCTTCTCGAAGAACGTTTGGGCGTCGACAGTCATGCGCTCGCAAGCTTCAGTAACGCTGTTGCCCATGGACCCGATCACAAGCTTAATATCTTCTGCCAGAGCCTTGGTGCTCGTGACTGCCTCAAGGTGTGCATTGTCACGATCTGCAGCCTCAGAAAACTTAGAGTCCAGAGCAGTGTCCATGGCGGCGTGGACCTCATCATACTTCGCCATGACCTCTCCAAGCTTCTCGTCGATCTTCGAGCCCAGCTCGACAATGATGGCTGCTCGGGTCTCATCCTGCTTGACCATGGCAGCAGCGTCTCGCTCCTCTTTCTCCAGCTTGGTTGCATCCTGTTCACCCCGCGCCCGCTCGAATTCCCGGTTGATGAGCTCGGTGAGTTCGTTCACGTTCTCGACGGTGGTGAAGCTTTCTGCAGACACTGCAAGACCTTCAAGTAATTGCTTGAGCTCAGCAAGCCCTTGGTCACTGCCATCAAGCTTACTCTTAAGCTCGTCACCGAGGCCCTCGACGACGGCCCTAGCCTCTTCGATTTTCTCTGCGAGACCTGCATGTTCCACTTTCCGTGCATCAAAAGCCTGGCCAGTCATCTCATTATCGGCATCGACCTTTTCGCGGAAATCTGCGACAAGTGCGGTCAGATCTTGGATTTCCGTCTTAGTCGGCAATGTCTCGACGTCTGGCAACTTGAGTTCCTCAACCTGGGTCTTGACCTCGAAGATCATCGCCTCAACGGTCTGCAAGTCTGCCTTGACCAATTTCTCGGCGTTATCTTCTTCGGGCGCTACTTTGCCCTTTAACTCATCCAGGGCGATCCACATGTCCTTCATGAGCGTCTCAAGCGTCCCAATCTCGGCTTTTGTCGGGCCTTCCGATTCAATGCGGGTGGAAAGCTCGGAAATGGCTTCTTTCGTCTCTGCAACGATCGCTTCCAAGCTTTGCAGTTGCTCTGCCTTGGCAATCTCATCTGCAGCCGGAAACTTCATCTCGTCTAGCTGAGACTTGGTGTTGCGGAGCAATGTCTCTATGGCGTCCGTGTCCTCCTTTTTCGCCGTTGTCTCGTCCGCAGGTTGGTCGCGGGCAACAATTCCTGTTACAGCGCTCTGAAGTTCGTGCAGGCCAAGAAGGATTTCATCAAGATGCTCCTTCTTGACGATGTCTTCCGGAAGCTCGCTGCTTCTAGGAGCACCTTCAATAGCCTCAACCTTGGTCTGAAGCTGTGATATCAAGGTTTTCAGTGCCTCAAAGTCGTTACTCGTACCGGGGTTGATGGGCTCGCTTGGAACGTTGGCTAGCATCAATTCCCCTCCGCGAGTTGTTTCTGGCTCGTCATTCAACATATGACTCTCCGTATGAGACTGACGCAGCATTTCAACGTCCGCTTTGAGACTGCTAAGGCCTTCCTTCAGCGTGTCGAGAAGCTCGGAATGATCAAACTCCACTGGCTTCTCCAAGAGCTTTGCAAGATCCTCTTTGATTGTACCAAAGCCGTTGTTGACTGTATCAATGATTTCGCTAGTGGCCGCAAGCAGATTTTCACCCGCATCCTTGGGCTGATTATTCTCCTCGCGGAAATTGTCGAGACTCTCACGCAGCGCTGCGATAATATCTTCTTTGTCGCTATGCTTTTCGGTGGGCTCTGCTAGCTCCGTCGGTTCCGCGCGGACAAGGCTCATATTCATTGTGTCACGAAGCTCTTCAATCTGCTCCTTAATTATTTTGGTGATTTCCTCGTTGTTCGACGATTTTTGCTGGTCAGAAATGTCACGAATCGCATCTAGGATCTCATCTTTCTCGGTGGACACGTTGCTTCGGATAAGAAGATTACTTATAGTCTGTCGGAGGTGTTCGAACTCCTTCTCCATGGCGTCAAGAAGCTCGGGAGTATCGGGATTGCCGCGAGAACTGTTAGAGAGAGCAGTTTCTGTTATGGTCTTCTCCATATCAGCCTGCAACAGTCGGAAACCTTCTTTTACTGTGTCCATGATCTCGTGCTTCGCAGAAGACTCCGCTGCAGTTGCAGCGTGCCCCTCCAACTCCTGTCGCACAACAGCAATACCATCCTTGATAGCATTGAGCAGTTGCTCGCTGTCTCTCTCGTTCGTTGAAAGGTGGTGGCTCAGTTCTTCTTTCATGCCATCGAGGTGCTCTTGAAGTTGTTCGAGCATCTGGTCGCCAGAATTCTGGTTTGCAGCGTTTGCTTCTTGTAAGCCAGCGGAGATAGCTTCCATTAGGTCGTCTCGGTTGAGCTCAATTTCACGCGTGACAGCATTCTGGCTTTCCATTCCTTCTGCAATGGCATTGAGAATCTCGTCGCGGGAGACACTCGGCTGGACGTTGGTGGTGAGGGCCGATTGATGGGCAGCAAACGCTTCGTTGAATACATCAGCCACATCTTCTTTGGTGATGTGAGGGTGTTCTGTAGCCTTGGTCGAAGCGAAGTGCGCCTCGAGGCCTTCTGACAAGGCACTTAAGATCTCATCGCGGCCAAGCCCTGAGTCAAGAGATTCTCTACTCAAGGCACTCTGGGACGTAACAGATTCGGTAACTGCCTGCAGTATCTCTTCGCGAATCCCATCAAGGTGCTCTGGTCCGAGGGTTGGAGGAGCCGGAGGCTCAAAGTTTGCGAGGCAATCGTGAATTGTTTGTACGATTTCCTCTTTCGTGATGCTTGGCGGTTGCTCAAAGCTCTGCATACCAGCTTGAACGGCTGTGAGCACCTGGTCGTAGGTGACAGCCTCCTCGTGCTGCGGCTTGTAATCCTTCAGACCTTCTGAGAGGCACTCAAGGATCTCGTCTCGCTCCAAGCCAAAGTTCTGCAGTTCGATTTCGGGCTTGTACGATTCCCACGCTTCTCTCACTGTCTCGAGGATGTCATCCCGTTCCAGTACGGGCCCTTGAGGCTCGGGCCGTAGTTGCGAGAAGTCTAGCTCATCCAGGGCTTGCTTGACGATGGAGTAAATTTGTTCATCGTTCACATTAGCTCGGAAGTCAGAGAGCGATGAGGCATGGAACTTGCTGTCTTCGATGATCGATGCTAGCTGTCCTCTGAGGTCGTGGAGGCTATTCTCAATGATCGCAGCAACCTCTTCCTTCTGAAGACCGCTAGGCTTGTCTTCAATAGCTCGAGAGGATTCGGCTTCTTCAATTTGGCGGGCCAAGTTTCTGCCCATTCCTAGAACCTCTCCACGCAATTCTCGTACTAGCGCTTTCACTTGGTTTGTCATGCCGCCCCCTTCAATGACGCTGTTCTTTACGATCTTCATTATAGCAAGCATCTCCTCCGTGCGGTGATCTTCCATGGGGACAAGAGCGCGCTCTGGGTTGGCATTCATGTCTTCTGCGCCCATAGATTTTGAACGGGCCAGGCTGTTTTGGATGTTTGCCTGTTCGTCATCGTCGAGCTCGCGGGCGTGTGAGCGAACCAAAGCCTTGCTTTGAGCTTCATCCTTAATAAGACTTAGAATCTCCTCTAGCATAGTCGTTACAGCGCCATCATTCGGGTTACCGGACGCCTCCGATATGGGCCTAGCTTTGATCTCTTCCGCGACTATCAAAAGCTTGTCCTGATTCTCTTTCGTCGCCATCTCTCGCAGGACTTTCTCCAGCAGTGCGATACTTGCCGAGCCATCGGAAATTGGTGTGGGTGATCCGCACAATTCGCGTTCCATCGCTGCGGCGAAAGGATTAGGACTAGACATTCGCGGTCCCGCGTGGCTCTTTTTCGAGTTTGGAGAACTATCCGGTTCCCTGTTGTTAATACCATTCTCAGAACCCGGCAGAGAACTGAAATCCCACCTTGTGGCAGCCTCAGAATCAAGGAACTTCGAGGCCAAGCTAGATGACAGATCACGGAGGCTTTTTCGTATGTCTTCATCTCGGGCGTTGGTGGCGGCCTTGAGACTCACAAGGTCGGTGGCATTGTCTTTACTCCGTCGGCTCAACTGAGCCATCTCGCGCTGAAGATTGCTGGCAATATCCGTGAGACTGTGAATTTGGGTAGACAAGGACTCGAAGGAATAGGGATCAGGGCGCTTGGGCCCCACAAATGGGTCCGACTCGATGAGCTTCTGTGGTGCATCACTCTCCAGGGGTAATTGCATGTTCTGCAGTGCTAGCATGGTTGCCGAAGGTGGAGTACTCTCTCCAAGGATCGGTCTGGAGAGATACCGGTTGGAAATGAGAAGGCTAGGCATGTCTCGGTCAGGTTCTCTGGAGTCTGGCGAGCTGGGCGTCTTATTCAAAGCCGACTTTTCCAGCGACTTGGATCCTGGCTCGAAGGTTGAGGCCCGTTGGGGCCGCTCCGGCGACCTGTTCTCCAGGTAGTTGAGGAACTCGGACCGAGCATCTGTGTTATTTTGAAATGATTGCATACGCTTATGAAATTGGCCTTTGATGAGGGACTTCTCTGGTGATTTAGGTGGCATGGGATTAGTCGTGTATGGACTAGGAGCATTTTCGCGTATCTTTTCTGCGAAGTTGGCCGCTGCGGCTTGAATGCCTGGGGAGACATTCGATCTGGTCACAGGGCTGGTAGAACTGGGGTTCATGGGTAGCGGAGGGGGTGCCCGTTCGGGATCCGAACTGTCCCACCTTCGTTTCCACGAATCCAAGGTCAGCCATCCATCGCTTTATGAGATGAAACTTGAGGATCTTCGGAGACCCCCACTTCAGGGCACGAGGTTGGCACGTACATGGGCACGGACTGATGTCTCAGCACCAGTTCTCGGTCATGAGAATTCTCACGACTGTGTGAAGGCATGATGAGCTTTCAATTTCACTTGTTCCTGGGAGAGGTGGAGCAAGCGGCGTGTGTGTCTGTCGAAGTCTGAGCGGAAAGTGGATCGATGGATGGATATCCGCAATGTGTGAGAAGGAGCTATGATCATGAAAAATGCGCCGCAAGTCAAGGTCGTGAAGGCATAGCAGGTCGTCAAATCGCGCAAGAAAAGCAAATGGGCAATTGTGGCTTGGGTAAGAAGCGCACAGTAAGAGCAGGTATCACGAAAGCAGGAACGACAGAAAAATGGAGATTGAAAGCAAATGCGCTTGCTAGTATTGAAAGGGCACGAGGGCGGGGAGGGCTGGGGAAACAACGGCGGCAAGGAACAACAGCAAACAGCAACAGCAACAGCAACAACGTCAACAATGCAATGCGACAAACGCGGACAAGATGCGAAACTGGCGAGACAGGCGAAACTAGCAAAATTGGCAAAACTCGGGGGGGAAAGGAATAAACTCCCGAGGTGATCAGTTAATATAGCGGGCAGTTGGACCATGGAAGTGGAGTTGAAGGCTGGGAGTAGTTGGTAGCTCATGGGGCATCAACCGCCGTTCGGTCCAATGTGCGGCGTACACATCAAGGATAGCCTCATAGCAACCGATGTCCTGGCTGGTTGTCCCGTAAACAATCAGCCAAGCCTTCTGGAGGTGGCTGGGGATGGAGGCGGTGAGTGTGGGTTTGTTGGGTTTGTTGAGTTTGCTCTAACGGCCTAATGGCCTGACGCAACCGCATCGAAAGCCTGATCGAAACCAGTTGCCGCCTGAGGCAGGTTCCGGCAACCGCAACTGCCCAGTGTCTCGGGCACTAAGCTATTTTAGGAGCGCTTACCCAGAACAGCCTAGTAGCCATCAGTCGGTAAGGTGACCAATGGAGTGCGGGCACACAAAGCCCTGAGCCCTCTTCACTCAAAAAAAATAGACCGTCGAACGCGGAGAACCTCACTCACTCGACCGAAGCATCTCGACAACCACCCCATCGACCTGCCGCTCACCGGGACCTTCACAATGAAGTGTTAGTGAAATGCCGCTTCATCTCGATTTTTGTTATCGCGTCGTCGATCGAAAAACTGACAGGATGTTACGATAGTCATGAAAGTGGGCCGTGTGGCCATCATCACCCGTGGCCGTTACGCCGGTAAGAAGGTACGACAACAATCTACTTGAGTTTCTGGCGCTGGAATACCCATATATACGGAGGACAACGGATTCGATGTGGAAATACGTCTCGTCTGCGAAAAAAAAAATGGAGAACTGAAAAGAGCCGGGAATTGGGTGGGAAGAATGGCGTGGAGGCAAATGGTCAAACGATCGGACGAGGGCGACAACTGCGACATCCGAGAACGAGGAATCTTACTTGGTCGGCTTGGAATCACACTGGATATATGCTGACGAGGGTCTTCCTTTGCGATTTGACAGGTCGTCATTGTCCAGCCTAACGACACTGGCTCCAAGGCGCACCCCTTCCCTTACGCCATCGTCGCCGGTATCGAGCGCTACCCCCTCAAGGTCACCCGCCGCATGGGTAAGAAGACCGTCGAGAAGCGCAGCCGCATCAAGCCCTTCATCAAGGTCGTCAACTACAACCACTTGATGCCCACCCGTTACACTCTCGAGCTCGAGGGTCTCAAGGGTGCCGTCTCCAACGACACCTTCAAGGAGGTCTCCCAGCGTGAGGACGCCAAGAAGAACGTCAAGAAGGCCCTCGAGGACCGCTACACCAGCGGCAAGAACCGTTGGTTCTTCACTCCTCTGCGTACGTTTCACCCTCCGTCTCCCAACGCTCGCGGCTCTTTATCCCGGCGGCATTGCTGACGGTTCTACAGGTTTCTAAACGGGATAATTGGGGCGTTTTGTCGTTTGAGCGCGCAAGGTCTTAGATGAGGCAAAGGGAAAAAGAAAAGCATCGAAGACGTCCAGTTCATGAGCTAGGGATAACGTGCAATATACCATAGCTGGAGGAAGAATGGGAACGCGTCGATGTACAGGTCCAGGACTTGGCCCATTTTCTTATTTACATGAGGGAAGCCACTCAGATCTGGCGTCCGTCTCGAAATGAAATGGAAAATATGAACAAATTCAATTTCTTTTTTTTTTTGTTATGAGTTGTTCTCTGGCCTGTGGCATCGCCTTTGGTCCACGATTCCTCGGCTATTGACTTGATCTAGTTGCCAACATAGCAATCCCCCAATCACACCGTGTCGGATGACATCGATCCGAAGTCCGGCAGATTTGTGCACACTCCTAACTCGATTCTACCGTCGCATTCTGATGCCAATCGATCCTTGCCTTTTGCTTCTTGGTCATGACAGCATTACAAGTTTCCAACGTACGGTCTCGAATACTGATGTCGGATTGAGATTGCCTGGGACTCGTCGGGCCTAGATTGTGCTCGGCTTTATCATTTGCCGTCCCGTGCCCCGCCCTCACCTCGAGAGTCCAGGCATTCGACAATCTCCATGCTGAATCCAATCCCAGCTCGTAGGCATCGATGTTGGGGTAAAAGCGGAGCTCTTCACACGGATTCATCCCCACGATCGACCACAGTAATTGTCTGTAAATCCCTTTGGGCTCCCCAACCCCCGACCATGACGCACTTCCGAGACCAGGGGGCCATTGACCGATGGCCATCAGCGAATAGTCGGCGTATACCTCAATGCGACCTGCCCAGTACATGTACAGCTGGCAACCAATGCTGATATCGCGCACAAGGGGGTATAGATATGGCCCTGGAGATAGTAGAACGACGTACCTAGTAATGCTCACCCCTCTCCGAATCCTGTTCCCTCTGCGCGGTGCTCTGGGGTGGACTTTCAGCCCATGATAAGGTACAATCGCTACCGCTTTTTCGGGCTTCTTGTCGAGATCCTCATAACCAAAGTACGAGGGGTCAGCGACAAACTTTTCTGTAAAGAGCAAATCGCGGTTTCGAAATTGTCGGTTGTTCCCCGCCTTGCCCCTACGAAACTCAATGCTATGCTCAAGTTCGGATAGGCGGGACCTAGGCCTCTACCTTTACGGGCTACCTACACGGGCTACCTACGGCGTTTGGAGAGGCGAGAGATGCAGGATCTTACAACATCCGCCTCCCGGGCATGCGGGAAAAGTGTGGGCGTTCCGTAAAAGCTGCATAGAGGGGTGCAGAATGGGTATACTGTTGTAACGCCCAAAATAGCAAGGAGCTAAAATGTTTAACCAGGCTGGCTGGTTGGGCGGGTTAGACCTGCCAGGAAGTCAGTGATGGAATGGTTAAACTCTACAGTCTCGCCATCGTAGCCCAGAACGCCGGATAGGCGGCGCGAAGACAACACAAGAGCGATGGAGGGAGGGACATAGCTCCAATAAGCACTAAATTGGACGTTTTCGAGACGGGCAAGAATCTAATGCATGGCATTGAGTCCAGTACGCTCGGCGCCATAGCGCCTAGACCACCAAGCGCACCGAACTACTGTAGGAGAAGTCCAGTCCTAAGGGCAGGACCTTCACTCAACCATGCAGGGAGTCGGATGGAATCATGGGCAACGCCATCCAAGCCTCGGGTCCAGGCGCAGCGAGAAATACTTGACTTTCCTTACTTGACTCGATGGGAGTAATTCAGCGGAGAAGGTTGTCCGCGAATTGAAAGACTATGAATCAATATCGGACGGCGAGTAAGTTGAGTGCGCCATACACCACCGTTAATGGATCAGGTCTATGTGGTTTTGAGATGTATCCAGTTGGCGGCCGGTTTCCCAGCTTGTGACAGTAGCCGCCCTCTGATAAGGAAAGGCGCTAAAAGGGGCCGGATTCAGGAAGTTTTGCCTAGGAAGAAGATTCTAATGTCGACTGCACGTGTAAGTGACATGGGAAACAAAAGTGCAGATGTCCTGAGTCGAATCTCTTGAGGCAAATGAAAACGAGGTGCTTAGCATAATCTAGGAAACATGGTGTGTAGGATGTACTACTGTGGGATGGATGGATGGATGGATGGTGGTGGTGGTGGTGGTGATGGAAGTAAGTTAAGTCCGTGGTTGACAAGAAAAGCCGCGAGATGGAAGACCCACAATCACATGCTATAAACTCATCACCCCATCGATGATTTCCATCATCCTACTCAGTACCATCATCACCACCACCATCGAGAACGCGAGACTTTCGGTCGCCAACCCTATCTAACTATACGGACCACCCAATGATTCTTTAAGTGCTTCGTTGAAGTGCCCTGCTGAAACCACAAGGTTGCCACATTGACAACGCAACTGTAACAGTTCTTATCGGGCGGCGGCTCCCATTGCAAGTTCCAAGTAGAAATGCGGGTGGCTTTCATGAGGGCTGGGTATGGCGTTGACTCCACCTCGTCGTCCTCTTTTTTCTTTCCCCTCTCTTTGCCTTTTGCTCTTTCTCCTTTTTTTCTTTTCTTTTCTTTTCTTTTCTTTTTTTTCCTTTTTTTTCTGTGCTGAGAATTCACCTGCATTCAATACGGTTTGCCCTCCCTGTACAGAGCAGGCATGAAAGCAAGAAGAGGGGTTAAACCCTGGTCAAATCTTCCTTTGCCATCAAGCATCGTTCCGAGTTCCAGACCTTGGAGGGAGGGAGTGATTGATTGATGGTGAACAGGTAACCTATGACGAAAAATGTAGCTAGCACGAGCAACACCCCTTCCGTACGACTTGACTAAGTGGACACTTGCCAGTTAGCCAGTCACTGGATGCCCCTCCATAATAACCAAGTTCAAGTTGGGTCGTTTACTTCTTAATCCGGCTCCGCTATCACATGCTGCCAACTGCTCCGATGTCCTCGAGAGTAAGAGGAAAATCCAAAATTAAAATGATAAACGATAATTCCAACAATAATATGAACCCTCAATTATTCTGGCTGTACTCCGTAATCTCTGGAGAGAATTAGGGAATTGAGGAATTAGGCCCAATTACACTCAATTTCAGCTATTCTTGATAGCATGTGGTACCTCTGATCAAGCCGAGCTGTCTGTCTGAGCTACCTTTAACAATTAAGTTACCTGCGGTTCACCTTGTCTGGGAGGATCATTCCGACTGCATCTTCCTTAGCAGGGCAGGTTGATTGCTATCTTTCATACTCTACTTCACTTACCTACTACCTACTTCTTCTAATTTACTTTAAGGTTGTACCCTCCCTCGAAAATTCACCTGCATTTCCTTTCTTCCCTCCCTCCCTCCCTCCTTCCAAATTCCCAATTCTTCTCCTCGTTTCTTTCCCTTCCCTCCCTCCAGAACCTTTTATTCTCCCTGCGCTCGAACTCTTCTTCCGGAGTTTTAATCGTATTCCCACCCCCACCCACACCCCCCAAAAACCCCTCCTCATTCTTAACATTGTGTGGTAATCGACTTGATTACTTACACATCCGATCACCAGGTATGACATGCTATACCAAGTCGTCATACCTACTCATACACCATCACCCTATATACTATATGGTACTAATGCTCCCCCGTTTCGAGCGTAGACGTCCATGCCTCACGCTGAAAAGGGAACAATGGGTGAGAACTCGGTTAATGGAGAGAAAGTTCATTCCCACTTCATCGATGTAAGTTTGGACCTCCAAGCACTCCATCCGTCCTTCCCTCTAGGCACGCCTCAACTAATCACGCGATCCCAATTAGCACTTGACATCCTATCCGGTGGTTGCAGATTCAATCACTGTCTTCAAAACAAATAAGTATGGCGCAAAGACGCTAGAGTATGCCGATCAAGGGTACAGCCGCCTGGCCAAGCCACTTCTTCCATACTTCTCCAGGCCCTATGTCTATATTGCCCCCTACGTTGCTCGCGTGGACTCGCTCGGCGACCAGGGCTTGACCAAAGTCGACGAAACCTTCCCCATCGTTCGGGATGACACCGACAAGCTGAAGGAATCCCTCCGAGACGGGGCCACCTTCCCATTGCGCTTCGCCGGTGACATGAAGGCCCATGTGGTCGACACACTGAACTCGGAGTACAAGAAATGTGGGGGCGACGGTGTCGTCGCTGGCAGCAAGGCCATCATCAGCACCACTCTGGTGCTGTCGCAAGAGTCATTGGCCTACCTCAGCTCCCTGCTGCAGGCGAAGAAAACGCAGGTCAAGGAAGCTGTGAACGAAAAGACCGACAAATAGTCCCAAGTCCGTCTTTATTGATACCTCGAAACCGTTTCCGTCCTGGTCTCTCGAGCTTTTCCAATGTCTTCGACTCTTTGCTTTGCTACTTTTCTTTCCCACTTTTAGAAAGCTTTGCGCTCTTGTGGCTTTGTTCGCTTCGTCAGCGGTGCGTGGTGCACGTTTAGTTCTAATTTCTCTGTAACGAACATTGGTGATTATCCTCTCTCTGCCCTGGTGGAATGTGCGTGTGTGTTAGCTATAGCTTGCATTTGGATACACATCATGGGTCTCAGCTCTTGATAAGTGTATCTCTTGTGAATCAGAATTGCCCATATTCTCGCGGAATGCATTGAGGAGGAGAGCCGATAGACGTTCAAGAAGACATCAACCTTGGCAGATAGATCCATGCGTATGGCAGGAGCAGAAGCAAAAAGAGGTCTCCCCGACTGGGAGTCGAACCCAGGTCTCCCGCGCTTGTTCCCGAATGGGATTGACAAGCGGAAATCATGACCGTTAGACCATCGAGGATATTTCTTGATATAATTTCCTTTTTATGCTATGTGTTTCTAAACACCTTCTATGCTCACAGCACTGGATCTGTACTGTACTGTAGATTAGAGGTAAGATGAAGCCTGCAGGCTCTCGTTTTCACAATTGATCAAATTTCCCGACGTTCTAGCCAAGACAATTGCTTCAGCTCGCTGGTCCTGCAGTGCGCTTCTGCTGTGGGATGCATGGACTTATGTAGTACGAAGTAGTCAGGAGGAAAATCAGGTTGTCTGTGTGCTGTTTGATGAGTTGTACGTAAGATCTAGGAGTACTAGGTGTAGTATGACTAGCTCCCTTGTGGACGAGATTACCTTGTGCTGCATTACCAGCCCCCATCCGATTGAAAACTCTCTTATGAAGTTCTTCAGCAGGTGTCGTGCCGTGGCTTGATCGAGGACTACCGGGCCTGGTGTACCAGAAGAATGTGAGTATAGAGTCAGCTGCGTCTGTACTTCTGCTTACTTCGGAGGTATTGAGGTTGTGCGTGGGTGGTGTCGAGTAGGAATGGTAGAGCCGAAACTCAATTGCTTGCAGCTTGTACTGTAGCGGGCCATAACTTACATACACCCGACTGCTTACAGCAGGGCTGCTCCTCGCACCTCTCATGCTTTACTATCGCCGTCATGCTTCCTATCCTAGCCATAGACGCATTAGCCAACATGCTCTGCCGCATGCATATACAATCTCCAAAACAAAAAAGAGAAGTGTACGTGATAATCTCGGATATCAAGCTCCACAGGAGCGTTTCTTCCTATTCAATTAAAGTTATTTTTTTATGTTTCACTATGTTGATAAACAGCACCATATTCTAGGGCTATAACGGAACTGACTTACCGAGAAGGTTCTCGCTTGTGAAAGACCGGCGGCTCCTCGGAATGGCCCAGCGTCCACGAAGAACGGTCATTCCCGTCGCTAAACGGGGCTGGGGGGGTCTCAGCAGTAAACGGGGTGCTCTCGGCAGTAGTAGTATAATACATACCCGGCTCAACAGAACTGGACAGAGAATCCGACATGTCGTTGTCCATGCCCATATCCTCGGTCCCCTGCGAAGACGAAGGCGAGGGCGAGTGGTGAGGCAGTTCATCACTCACCTTTTCCTCCTCCGCCTCAACCCCCTCCATCTCATCACCCCGCTGCCCCCGGTCCTCCCCACGCACCCACTCAATCTGATCCTCATGGAAAGGAACCCTCCTTGCCCTAGGGGCGGGGACCCCATCGAACGCCCGAGACAACTCCGGCGCGCCCCGACGACGACGAAGACGCCGGTGCCGACGGGAGCGCACCGCCTCCACAAACTCCGCGATCAGCTGCTCGTCGCCGTGCCAATGCAGCGTGTGCACATGGTTGACGGCGAGGGGGTAGACCGTGTCCTTGCCCATGTTCGTGCCCGTCGTTCCCGGGGATTGGCCTGTCGTGGTTGTGGTTTTCTCGCGGTAGAACCGGACCCAGTGGTGGGAGTGCACGACGCCGTAGAAGGGCATGCTCCGCGGGGCGCGGTGGCGCAGCACCCGGAAGATGTGGTTCATCGTCCACTGCTCCCAGGGGAGCGGCGCGAGGTGGTTGGGGATCTCCTCGCCGAGGCGCACGACCACGAAGGCGGGGATGTTTTCGTAGTGCTGGAATTCGTGGGGCAGGGGTGGGGGTGGGGAGCCCACGTTGGGGGCTGTTGTCGCGCCGGCGCCGGCGGGCGTTGCTTGGAGCTGCTCGGCGAGGAAGGCGTGGAGAGCCCAGGACTCGTGGCCCGTGGGGAGGCGGGTGAAGTTGAAGAAGGGGGGGGACATTGTTTCGGCCGGTGAATTTGTTCAGGACGGGTCTCGTCTTGGAGTGGGAATAAGATCGGTGCTTAGAACGATGTCGGGGTGTTTGAGGGTTGAGATAGCAGATATCCTGGTATTCGGGTGTTGTTATATAGGTGATGCGGTCATGCTGATGCTGTCGTGGTATTTGTATTCTGATTCAAAGGGGCTCTTCATTATCCCTCTGTCTTTGCTGCGTCGGGGAGGCTTTGATGGGGCTTTGCCAGCAATTGAGGGCTTGTGTTTGTGATGTCTCTGTGTCTAGGAGATACACCCCGCCTCGTTATGGGGATCTGAGTGACCAGACAGTGGAAAGGGCATGTATTTTCTTTCGATGCTGTTTCTGTTGAATGGATTTCACTTGACACTCTCCGCCTAGATCACTTCTGTCTTGTCGGCATTCACCAGGTATATCAAAGACTGCCATTGGGATATCACTACAGCCAAGCTGCAAGTTACCTACCTTATGCTCATGAAGAGGACGAAGAAGACAATGAACAGCACCAGATATTCCTCTCTTTGCCTGGTCAAGTCGTAAAACACCATGTGTAAGCAAGAATCTCCAATTTATTTCTTTTTCCATGGCAGGAGGAGCATTGCAGGCACATATGTCTTTGTGGCCGGATCGAACATCAGCTTAGGTCGTCATTTTTCAGACAAGCTCCGACAAGATGTATTACCAGGGCATACACCGCAGTCTGGACATTTGAGCCCATTGAAGAAAGCAATTCGACGGCGGTACTACACCACGTATAAGCTATTCAGACTATGACAAGTAAATTGCGATGTGAATGACAGACATCACACATATTCCCAGCGTCAGCCCACCAGCCGCCAGCAGACAGACAAAAAGACAAAAGAAAGATCTCCCCGACTGGGAGTCGAACCCAGGTCTCCCGCGCTTGTTCCCGGATGGGATTGACAAGCGGAAATCATGACCGTTAGACCATCGAGGATCTTGCTTGCAGGATGGCCTTCTTTTTGACAACATGAGCAATATCATGACATGAGGTGATTCTAGCCGGCCTGAGGTTCGTTAGGGCTAAAGGTGCCTGCTCCGGATTGGTGCGCTCTATACTGCTCAAGCTTTTGTGTTTCATGGAGTGTATGAGTGTATCTGGGTGCAAGGTCCAATCTTGGTCCAGAGTTTACTTAGCTGGAATTTTCTTCGTAAAGGTTTTTCTCGGGACCTCACTGGTGTGATATAGCGTGGGACGAGATTCGGAAGGCAGTACCTCAGTCGGAATTTGGTGGAATAGTTAGTCGGTATCCGACGTACCCGACTTTGCTTCACAGCAAAGCTTGTAGCTCACCATAGTGGGAGTATTTAGTCTGATGTCGCGCTGGTCATGCGGCTGGCTGTATACAAGATCGACCAACCGACGCCGTCGTGCCGCATGCTGGACGGAGGGCAAGCTGCACCGATGCACAGCGGAACATAGCTCGGAGCATCACCCCGAATCAGAAAGACATGTTCACCAACCGCAAAAGGCTTGAGAACTCGAGAACACGATGTCTTCACCCCCCCCCCTGCGCGCCTCCGCCCATTGTCTTTCACTCTCGCGGGAACGCTCCATCTCCCGCATTAACCATGGCAGCGTCCATCGGCACCGGCTCAGGTCGATCCTTGGGGGTATATTGCTTGACGTATAGGTGCAGAACGTCGTCCTGGGTGACGGTGCTTCCTGAGTATTCCCGAATATGAGATCCGGGGACAACATGCTCAGTGATAAAGAAATATCGCACTCGACATGGTTGGTGGCTATTAGGTTCAAAGTACAGTACAAGTCGTGTGGTGGACAGGAGAGAAACAGGGGGAGAGTGTGGTGAGGAAAGAACGGGGTTAAAGAAAGGTCACGGTATGGGCTACAGTGGCTACCTACCTACCTTAGTTTGTTGTAGTAGGTGGACCACAGTGCAGTGTAAGCACTTGGCTCAAGATAACAATAGCCATCAACTAGGTACTGTGACCTCGCAATATAACAAATCGCGTTTAAGCGAATCTTGGCTATCCAAAGAACTCTTAGAACAGTCTAATTAGTTTTACCATACTACATTTGCTGGATCGTCTTATTATAAATCTTATTACATTACCTTTTTTCTTTTTGTGCAAAATTTTCGATTTTTTTTTATTTTGAATGGGTAAGATTTATCTAATTAGACAACAAATAGGTTAAAACAAGAATCTCTGCTTAGTTATTAAATCTCAGAATTTCTAGAATATCAAATGAATATCTACTTACATCTATTTAATATTACTAAATCACGCTATAGTGAGTTTGAGCCGCGCCTCCATTGATTTGTTATATCGCGAGGTCACAGTGGTCCTCACCTCCACTTTTCCTGTTATGCTTACTGTTCCTGCCCCCATGCCCCAGGGGCTTACTGAGTACTGTGTTATGTCGGCACGCACCCTTCTTCTTCCTTTGCATACAGGTCTGAGAAGCTCATTGTATGCTCCTCAGCAAAGCGCGAAATCCATATGACTTGGTTCCCTGAATATAGATAAAACCAGCGTACACCGAAGTCAGCTATGAACCATGGTACTATACAAAGAATTGATCCTGGCGGCAGATCCTAAAATGATCACAAACCTATAGCCCACACAAGGGAAGTATGTGGGCAAGTAGTTACATACTCAGGATCAGCTTCAACAATTCAAGCGGACTATCCATGTCTTATGCCTGACTAGCAGGATCCTTCCATCTGATCATGCGCCGCAGCCGATAGATGCGCACATGTGCCCTCAGGTCTCACCAGTAGAATTGGTAAGGTATAAATCTCAGGATCAACAAGACTCGGTAACACAAATCGGGAGTATAATTATATGATGCCGCGGCCAGAGTGATCGTGATGACGACGATAGCCACGGTCATAATATCCAAATGAATGGATACGAGTTCATCTCTCTGACGTTCATGCCGAACGCGGAATAAAGACAGAGGCTAAGATAGTGAGACTAAGACTTTGACTTGTCGGTCACATCGCTTTTATAATCCATCCTCGGAAAAGGGGATTTCATTTTCACACCGGTTGACATTCCTTGGCTTGCTCGATGGATTTCTGCTCTCGCATCTGTATATGGGTCAGGTGTCTATGGGTGCTGTTTTGCTTCATGTTGAGCCTATATTGAGACCGAGAGGGGATGGATGCCATATGGAACTGTACCTGCGAATACTTATCCATCAACTCGCTTATGCTCAATAGTAAAGGGGTATGGTCCCCTGGCATGTGCTGCATCACGTACAATGCCACGCCGAAGTCTACGGGATTCGGGTTCAGGTGACAAGAAAAGGAAAATATAAGAGAGCATCCTTCATCCCATTCTCGTCAATCAACTCATCCGCTGCACATCTCCCGTTACTGTGTTCTTGCATGGAAAGGGTCAATTCCCTCATGCTGGTGGTATTTCATGTTACCTTGTTGTTGATTGCAGAATTCGATCACACGACCGGGTGCTCGCAAGAGGGAGATCTGGGCCTTGACAGACCCAGGGGTCTCCTCGATGGCGCACGCCAGATCCTATCATATCGATAATATGCCCCGAGGTGATCATACTCCGGCCAAAGAGATCGCAGATACTCATGATATCGCCCTTCAAAGGCTTCAGGATGCCACGTAGAAAGAATCTCTCCCAACCTCTGTCCTGTCGGATTGTGAGATATTGTCTGATTTCAACTCATGCATCCATACACAACAGAAAGGGCTTCATGGAAAAAGTCTGCCTGACTGGAATGGCAATCTAGTAATAATTTAGGCAGTACGCAGGCCTTTTTTTTGGCGCCGTGGCTGTACACATGGACTCAAACCCTATTCAGCCATTTCCGAGTGCATGGCGGCTAGTGACGACAGTCAACGAGGCTATAAGAGAAAAGGTCCCTTTCAACTTGAAAGACGTTTGAGAGCCTTGCCATGGAGGCACTCTCGCCTGACGGGTGGTTGGCCGGAGAGAGGCTAGTTCATTCGAAGCCCACGACGCTAGCTAATCGTGAGCATAGATGACGGTCATGTTCGCACAGAAGGAGTACATTGATGAGTCGCTCATGATTGCTCGTCCAAGCGTGAGCCATTTCAATCTGTCTTCTCAGAGCATATACAGATTGGCACTGCCACTGTTGACTTGGCCGTAGCTGAGATGCTAGATCCCATCTCTGCCCATCTGTTCATCCACTAACCGCCGTCTGCAGTGCCAGAAGCAAATATGTTCGAATACATCTTAAGCGATCTTAGGAACTGGATATTTGTCCTGCCCGTCAAGGCATAACCACACACCCTCCTAAAAGAGTGCTCATTTGCGAAAATCCATCGAATCATTTAATGACAGTGAGTTCAAGGGATATAGAGCACAATTCAGAACCTCAATATAATAATTCCTCGATGGTCTAACGGTCATGATTTCCGCTTGTCAATCCCAGCTGGGAACAAGCGCGGGAGACCTGGGTTCGACTCCCAGTCGGGGAGATTTCCTTTTTTGCTCATCTCATTTCTCGATAGCCAGAAGATGTATTTTCCGTGCTGTATATCTTTTTCGTCATAGTGGTGGCTGGCCGTCAAGCAGCAGTGGAATAGCACGCAAGCAATGCCACTGTGCTGCTCATGGCACGCTCGCGAGTACCCTGCAGGGCATAAACAAAGGACTGCCGGGCATACAACGAACTGACTAAGAACAAGGTCTTCAGCTGCTGTCATTCCGTGACTATATGGTGGAAGGGCCTCTCTCCTTTTCTGAAACCATCATCATGTTCGTGTTTTATTAACTATATAATCATGGTAAACATTATGTCGGTATGAAATCATACTGTACTCCAGCTCTTATCAACATGTGATAGTCCCAAAGAGGCAATATCACGTCTGAGTTCCACACTAGGCTTGGCGCGTCGAGCGCGTCCGCCATCGGACAAAGAAACCACCACATCAAGCCTGGAGCCCAGAGAAACTACCCCTCCACTCCCCATAGAACCAAGAGTAAACCTTCGCACCCATCGCCAGCAAGAGGTAATATCAAGCCGTCTGATTGCAAGACCAGATTACTTCATCACCATACCCGGATCCAGCGTCAGTGAGAATGCCTCCGAATCGCAAACGCCGCGCAGTACGTACTCTCTTCCGCCGATAAGCCCTCCAAAATAGCCAAGGAAACCACAACACTGATAAATCTTAAAACAGGCCCCAGAGAACGAGTCAAGCGAGGAGGTTGACGGTACCCCGCCTCCTACACAGAATGCGCCCCGCCGCCGGAGACGCGACGACTCTTCCTCATCCGAAGGCTACGCGGACGAGGGGTACGACATCCGGGCCCCGACGAGCACCGACGTGATGGTCAAAAAGCTCGTGCGACTGGCCCTGGCCACCGAGTACTCCCGACAACCGCTCCGCCGCATCGACATCAGCGCCAAGGTTCTGGGGGAGCAAGGGGCACGGCAGTTCCGGACCGTGTTCGACGAAGCGCAGCGGGTTCTGGGCGAGAAGTTCGGAATGCAGATGACCGAGTTGCCGGTGAGGGAGAAGGTGACCGTTCACCAACGGCGAGGTGAGTTTTCATGCACGGTTGAAATGTTCCCGATGTGGATAGTCGGTTTTGTTAACCCGTTTTGGGGGTTGTCCTGGTTTGCGCTGTAGCTGCTCAGAAGGTCGAAAAGGCGTCCTCGGGGAATAAGAACTGGATACTCACCAGTCTCCTGCCGCCGGAGTACCGCAGGCCGGCAATCCTGCGCCCGAGCAAGGCTCCGTTGGAAAGTACCTACACTGGGTTGTATTCGTTCATTATTGCCGTGATTCTTCTGAACGGAGGCACGATTCAAGAGCAGAAGCTGGATAGGTATCTGCAGCGGACGAATACTAACACCTACACGCCTGTCGATCGCACGGACCGGTTCCTTCAGCGGCTCTGCAAAGAAGGATACCTGGTGCGGAACCGCGATGTCGATGGTGGGGAGGAAGTCATCGAGTACATTCTGGGCCCGCGTGGGAAGGTCGAGGTGGGAGCTCAGGGCGTGGCAGGACTGGTTCGCGAGGTCTACGGCCAGCAGGATGCAGATGAGCCCGACGAGGAGTTGGAGATCCGTCTGGCGCGGAGCCTCGGGCTCCAGGCGCCTCAAGGCCGCGCGCAAGAGAGACCGGCCGAGAATACCCCTGCCAACGAGGAAGATGAGGGCCAAGGACCGCGGGGCCAAAGAAGACAACAGCCCCGACGGCGTGGACGAACCGAGTCTGGCTCTGAGGGCGAAGAGAGCGATTGATTATGCACCATGCTCGATGAATTGTTCCTTTGCGTTATCACTTTATCCTGGCCCTGCTCGACTGAATGATACCCTAGTTTATGCCATATGTTTGAGCTCGAAAGGTGCTTCCTGCTACTACGTATATCCGACTCGGAAGGCGGGATTAAGTTTCTGCAAGATGCGGTCTTACTTGCATTTCTACACTCCATGCAAACCCCGAAACTGCAGCGGCATCCCTGTCTGCACGTCACACTGGGACGACCCTGCATTCAGCCACGTAGTTACACAATTTTATGCAATTCCGAAAACATTGATAAACACTCCCAAACTCAAAAGGTGAACATCGCTTGCATACATCTATATGAATTAAGACAAATCGCTATACAGGGGTGGTGTGTTTCGCTATTACATATTTACTCGCTGTCGCTGGCACTGTCGTGCACGGAGCCACTATCCGCGTCCTCCCGGAGTCCCTCGGCCATCACGTACTCGGCTTGCTGCAGGACCGACTTGATCTCTGGGTTGTTGTAGACGAGCTCCGTGGGCTTCTGGCCGTGCTTATTCCGGACCCGCGGGTCGCAACCGGCGTCGCACATCATCCGGACCATCTCCAGCCCTAACTCGGCATCCTTCTCGTTGGCATAGCGGACTGCGACGTGCAGCGGGGTATCTTTGTCGAGGCGGGTCAGGGGGTCACATTCGAAGTACTGAATGTCGAAGAGGGTGTCCATGGTGTCATCTGTATGTATCCGAAGAATTGGTCAGTGTGCAGGTCTAGCTTGGGGGCTCCATCGCTGGAAGGTGGGTACTAACAGCTTCCGTATGAGGCGCAGATGTGTAGGGCATGGTTGCCCATGGAATCCGTCACTCCGTTGAAGAACTCGGCCACCTCTTCGTTCGACTTGTCCGTCATGCCTTCAAGCACCTGTTCTATCAGGTGAGGCTGGTCGCGCCGACAGGCCTCCACAACCAGCTCACGCGGGGAAGCGCCCTATGCACTAGTATGAGCAATGTAGAAGGGCAACGGAGGTGAGGATGGCACTCACCTCGTCAGCCATTATGAATTCGTGTGCGGGGTACTGAGAGTCGGAAAGAGATGATAAAGCGCAATCAATCTCCAAATAATCCGTCAAGATTCAGTAAAGTCGCTGCCCTGAGAGTTGCTGTGTATTAATGCCGCCGGAGAAGCCGCGAAGTAGTCAGGAGGCGGTGTCGGAAGCAACTAGAGGATCAATAGAGGATTAGCACGAGGCATGTGGGGAGCAAAGTCTATATATAGGCTTGCACAAGTGAGGCCGAGCCATGAGGGACAAGAATAGATCGCAGCAAGCCTCACTTACAGTTCCAGATCGGTTTGCAGAAGCTAAGTTGTGTTTGTGTTTAGATGGGTGTTATTATTGCCTTATGCCTGATGCCTCCCTATTGTTGGCTCCCCGCCGGCTCTCGACGCGGCG